GTGCTTTGCCAAAGGGAGGGAACAAGAGTCAGAAGGGCAGCAGAAACAGAATCCCTGCGAGGGAACAAGACGCAAGAAAAAGACTGAAGAGGCCCGGCCAGGGGAGAACAAGGTTTGAAACGCAGACGTCGAGAACACGCGAGTTTGGAATCGCGGTGCCTGGCTTCAACCTTGTGAAAGAGGCCAGAACAGAATGAGACATCTGACAGATTCCACTTGCAGTGCACTAGACGAGAGGGAAGAGAAAAACTCTGTTGGGTTGATTCGGGCTGAATACCCACGGCTAAGTAGCAGTAATTGTGGACTAATTAGAGTAGCCAGCTGATGATGACGGATGGCTTGAAGGCTGAGCACCTACTTTGGACGTGCCGGGGGAAAAAAAAGAGGCGCGATGAAATATAGTCGAGCGGCTTCTCCGTTCCTCATTCTCCCGGAGCGGAGAGCATGATGAACTCATAACACTAGGCATAGGGCTACTTAATTTAGCACCTACTAGGTAGGTATTTGGTAGTGGATTGCGATTGATGGCATGGGTGCTATCAATCGCGATGCCTGGCCCTGAATTGGAGGTGGCAGTTGAGCATCGTGGAAACATACAGCAGTAGAGCAAAAAGAAACAACAACATTTGGATGCAAGATTGGGCCACCAATTGCGGCGCCCAACGCTCGCGCATGCATGCATCATGCAGGCCATTGCCCAGTCAAAGAGCTCCATCTGTTGTTTACCGCTGCAGCTGATGCGATGATGGACTTGCGCAGGTCGCATGGCAACCGTCGGGGGCGGATGGGATGGTCGTGATGGCGACGGCGAATCGCAAGGAAGCCTTCAAAAAGGGTGTTGCCGCTACTGCTTCTCGCACCTACATTTACATCTACATCTACATCTGCCTGTACATCTACATTGCACATCAATCAACCGCATCATCAATCTGTCTGCTGTACCTCGCGCGGTATCTCCATAGTCGCATATACGAACGAGCCTCCGTCCAGAGTACTCGTATACCATCCAATATCCATACCCAGATACACCCTCACGTATACCGGACTCCTACTCCTACTCCTACACACACCTACACACACCTACATACACCTACATACACTTACATACACCCATCTATCTTATCTCATGTACGTGCTATTATTGCCACTACCACTGCTAGCATCACCATCCCCCTGGCAAAAATTACTATCCAGATGGTGCTACGTGCTGCACAGATACCGGCAGCTGCTCCGTACGGACCTTTACTCACATGCTCTGGCGCATGTAATGCAGTCCTCACTTACAGGCTCGCTTGCTCCGCTCTCGCACAGCCCAGCCCCAGTCGGTTCAAGACACAAGAGGCCCAACCCATCGATCGATCGTCGACACGCAGCGCAGAGTCAAGAGAGAAAAGGGAAAAGATAGAAGCCGTGCATCTTGTTGCATTCCCAAAGACACACCCCCCACCGCCTGTCTCTTTCTCCCCTTGACTTGGTCTTGCTAAGACGCGCGCGAGCCCTCAGAAAGCCCGTTCCGTGCAAGAGGGGTTAGCCACCCTCACATTACTGGACTTGCGCCTTGCATTCAGCAGCCAGCAGCTTTACTGTACAGCAACCTTCTTCCACCTCACAATCTCGCAATCTCACAATTTCCCAATTTAACCCACCACACCAAAGACGGAAACCGAATTCTCCTCGATCCAATCCCGCCCAGCGCTTCCATCCAACAACCATCCCATCGCCAAAGTGCTGCCCACTGGCCACATCTGGCTTGGTGCTGTGCTAGTTGCGGGCTGGAGAAGCAAGATTTCTGCACGCCGCCAGACAATCCCTGCCCCGGTCGCTCGTGTCAGCCTAGACAGCTCGCCATCCAATCCGCATCACATCCCTGACGCGCTGGGCTTTTCCTGCGTCTCTCGCACTGCCAGGGGCCCTGGTCGGCGATCCACTCGGGCCTGTTCCAAGGATCGAAAGTTTGCCCTTGTGCTTGGATCAAAGCCAGAGGCCATCCACCTTTGTTCGTCCTCCCTTCCGATCATACTGGCATTCCCTATTACAGCGCCCGTCTCCCCTCATCTTTGCTCGACTTTTCCCATCTCTTCCATCCCACCTCTAATCGCGCCTCTCTCTGACAGCTCTACGCCTTTTCGCCGCTTTTACTAACCATTTCCCCCGCGCAAAAGAAGGAAAACGCACCATCCGATCCGACGCGATTCTCGTCTTTGCTCTCCCGCCACATCACCATTTCTAAATAATTGAGGAAATCTTAAAGAGATTCTTTTTCATAAAATTCATCTGCGGGTCCGATCGGCTCTCCTATTATCCCATTACCCAACCGAGAAAAAGTAGTAAAAACCCGGTCAGGGCCGTGACTCCCCAAGCCTTGTATCTGCCGCCCCACCGCGCCTGCGAGTGACGGTGACCTCAGCGAGGTGAGCACAAAAAACCCCCCATGCTTGGCTCTTTTTTATTCTTGTCTTCTCTCTCTCGATTCTCTTTAATTTCCTCAGCCCTCCCCGAGCTTTGCAATGCTTCCACTGCCCTCGCCACGCCGGCGTCGCGTCTTTCCCCTTGCAACCTCGGCTGACTAGCGCGCCTAGAAGCAGAAGCTTTTCACAGCTCTTCACGCACAGCCCGCTCCACAACGCTCAACAAGCATCACCACACAAAGGCCGAAATGGCCCAGCCGACGCGCTTTTACGGCTCTTCCAGGCCGCTTGAAGTCTTCAATGACGACATTTTTTTCGAAAACGAAGCACCCATGACCAGCCATGCACCCATGCCCAACCCAACTAAGCCTATTCGCCGACCCCTTGGCAACTCAAGTTCAAACGTCATTCTCGAGCCCGCATCATCCTCTCACGGCAACAAGTTCTCGCCCTTCAAGAACAAGACATCATCGCTCAAGGCGCCGCTCAAACCGTCACACGGCCTCAACAAGTTTAACGGCATCTCAATGGCGCCTCCCACAGATAAGGCACCGGTAACCGATTCGCTGCAGAAGAAGCCGCAGCTATCCAACTTCAAGACGGGTGTGCAGAAGCCACCGCTCACGGATCACAACGCCTTCTTCGGCAAAGAAAACGTCCACCCTCAGATCTTCCCGGCACCTCCGGCTATTAATATCTCAGTGGAGCAGTACTACCAGGATCCCAGTGGGAAAAGAGGACTGATGGAGGCGGCGCCGATTAAGGAGGCTCGAGTCAACAAGAAGTCCAAGGCTGACGAGCAATCACTACCACCGCACGACTCATTCCCTCCCATCACCGACGATGGAACAAAACCCCCTCACAGCTACGCACAACTCATTGGGATGGCTATTCTACGATCTTCAAAACGTCGCCTCACACTTGCCCAGATTTACAAGTGGATCAGTGACAACTATTCCTTCTACAATCCCAACGACGCAGGATGGCAAAATAGCATTCGACATAACCTGAGTTTGCACAAGAACTTTATCAAAATCGAACGGCCAAAGGACGACCCCGGCAAGGGAAACTACTGGGGCATCGAGCCCGGCACCGAGTTCCAGTTCCTCAAGGAAAAGCCGACACGCAAATCTGTCCCAACTGCAGAGAACCTCCCCGTCATGTCAACCCGCCTCGAGCCCTCTCGACCAACGCCAGCAATGATGCCCGAGCCTTCGCTACCGCCCCCGGCTCCGATTCATCACCATCAGCCGCAGCACGCAAACAGCCTCCCTCCTCTTCCGACTTCTCAGGCGACCTTGTCCATGCCCTTGGAGCCTTCCTCGGATGCCACCATCCTCGTGTCTGACAATGCGCCCGCCGAAGACCTGGTAGAAAAGGGTCTCGACAATGAATTGCCACTGGAATCGTCCTTCTTCTCTCCCTTACCTGCCGCTTTGCATTCCACTCCACCTGTCCCTCGACCAGAGCGACGAAACGGCACACCGCCTCCCATGGGCCGCAATCTTGCCTCGTCTGCAACCAGAACTCACAAGCGTAAATTCGCCTCCATGGATGATAGCGGCTACATCTCCTCTCTCGAGTCATCTGCCATGCGCCCGAACGCAGCCAGGTCAGCCTTCTTCACGTCTGAGGGTGACCGGCACCGAATTAAGCGTGGACGGGCCGAGGAGGAGATTGCACGACTGAGGGGATCTTCTCCTTTTAGCCCGACTAAGAGCCGTTCATTTTCCAACTATGGACTTACTTCATCGTCTCCTTTCCGACAGTCCCACGAGAACCAGATGCCGCCTCCTCTCACTCCCATCGTTAAGAAGGTCAAGGCCATTGTGCAGCCACCACCCTCTGTTTCTCCCAATACGAACCTTCGCATCCATCGCGCCAAAGTCCGCCACTTGTTGCAATCTCCTCTGCGACGAGTAGCCAACCTTACCAATGATGACAACTTGCCGTGGAGTCCTGCCTTCCGCCTGGATGATAACATCTTCAGCTTTGATACCCCCAACGCCAGCCATCTCCCCGACTTTGACATCTTCCAAGACCTGCCGGTGGATGATGAGAATGTCTTTGATAGCATCGGCTGTGCGGATACTGGTTCTCCCATCAAGCGCTCGGTCAAGCGCGCTCGCCTAGATCGGTCCATTTCTTCATCAGCCATCGGGGACCTGTCGGCGTCCAAGAAAATCATCACATCGGCGCCTTTGCTCAAGGCCCCTGATACGCCTTCACAGTTTCTGGAAACACCGAGCAAAGTTTTCGAAGGCCTCAGCTCGCCCTCCAAGCTCTTCCAAGGATCACCCATCAGGGGTGCATCACCGAGCAAGTTTGCTTCCTTGATAGAGCTTCCAGGAGACGGGGACTGGCCATCTCTCCACCTCGACCCTAATGACTTTGCTACCGGTACTGGCGTAGATGGATCTGATTTCACTGGTCTTGATATCCTTCAGGGATTCCAAAAAATCGGATCTGGCTCACAGCCCCCCAGGGGCTTGAAACAAAGCGGAAAGCCGGCTTTGGGTCGAAGCTTTTCAACCACCTTTTAGAAGACGTTGCTTGCGAAAGGCAAATGATGACGAACACTCTTTTTAATGACATTGATGAAGACGGAAGGAAAGATGAGACCCAATGAAGAACAGATCAAGGGTTATTTTCCTTCTCAAATGTCCTAGCTCTTTTTACACCACGAACAAAGCTTCTTTCACACGACTAACACGACGATTACTGGTATTTGATGTTACGCGATTCTAGACTGCGATGGGGTTCGCGGCTCTGCGTACAAGCCCAACACCTCCCCTTGGGCTTCACTGCTTATCCCTAATGGGTAATGATGATTCTGAGTACATAGTATAACTTGTTTTTTATCTTTGTTTTTGCGGCATTGGGACACGACCACGGTCGGTTCCGGGAAATGGGATAGCTTGGCTTAACTGGTATGGCCTGGGCCTGGGCTTGGACTTGGCTTTATTGCGAGGGATTGTTTCTTTTTCTTCTTCTTTCCCCTTGGCCTTTTATCTGTCTTTATTGTTTCTTTATTTTTTCTTTTATTCTTTTGCTCTTGCGTGCTTTCACTTCTTTACCGGACTATGGGTTGGATGCATGGAGTCTGGATTCACAAACAGGCGCATACGCGCGTGTGTACCTAGGGAACTGGTATTAAAGGGTTTTGTGAGAGACTTGGCTGGCTCCTATTTGAATTGTTCTTTTCCTTGTTGGGGTCTCTTTTCTTGTTGTTTTTTTCTTTAACGGATTGGGAACGGATTCGCTTTTGGGATTATTCCCTGTCGGATATGGCTTTGGGTGTTTAACTCTCTTTGTTTGCGTTACTGGCTCTCTTGTACTTTTTTCAGCTTTTTTTCCAAAAAGAAGGCGATTGACTTTTTTTGATATCAAGTTCAATTGACTGCTTGCTTTCAACTTTGTATTGTTTACTGCACCATTATCGTGTCTGTCTAGTGCTTCATAGCTACCGGCGTAAGACTTGTAACTCAGGCTGAGCCAATATGCATCATTAAGCCTGCTTCATCTGTTTCCCCCAGCCTGCTCCGTGTAACACTGCACATGACTGTGTGTGCAATGCGTGTCGTGTGAACTCTGGGGGGTATCTACCTTTGGATCGTGCATTAAGCTGTAAAAATAACATGTCTTCTCCCATGCCGACACCCAAACGCCTCGTGTAGAGCTCATATATACAGCTGCCTACATCGAAAAGCCCCTAACCGGGTGCATGCGCAGCCTCCCCCTCCCTCCCAAGAAAATCCAAAAATAAAAATCTATCAGTCGAACCTTTTTATTCTGTCATTGTAGCCCGTTTGCTTGGCTGAAAAAATGTCGCGAAAATGAGGGGTTAGAGAATGATGTGTAAAGAGAGTCATTTCGAGTTGGCGTGTCATAAAAAAGATGGTGGCCCAGTTTGTTTGTTGGCTTGTTTTTTTCTTTTTTTGCTCAGTTCTAGTAGATGCGTATGCGAGATACCCAGCTGGTTTCCTTGGACTCGAGGTTAATCTTGTAGGGGAAAGGGTTGCCGCCCTGGGTGGTGATGGGCGGGATGTGGTCTTTGTGGGTGTTGACAAAGGTGACGATTTTCATGGCTGTGGCGAAGAGGGTTTGCTCCATGGCTCTGCGGACCTTGGCACGTTCTGCGTTTCGTTGCATCCTTAGTATGGGCTCGGGATGGGGACTGTTGGCGTTTGAAGCTGTGTGTAACGACATACCGTTTTCAGTTCTCGGTTCAGCAACGGTCACCTTGATTGTCCATGTTTCCCAGCAGACCTCCTCGTCTCCGCGGCCAACCAGCCACGCCTTCTTGCGCTTTCGCTCAAAGAACTGGACGGTGATCTGGCCCCTTCCACCGCTGCCGCCGTCGCCCAGGCCGGCGCCGCTCAGTTTGTCTCCCTTGGCCGGCGCACCTCCGGCCTGGCCACCCGAATTGGACAATCGTTCGGCATCGAGCTGGCGCTCGAGCGCATAGGCGCGCTGTTCGATCAGCGTCTCCAGCTCATCGTCGTTGACGTAGGGGAGAGTGACATCCAAGACCTCGTGCGTTCGGGGGGCGAGAGAAGGGAAGAATCGGTTAAAGAAGATTGTGTGCAGTATGCCTGTTGTGCTCACAGTGTCAGCTGAAGGGAGGCTTCGTGATGCGACGGGCCGGCCATCGCATAGGTATAGGTATAGTAGGCTAGAGAGGCCAATCAAGTACCTTTAACCACGTCGCGAACAGATCGAGGATCCGTAAAGACGTCGAGGATGAATTCCGGGGGCTTTTGCTGATCCATTTCTTCTTTCCAGGGGAGCAAGGTAGCCGTGGCTGGTAAAAGGAGGGCCAAAAAGGGAAAGCAGCGAGGAAGAAAAATTTGCCTCTTCGCTCACACTTGTCTGGGAGCCTTGTTGCGAGCAATTATGTCACCGCCAGTGGAAGCGCTGAATCAAAGGAGAAGAAATGGATTGGGCCAGTGTTATCTCGTCTGCTGGGCGAATCGGCGCATTGCTGTTTTCTTATACCAGAACACGAGCCACGGTCAAGAGGTAAGTCGTCAGCAGGAGAGGGAGTCACCAGACCAGAAGTCGAGGCTTGACTAGCAGTGCTACCTCTACCTAGCAAGTCAGTGACAGGAGGTTGGAGAGATGCGACAGCGACAGCGGGCAGCGCCTAGACGCGGAAAGTCAAGGAGCTGCAGGATCTTTGCGGGCGATTGCAGGGAGCAATCCAAGGAGGCGGCGAAAAATGCAGTGAGATGAAGAATAAAAAAATAAAATTATGTATGCCCTGTGGTATGCAAGCAGACGGATTGAAGCGAGCGAGGGGTGGGGGAGTGAGCTGGAGAGGGGCAAAAAAAAAAATTAAACATCCCAGCCATGGACGAGAGATGGTTTTGGCGGGTGCCAGTGCATCGAGTCCCTGGTCTGGTGCGCTAAATTGCCGGGTCGTAGTGACGATACAGCAGCTGAAAGGCTTGAAAGGGCACTGCCTGGGTAGTTGGTGGTGCTAATCAGGTTTTAGTGGCACCAGGTGTGGCGTGGGGATCGATCGGGAAATGCGCACAGTCACGTCACTGGGATGATGTTGGTGCAGTATGTACTCTGTACGGAGTACAGCTGAGTCTCTCTGCCTGCGATAAGCGATAAGGGGAGTCAGACGGGGAGTCTTGTTGCTGCGGTTGATGACTGTTGATGCGGTACTACTTGTGAAGTACCTAGGTATTATACGGGATGCAGCCAGTAGCCAAGGCTGCCTTGTCTTGTTTAATCATTACTTGCATCGTGAGCACATCGTGAACTCTCTATAGGTACTGTGGTGCTTGTCATCACATCAAACACAAGTTTACTGTATTAGTTAGTACCTTATAACTTCGAGTTCCGGGTAAGACGGGGTGTTTTCCGGGAGATCCACGAGTGCCTAATAGTATAAGCATCCCCCTATTATTCCGTCGGATTGTGCCTCTGCCGTCATAAAATCACCAGCCATGAATGTTGGTCAATTCCTTGTGCTACAGCCTACAAATCCTGTCCGATATGCAACTACTTGTACTAGGTAGAGCATCACCCGGACTCACCCTTCATTAGTGCGTGCATGCGCTCAACAACTGGCGGCCCCGGAATACTAATCGGCGGGCCTGCCTTACAGCACGGGTCCCAAGATATACCTGTGCGGTACCCACATATACAGCCGTCCTGGCGTTGTCTACGCTGTGCACCGCGTGTACTCCCATGCTCGTGCCACCCCTTGCCGAAGACGCCAATTAGAGGCCCTGCTGCCCCGTGGCGCTCAGCAGAACCGAGGCACGCTGCAAACATTGGCAGAGCATAGCCAAACACAGCTCCATCATCGCGACTTTTCCTTGCAACAGCCGTGTAGCCTGTGTGCGACGTGTCCCGCCTGCTGTGTCTGCGATTTCGAGCCCGCGCCTCTCCCCAAACACCCCAGAACCCGAGATACCTCGTACATGTCTTCGAATTGCTGATCCATGACCCTCTGACTCGACCCGACCCGACCTGTACAGCGCTGCCCAACATGTTCGCCTCAGCCCGGCGCTGGCTGCATCGGAACCGGACGCCAATTGCCATCGGCGTTGGAGTTGTGGGTGCCGGCTATGCCGTGACGCAGTATGTGCTGTCCAAGATCAACGATGCGCGTGAGCGCATGAGCAGCGACCGCATCGCCAAGGAGAAGTAAGTTGTGTCTGTCTTACCATGCCTGCCGTTCGTTGCCAACCAAGTCGGGTCTCTCTAGCCTTCGCCGTCGATTCGAGCAGAACCAAGAAGACTGCACGTTTACCGTCCTGGCACTCCTGCCCACCGCCACCGGCAACGTCATCACGGCTCTCAACACGGAGAAGATCACCTACGAGATCCAGCAGATCAAGAGCTCGGCCAGGAGCCTCAAGGGCATCCAGACGACCAGCCCGCCCAGTATTGCTGACACCACCCTCACCGAAGATGATAGCAAGAGCACCATCAGTGTGCCCGTTGATGTCGGCATGCCCTTCACCTCAGATGGTCCTCAGCAGGACCTGGCTCCCCCAAGACCACGAAAGACCAAGAGGCAGCTGTGGGATGACCTGACCATTAGCGGTACGCGCCTATCAATGCATATGAAACGAATAGAGGATGCTGACCGTGTCTTATTAATACAGCCATTACAAGATCATTCACGCTCATCTACACACTCGCCCTCCTTACCATGCTGACCAGGGTCCAACTAAACCTCCTCGGTCGACGCAGCTACCTATCGAGCGTTGTTGCCCTCGCCACTGGCAGCCAACAGGCCACCATCAGCCTTGAGAACAATGACGATGATAATCCTAACCAGACATACGGCAGCGACTTCGACACTAATCGCAAGTACTTGACCTTCAGCTGGTGGCTGCTAAACAAGGGGTGGATTGAGGTCATGCACCGCGTAGAGAGCTCTGTACGGACAGTATTTGGCAGCCTCAGCCCCCGTGATCTTGTTACCTTTGACCGCGTCTCCCAGTTGACCACAGAGGTCAGAAAGCTGATTGAGGGGTCCAGCTCCAGCGACCGTAAGGGCTCGGATTGGTTGGCCTTCCTATTGCCCCCCAAAGACAAGGAGGATGAGGTCATCCGTGAGTCTGGCATTTTGGATGATGGAAGTTTGGCCCCTGAAGGCGCCCAGGTTTCGCCTGCCGCGCTGAGGCGGCTGCTTGATGAGACGGCTGATTTAATTGAGTCACCGGCCTTTTCACACGTTCTGACCTTGATTCTCGACTCTGGATTCTCGTTGCTGGTGGATAAGAAGCTGGCCACCGAGGCTTTTGAGTTCTCCTTGGACGATGCCCCCACTGCTGTGGCAACGACCGCCAGCCTCAAGCGCACCAGGGCTATTCTACTGCCCAAGATTCTCTCTGTCTTGACGCGACAGGCTCACGTCATTGGCAACGGCATGCCAAATGAGTATCTCCAGGAAATGGAGACGGTGCGCGATCTCGAGGCCTTCTCCGCCGTTGTATACTCCAGCAACTGGGAGAATGAAATGAAGGAAGATGGGCTCATGGAGAGTGCCGTGTACGTCAAGTCTGAGGATACCCAGTCCCAGTCAACTCAAGTCGAAAGCAGCGTTGTCATTGTTGAACCCCAGGCTGCCCTTGAAAGCGCATGGGAGAGAGCAGCCGAGAAGAGACCTTGAAGAAGAGGAGCAAGGGGAAGCACGGTACCAACAATGCGCATACTTGTATAGTAAAGAGTAAACATTTGATGCATTCTACAGGTTTGGTAATCATTTTTGGTGGCAAGGGGCGGGACGGATGACTACAAAGACTTAATGGTGTTCTTTTTTGCTTTTCCTTTCTTCTCTGTTTTTGGTATTATTATGGTGTTGGCAGACTATCTAGCAGACAGTATATGATGATATATCCTCCGTTTTCCTCTCCGGCGCTCAGAGATTAGCGCCTGATCTCTTCTAAAGATGAGGATTACCTCTCTTGCGAGCCTGTGCCCCAGATTCTACGGCTCCAATCATGGACAGACAGATTTTGTCTTGGTGCCACGACCCGCGGGTTCTCCCATCCAGGCCAGCCAACGAGAGCTTCCTAAATCATCCATCCTCACAACCGCCTCGTCGCTCACACCTCTTCTCTCTTGTAGGTATGTCAACCGGAGGTGGCCAGAATATGTAGCGTCCCAGCTACGAGGCGGGAAGGCGTGGCAGATCAGCACCCGAAAGCTCATGTTTCGTGAGCATTAGAGAGGTCACCAGCGCCATTGCTGCTTGCAGTTTCCGCCCTTGGATGTTTCGTTCCACCTGTGAAGCTTTATAGTATGTCGTGTGCTCACATCATGCCCCTTATAAACTGGTCCAGCCCAAGCTCAAACAGCTCGTTATTGACGCCGGCACCCCCCTTGTGCTCGACTGGTGCAAGCGGATTCTTGACGACTATTATTTCAAACCCAAATTAGTCACATGTTTTTGAATCAAAGCTACCTGGAAGAAGTTGCAAGCACATACCATACTCCACCCATAGGTTGATGTAGATCTGATGCAGCACGTTCCGCATGCTCGCCGAGCCCGTGTCCGTGACCATGACGAAGCGAAGGTTTGCGGGTGTCTCGTAGAAATGCAGCTTGTACTGCCCCGTGCGGTAGCTGATGAAGGCGTCGTCGTCGCCGCCGAGCTTGCGGACCATGTTGCGCAGGGAGAAGACGGTTCCGAAGACGAGCTTGGCATCATCCGAGCTGGTGGACAGGACGGGCGCGGTTCCAGGGCTCTGCGCGGGCATCCATGACTTGACGTAGACGCACTCGGCTAGAATTCAAATTGGAAGATTAGAATCTGTCAAGGCGGTGTTGCGGCTAGAGAGGCTAGGGGACGTACTGTGGCGGTCGAAAATGTAGAAGGAATAGACCACCATGTTGGGCAGCTTTGTTGCGCGCAATGTGTTATGATTCCGGCTCTGTTGCTAGTTTTGGCAGGCGAGGATCTCGGCGATCCGAGAGAAGGGTGTAGACACGAGACGCGCCAAATCAATGGCCCGGAATGAAAGAGAGGCGCTGTCGTGCCGTCGTCACTGGACGAACGAGCTCCGTCGAGAAGTGGCGGCTTTGGTGTTGGAGTGTCGTCTGGCGATCAAGGGGGGCAGCTGGCCTCGGTTATCTAATCCACCCACAGCTCAGTAGAGATGGCGGGGTGTCCACTGTTGAAGTCCACTGAGTCCACTGAGTCCACTGCAGAGGACCTGTAGAGCTCGACACCTCAGCTGGGAAACAGCATGACGGAGTGAAAATCTTGGGTTCAACGATGGAAGCTTTGTTACATGAAGCTGCCCCTTGTATAGTAGGTAGTAATAAAAGTGAGCTAGACTTGGCACTTGGTGGACAAAATCATGCATAAGGTGAGGCTGAAGCCACCCAGCATGAAGTCTTATATCCCCAGACATTTGACAGCTCTGTCACTCACTAGCTTACACAAGGTCAGGCACCTCCCTCTTCCTATTAGTAGCTGTAAATCCAGTGCCAGATATATAACAGCGCGAGCATATGGAAAATAGAGCACAATCCTTGATTCAAATATTATTGCGACTCCCAAGAATGAATAATAATACCGCGCATTGCCTGGCAATAAGCAATGACACGCTATTATTAGTACCGCGGGCTGATTTTCAACATCGGCACTACCAATAGAGTGCTGGCATTTGACGCCCCCGCTTAACAGAGGATGCGACCGCAGCCATCATTTTCTACCCCTCCAATGGTGGGCTGGCTCGCCTTCAGCCTCACCACATATTTAACAGCCCTGGCGCGCGAACTGCTCGCCGTGGGTTTTGACGTGGCGCAAGGCATGCAGCGGGGAGGCTGATAGTATTTGTCGACTCCTCAACCCAACTGGAACTGGAACTTGTCGCCTGATCTGCATCTTGCATCTGTGTGAGAAGCAAGCGCACGCGACACGGGATCGATCTCGCAACTCCTCCTCCACTTCGACTCCCAGTTGCCCATTCTACTGCCATCATGGAGACGCCTCCACAGTCACCCGGCAACAGCATCAAGAGCTTCAACTCGGCGCCTCCGTCTGGGCTTCAGTCGCCCCGACTCACTGTCAACGGCCGCGACGATGTGCCAGAAGATCGACCCTCTCTGGCGTCTGCCATGTAAGTCCAGTGCCATGCTTCAAGAAAGACTACATGGCCGTGTCGAGTCGAGTCGGCTGCTGATGCTTTCTTTGCATGCTCTAGGACTGAGCCCCCTCGTCTCCACGGCTTCGCAAGTCCCATAAGACAGCATAAGCGCACTCCGAGTGCACATCGTGAGATCAAAGTAGCTCCTCTCCAGATCACCGCCTGATGGCCTGTGCAAAGATACTAATTTCTCAAACAGGAAACTTTGGACGCCCATGTCGAGTTCTCCAACGATGAAACCGATGGTCGAACTCATCATAGAATAAACCAATACGTAATCCAAGAGGAAATCGGGCGAGGCTCTTATGGCTCTGTTCACCTCGCGACAGACCAGTTTGGAAATGAGTTTGTGAGTTTTGACCCCCCTTTACCCCTAGCCTCCTCTCTTGCTTATACTGATGTCTGTAGGCTGTCAAAGAGTTCTCCAAGGTTCGCTTACGAAGGCGCGCACAGTCCATGGCCATGCGTCAAGGCCCCGGAGGACCATCGCGGCGCATGCCTGGTAGGGGTGGCATCATGCCTTCCCGTCTAATGGGGTTGCGAGATAGTGAAAAGAGCGATGCGCTATTCTACATCCGAGAGGAGATTGCCATCATGAAGAAGCTCAATCATCCCAACTTAGCCCAGCTTATCGAGGTGCTCGATGATCCGGATGAAGATTCTCTATATATTGTCATGGAGATGTGCAAAAAGGGGGTCATTATGAAGGTCGGTTTAGGTGAACAGGCAACTCCGTATCCCGACGAGGAGTGCAGGTTTTGGTTCCGAGACTTGATATTAGGGATTGAGTACTGTAAGTCAAACAAGCCGTTTCGATTCCTTCCCGGATTGCCATCGCCATTGCTAACGCGGTAACAGTGCATGCCCAAGGCGTCATTCACCGTGATATCAAACCCGACAACCTCCTGCTGTCAGAGGATGATGTCCTTAAAGTTGTCGATTTTGGAGTCTCGGAAATGTTCGAGAAGCCAACGAACATGAGAACAGCCAAGTCTGCTGGATCACCCGCCTTTTTGCCTCCTGAGCTGTGCAGCAAGCATGACAAAGTTTCTGGAACGGCTGCAGACATCTGGTCTATGGGCGTCACTCTCTACTGTCTCAAATATGGCAGAATACCTTTCAATAAAGAGGCCATGCTTGAGATTTACGAGGCCATCAAGACGGAAGAACCAGAACTACCAAAAGACGAGAATCCGTCATTCGTCCACCTTATGGGCAGATTGCTAGACAAGAACCCGGAAACGCGAATCACCATGCCCGAGCTTCGGGTGAGTAGCATAGTAGCCTCTACTGGCCAATTAAGCACAATTCAACTACTAACTTTCCCACAGGAGCATCCCTGGGTGACCAAGGAGGGGACCGATGCTTTGCTTTCGACGGAAGAAAACTGCGCCAACCCCATAGAGCCACCAAACGAGCTGGAGCTTAGCCGTGCCTTTACTAGAAAGATGAACCACCTTCTCTGTGTAATGAAAGCCATCCACCGGTTCAGGTGTTCATTAATAGCTAGCAGACGCAAGAAAGGCATACTCCAGCCTGCAGACGAACAGGAGGGGCGCGAACCAACGGACACTACCAACACCAACGCATCAGTTGCCGATATTGCAGCGCTCATCACACAGCAAAAGACTATTCTTGCGTCCGAAGCCGGAGACGAAAAGACCCAAGGTCAAGCATCCGACACCAGCGATCAAGAGCCACCATTCTTGGGCATCGGCACGGGCGCAAGGGATGCCTTTGCGACAGACGAAGCGACCCCCGATGTCGTGTCGGACTCGCCCACTGCGGTCGACTTCAACGTGTACGACCGAGCCTACGAGGAGGCAATCAAGGAGCGCATGAAACCGAACCAATCAAACAACCCTATCTTGTATCTGACGAAACACATCAAGGAGAAGGACTATTTTAAGAAACTGGAGAACTTGGTGGATGAGGCTGCCGTCTCGCCATCTCCTTCGAAGTCTATCAAAGAGAATTCCAAGCAGCTTCTAGACCCTCTCCCTCTCCATCCAGCTAACAAACTGGCCGATCTTGTGTCCAAAGTCAGAGTCTCAGATGCAGCCGAGAATAGCAGCAAGACAAGCGACCAGAATTAGACTGTTGCCCAGTCTCAAATTAGCGCGCCCATCTTAACTCGACGTTGTTGTGCCAAGCGGCCGGATTGTGAGCACTTACAAGAGATCATCTCGGCATAATGAGACATCAGATACGAAGCATCATTAACCAACCCCCTTCCCGCGGATAGACTCCTTATCGACGTGTACAAGTATACTTTTTGCCATCGAGGCGGCGTTTTAAGGGGCGTCCAACAGAAAGTCTTGAAACGGGCTCGTGTGCAGCCATCTCCAATCGGATACTACGCTGCTATGCCCCTACGCTACTCGGGATACATTATCATGATGTAGGCTGAGATTATCTTTTTCCATTAATTGTGTGGAGTAAGCAATCTCCGGCGCGACAGTGAGAACTGTGCTCACCGCTCCAGAAGGCAACAAGATCGGTGAGCTAAAAGATGTAGGGGGAACACGACGTTAGTGATTTCTAGAACGGTCGGTGAGACCGTTACTGCATTACCACGGCAGTGACGATTACGGATGATGGTGTGAAGGGGATAAAAAAAAGAGAAGGCGAACGAATGAAGTCCGGCCCATGTCAACGGAGACGATGTACATGTACACGGAAGAGATTAGGGAGGCGCCACGCGCGCAACAGAAGCATGGAATGTTTAAACCAAAGCAAACAAAAAAAGACACCCTTTCCCGAAGCTGGGGAGCTCATTCTCTCGGTGCTGTACAAGTATGTCAATCTACCCTTGCGGCTCGGGTAGGCAGCACATGCCACGGAGCTACTCAATCTAGAAGAAAATGTCTCACGATGTGATCTGAGATGCATTCTGGCAATATCCAGTTGTTGGCTGCGAGGCTTTCAAGGCGCGTTATCACACGCAGACCCCTGACACAAAATGTCCCTACCCGCGTTCCGTGCCTGGTCTGGGCGGGGGGTCAAAGCTTGGGCCATGTGGCAGACGAACGAGACAGAGCATGCGGATTTGAAAGGCTGTTGAAAGGTATGCCCGAGATGCACCACACTGCACGACGCACAGTCTAAAGTCTAGAACCAAAGGATAAGAAATGCGCGCGCATTCATCACCAAGGGCAATGTAGCTCTGAGGTTGCACGCCAAGTGACGATAGCCGGCGGCACCAAGACGCGGCGCGTCGGCTATCAGCACCAAGAATCGGTGTCCAAGTCTACATGCCGGGGTGCTTCGAGCTATGTGGTGGCATGGTCGGTGATCCCATGGGCGGCTATACTTGCGTCAAGACCCCTCCCAGGCTGAAGTTCCCAACAGGAAGGGTTCCCGGGGATGCTGGTCTGTGTTATCCGAGCACAAGCAGGCGGACGACGAACGGGAAGAGCCACTGAGATGTGAGGAGGGCGGCACGAGTGTTGATAGTCGGAGGGAAAAGACATTGATAGAGGATGGGAGGGATGGAGATGCAGGATCAAAGGGGGGGAGGGGGCGGGAAAAAAAAGAAAAAAAGAAGGCTTTCATGCCATGTCTCTTTGCTGTTCGCCGTCGGTTTGTGCTTAGAAGACGATGACATCAGGAGAGGCCCGGAAAAGCACGCAGATCGACAAACGAGGAGCTGGGCTGGGCAGCTCAGCATCGACTCACTCGCGCCGCTTAGATCCGCAGTTCCACGGTACGGGACAGCAGAAGTGGCGGGCATCATCCCTGGTAGTAATTCCCACGTCTGAGTAAGTATGTACAGGTGGTATGCGAGTGGCGGTCGGGGTAGTGGGTGGAGAGAGGAAATGACGAGAAGAGGAGAGAGGGAGACGGTGCTCAGGGGATTGATTTGCTTACAAAAGGGTAATATTGAGATTCTACGTAATACTAGTACAGGAATTATGAAGGACAGGACGGAGTAGCGGAGTTGTGGTCATAAACATTATATGAAACGGAATATAACTTGAATAAGAATAGGCCTCTTTTTTTATTTTCTCCTTTTAACCTTGTCCCTCAGATGCGTGATCCGAGGCTATGCCATACTGTAAGATGGGGGGATGATTGAGCCGATGGCTATCTGACCTATGAGATCATACCCGCGACGCTTTTAGCAACTGTCCTGGGGTGAGTGGACCTCTGTTGGGCTCTCGATATACTACGAGTACATATACTAATGTCCAAGTTTGTCCAATACATGCAAGCATCACAGCAGCTCTATAACGTGTAGCATTTCAACTTAAAAAGGACCGAAAAACGAAGCAATATGGTTTCAATCCATCTAGATGCTTAGGTTTCTTGGCCATCCCCCCCTTTCGGCATCTGGCTCAAACTCGGGGATGTGCCAAGCGGGAAATTTGGGGGGGAGAACCCCAAATACGTGTGTGGACGGAGTCGTCGCAGACCCGAGACCTTGTAGTAGCATATGTGAAATGACTTCATGGCGCGGGCGGGAAGATAGGCTGGTATACGTGTACGCATGCAGGTAGGTAGCAAGTAGGTTTAGTTGGAGGCCGCCTGGGCGGGAGGAGGAGGAGGAGGGATGGGCGATAAAGGGCTTTTTAGGGTGCAGGGATAGCGCGAGCTGGTTTTTTTCTGCTGTCATTTTTTTGGAGTTGCTTTTTGCTGCTGTTGTTTCTTTTGGCAGTTCGAAAGTGGGAATATGCATGTGCAGTCCAACACGGAAAGGATTGCGGTACAGGTATTATTGCTTTGCTTTTTCTCCTCTTTCCCAGTCATGCATGTAACAATCCATGAAAAAAGGAAGATGGGCGATATTTCCCACTCGCATGTATGTACTGTACCGAGTTTAGTGAGAGGAGGGGGGGGGGAAAGGGACAGGGTGAGCATGAGCTCATGCGGGTAAGAAGTGAGAATGAGCAGTGACAGAGTGTGTGTGTTTCGAGCGTGTTAGACTTTGGGGTTGTGCGACTCAAGCAAGAGGGGAGGGGTGAACAGATGCGTGTCGTATATTGTGGCTAAAATCGAAAACCAGGACCTCTCTCTCCCCAGTTAATTGATTAATTAATTAATCTACGGCTGGTTAATTTGGGCTTGGGATGAGCGCGTATGTGCTTCCGAAGGGACCTCGGGGTAGATTGCATACCGCTTCCTGATGCCGGGTTATTTAACACTCGTGCAAACCATTGCTAGCATCTTAGCATGTTGCTTGCGATTTGTTTTTTTTTTTTTGTTTTTTTTTTCTCCAGTTTCCCGCCTTTTTTGCTTACCAAGTATTGGCAACTTAGACCAAACTCATTCTAGCGGCCCTCCCAAGTACTCGTTTTTTCATTTTCTCTCTCTTCTCATGTCTTCTCCTCAGTCTCGTGCAGCATGCTATGGAGTCAGATGGATAGCATTGGAATGGGCCTTTTTGAGCCCAGAGTCCTATTCGCTCCTCTTTAATCCTCATGCATGCTGCAGTTGGGTCGTACCAGCATGCACGGCAAGGACCAGTTCGCGGGGGGGCGTGTTTAATCAGTGAATTAAGTAACTCTTCCTTTTCTCCCTTACCGTATATTATGTCTCTGTCTCTTTTCTCTCTTTTTTTTCCCTCATAAACGGAGCGGCGGGTGGGTGGATTGTGCCCACGGTAATGGCGCCTGAATAGGTACATTTTGGGGTCCACGGGCCTGGAACCGGTACAAAGTACGTACTGCATGTATCTGTACTTGCGCGAGGCTCCATGTACCGAGACTTGCGCCAAGAAAAAAGAAATTCAAGACGGGCAATGGAAAGGGAAGAAAAAAAAGGAAAAATAAAGTAAAATAGCAGAGATGAAGTCAATGACGGGCCCCAAACGAGGCTGTGGGCATTGCCTCGCCGATTGCCAAAAATGGAATTTGTCTCAAAACCTTAAAACAGCCCAGCCTCGGCAGTAGCATTTCCTCCTTTAGAGTTTCATTCAATATGCTCTACTCTCTCTCTCTGTGTCTCTTCTGTCTCTCTCCCTCTGCCTCTCAGGGCTGTTGCATGCCAGATGCCGTCCGCTACAGCGGCAAGTTAAGTCTAAAATAAACACTGCCACGTCCCGTGGGCTTGGCTACCTTCCGACTGCCGTCTTGGCGGGGCGCACAGTCGAATGAGGTTCGACGGGCCGTCCAAGAGCTGGTTCTTGGCTTTGTTGACTTGTTGAATTTGCATTTTTCGTGTCTTGGATCGTGAGCTGTTCCCGTTCCAGGACACGTTGAGGTTGGTCTTTGGGCGTGGGGGGGGGAAATGCGTTGGTGACCTTGAAGCTTGGTAGTCTCGGAATAGACTCCCTCACATGCATTCATTCAATGGGCGCGAATATACTCCAGGGTTTGCAGCAGTGCCGTGGCGGCGGCAGGTCATCGACTCCCCTAGGGCTGTGGCCTGATTCGTGCTGATGCTTACCATCCCATCCCATCCCATGGGTTCGCCGGCAATTGTCGTTTCACACTCAGGCTTGTGATGCCTCGCTACGGTAACTGAATTATCTGTGCATGCGCAGTAATACAATACTCGTACAGCAGAGGCGGTATGTGGAGAGACTCAAGGCTCGGACGCTGAGCACCGAATGTAACATTGCTGGCGCGCCAAGGATGCTGGATCCGCGGGATGCAGAGGGTTAGCAGACTGACTCTGTGAGACCCCGACAAACCATCATCATCATACATGGCTTGGACAGGGCTACAAACATTCCGAAGATGCTTGGCGCCTCGTCCCGGTGCTTCTATTGGTAGCACCGCCAACTGAACTACTGCCTGTGTCGCCATGGCCGTTGGGGCACGTTCGATGAGCACGGGTCTCTTTTCCTTTGCCCTATGTGTTGTCCATTCTCTTGCGTACTCGTATGCTCTCTGTGGCTCATGGACGTATTACGGCAAGGTCAGGTAGCAACTATCGTGTCATACCGTATGAGTAATAGGCCACAGCAGACGCTAGCTGGTTGGAGGACCCATCCCCAGGGCTGACTTGGTACCTGTACTTGCCAGGAATAATACGTGGAACAAGCAAAGATTTGATGAGATTGTCCCGAAGGCCCTGGGAGCTTCTGCTTTGGATAGTCAGCGCGGCTGAGCACCGGGCAATGACTAAGAGCTCAGTTCATCTGGCGGTGGCCAAGACGTGACCCTGCGCTGCCGTCAAGACAATCCAGCGAATCTCATCGGATGCTAATAAAACATCCAGATCAACCTAATCTTACATTCTCTGTAGGGTAGCCCCCCCTTGTGCTTGGCAAGTGTGGCAGTACAGCTACTCGTACCAAGTTGTACCGCGGGTACAGCAAGTATAGTACAGCAAGTATAGTACTCCGTACAAGTCGACTTGATTGCAAATGACACCCGACTTGATTTGATGGAGTGAAAAAGCCAAAGCCATGCAGCCGTCAGATTCATTTTGGCCACCGGCTGGAATCCGATCCCGGCACTGCCCTGTGACGGCGCTGAAAGGCGTATGCTAGTACCGTACCGCAGCCGACATCCTGTTACTAAGTGCGTGGCTCAGAGCCGGGCTGGCTTTTTGCTCTGCTTCGTCATGCTTTGCAAACGCCCTTCCTTCTCTCCTCTTGTCCCCTCGCTCAGCTCTATGCCATGCCATGCCATGCCATGCCGTGTGCCGCTCCACCGGTGCCGCCGCTGAGCGATTTGCTGCATCAGCATCAGCAGGAGCCTCTCCAATTGGTATATGTACTGTAAGCAAAGGTGGTGAGATTCGATGGCGAGCACAAGGTCCTGCCACTGTCACCTTGGCGCACGAGTTGTGCACTTGCTGTATCGGTACTTGGGCTGGACCGCCAATAGCAGGCGACATGTACATGCAACATGCAGCATGCAGCATCCATGGATCCGTGATCCAATTGATTGATGCAGATGCACGCGCGCATACGAGCCTGCCCTGGCCCTGTCGCACCGCTGCTGGGCGCAAGTCAGTCCCCTAGAGCCTCCCCGTTGGCATTAGTCCCGGTACCTGTACACTGTACAGTACTTTTAATCAAATCAAATCAAATCAATTGATGAATCAAATCTTGATGGAATCCTGCGGCTGCTTATTACTGCAGACTTCCATGTTACCGCTGCCGTACTCTCACCCGTGCTACCCTTAGTAATTGTTCGGCTCGGGTACGTACACACGCCCCGTGTCCTAGCCCTGGACGTCGTTGGCGGCCGCCAGCCAGCCAGCGCCGCCAGAGGTTCCCAAACGGGCAAGACCTGAGGACTTTTTTTTCTTTTTTTCTTTTTTTTTTTTCCCTGTCTAATTTTTGTTCACCCAATTAAGATTTTTTTTTGTTTTAGCCCGCCTCGGCTTGTTCCTCTGTCTCTTCAGTGTTTCACACGCCCGCGCCGTCTCTGTATGGAGCGCCCCCCTCCGCCCATCGACTGGATGCTACTGTAGATGAGATTGAATCAATGAATCACTAATAATGGCGCATCGTATCGTTGACAGTTGGGTGACCTCGGGGTACAGGATTCGTGATCTGGCAGAAAACACACCACCAATGGACCTGTCAATAGCCTGCTAACCGGGTTGGGCACTACCACCACAACGCTGGGTTGCCGTACATTTGGTCCTAGCCTCCTAGGCATGTACGAGTTACTCCATGTCCTCCACACACGCATACCACATGGACTAGCACTGGTATCACGCCGCTCTCCCCAGTCGACTGCTTTTTCCCTTGTGCGAATAAACAACTGCTTTGCGTCTAGCTCGGCGGAGCGTCGACGGCCAGGAAATGGTCCCCAAAGAAAAAAAAGAGGGCCGGCGGTGGAGGAGGGGAAATTTTGGTCGTTCCGTCGTCTTCGGCGAGGACGCAAGTGTCTAAGCACGCGCGCGCGACATACTAACTTGTACATGTGCTGTGCTGTACTATGTAGGTGCTCGCTCATACGAGGCCTACCGATTTGCTATGCGATCCGATCCAATTCCATTTCCCATCATTGACGATGCGAAGCCGCAGTAGCCGCAGTAGCAGCATGTGCTCGTCAATTGCCACTACCTAGCTGTGCGAGTACACAAAGCACATGGCTCAGCTGGATACATGAACATGAACCGAGCCTAGCCCGGCTTATGTACATAGTATGAGCACGAGTTGGAATCCGTCGTCCTTCTCCGCAGTTTTGCAGGTTATTGGAGCGTCGGCATACGTACGGGCAACAGTACCGGCAACCAGCCTAGCCCCGGACTAAAGCTCTCGAAAAAACCCTGCCTGTTTGTGCCTTTGCCTGTGGTCTCAATTGCAAGAGGATTCGGAGCCACTGCTAGCAGCAAACGTAAACGTCTCAGCGTTCCCACCAACCACGGATGGATTGACGTCTCCCGTACAGGCTATCAGCGCTTTGTTGCCCGCCCAAATCCCCCCGACTGTTGGGGGGAGAGTCTCATTTGCGGCGGCGCAGTTTCCAGCACCACTCACGGCCCCTACACTGTCTGTCTGGTATAGTCCTAGAAGCACCCTCCGTGCCTCTGCAAGGAACTGAAGAAGACGCCTGGTACTTCCATGTGCTTGTGCAGATTCGAGTATTGATTGTACGGTACTTGTATACATGTGCCAAGCCAAGGCTCGAGTTCCCAGGGTTCCTTAGTACGAGTATCTGCTCCCGTCCTACGGTCGCCGCGCTGGTACAGTACTTGGCACAGGGACGTGCAGGCTTTGCAGGTACAACTCCCGTTGCAGCTACTCCCTACGGGTGCCGCTACAGGCGCGTGTGCAGCCCCCCCCAGTGGTCGCGCCCGGGCTGCCCTCCGTAATACTCCGTACGCCTCCTGTACCGGTACTCGCCATGCCCGCACAAGCGCTGCTCTGTTCTGTACTGTACATGCCTCTACTGCACTGCAATGCACAATACAGGTAGGTACAGTCCCCACCTCGACCCTACGAGTTTGACCTAAGGGACTTCGTCCAAGTCCGCCCTCACTAATGACTGCAATCATATCCTGCTTTTTTCCCTTGCCATTTATTCCCTCTCGCTCGCCTCTTGCCTCCTCCCCTTGCCCCCTTTTGTCTTTATTCTTTATTCCATCTTACTGGCATTGTCAAATTCGTCTTCTTTAATCTTTTCTTGTCTTCTTTTTCTTTTCTGCTTTTCTCCTCACCTCTCACCTCATCTCCTCTCCCCTCTTGGCTTGAATTGGCTCTCTCACACCTCGCAATTGCCATCACCTCCACTCGCCTGCGTCTGATCTTGGCCGTCCGTCTTCGTCTTGGCCAGCCCAGCCCAGCCCAGCCGCGACTATTGCTGTCAATTTTTCGCCTGGGCGTGTGTGTGAGCTTTAGTGTCTGTGTGTCTAGTTATAGGCATTCGAGGCGCCCAGCTCCACCCCTCTAGTGACGGGCCCTTTTGCACTTATACCGCACGCCACTGCCACCACACATTTTTTTCTAGGACAACTCAGCCCGGCCCTGCGACGGCAACTTTTTTTTGTGTGTCTTTTTTTTGCCTTTGCTTTTGCTGCCATTGGAGCCAAAACTTCAACTTGGATCTTTCCAGCAGCAAGACAAACCTCAAAACACACACATAAAGACCATCCGCAACACGCCCCGGTTTGCTGGCCCTACGACTCCATCATCCCTGCTTGGGCCTCTGCCGCCTCTAGGCGTTCGTCCTCGTCTCAAAAACAGCCCCCCACGCAATTGCATGTGTCGCCTGTGCGTTTGCCCAGTCTCGATCTGACACTGCAAACACCCCTCTTCGATTTCCCTGCTCCCAAGCTACAGCGACCGACGCCTCGGAGTCCCTGCGTCACTGCAACTCGCTACCCTGGACCTCAGGCGCAGATCCGCCTGCTACTATTTTTGAGCTTGATTGCTCTTCATTTTCCCTACTTATACGTCCTCTTTGCCTCGCATTAGCTTTTGTTGCACAAGATCGTCACCCTCGCCTTTTACCTGCTCCGGAACCAGCTTCCGCCGCCGACGCAATCCTCCAGGCTCCCTCCATACACCACCGAGCTCCGTGCTGCATCCCGGGCCTTTGCCACCGGATCAAGCAACGTCCTCGCCCACCTATAAACGTTCGACTGGCCTGCACCACGATCGAAAAGTCCAACTCATCGACAACCTCACACGTACGGCTAGGCGCTATCAAAGCTGTCAAAAATGCCGTCTGCTCCAAACGAGACAAAACCGAGCTCTGCTCAGAGCTCAAAGCCTTCGTCTATCAAGTCATCGCACGAAGGGGGAAAGAGGTCGCCTACCCTGGCTTCGCAGGCCGGGTCTGAGAGACTCTCCCCCTCGCCAAGCGAGACTCAGCTGAAGCCTCTCCCCGAGAAGGCCTCAGTCAAGGATCGCCTTTCGCGCATGTTCTCCAGCAAGGACGTCACCAAGGTCAGCGCCAATGGCGATATTACTCCTCGCTCCCGCGGCCCTTCGGTCAGCGGCGCTTCCACCCCAGTGCCGCGGAAAGAATCAATAGAGAAGCCCGCCGAAAAGCTCCCCGCCGCCAAACCGAAAGAGCCCGTCAAACCCAAGGAACCCTCAAGTCGCTTCACCACCATGGCCGACGCCCCAGGCGGGCACGAGCACTTCCTGAGATCTAGCCGTAGGCAGGAGAAGCTGTCCGACATGTGGCGTAGCATCATCGGAAAGAAGCAAGAACCCCCGCCTGAGAACGACCTCTCGCTCGTCTCCAACTGGGTCGATTCGCTCCGTCAAGAGAAAGAAGAGGCCATCGACAAGAAGGGCGGACCCCACGCTACCTCGACCCTGGTGGAGAAGTACGGCAAGTGCCAAGAAATCGTTGGCCGAGGCGCCTTTGGCATCGTCAGGATATCCCACAAAAAGGTTGGCAGCAGCGGCGAGAAGCTGTTCGCCGTCAAGGAGTTCCGCCGACGACCTGACGAGTCGGAGAAGAAGTACAGCAAGCGCCTTACGGCCGAGTTCTGCATCTCGTCTTCCCTGCGCCACCCCAACGTCATCCACACCCTCGACCTGCTCAAGGACGCCAAGGGCGACTACTGCGAGGTCATGGAGTTTTGTGCCGGCGGGGACCTGTACACTCTCATCCTGTCGAGCGGCAAGCTCGAGGTCCAAGAGGCCGACTGCTTCTTCAAGCAGATGATGAGGGGCGTCGAGTACCTCCACGAGATGGGTGTTGCCCACCGTGACCTCAAGCCCGAGAACCTGCTGCTCACCACGCGCGGCGCCCTGAAGATCACCGACTTCGGCAACGGCGAGTGCTTCCGCATGGCCTGGGAGACAGATGCCCACATGGTCTCTGGCCTCTGCGGATCGGCCCCTTACATCGCTCCCGAGGAGTACACTGACAAGGAGTTTGACGCTCGCGCCGTCGATGTTTGGGCCTGCGGTGTCATTTACATGGCCATGCGCACCGGAAGACACCTATGGCGTGTCGCCAAGAAGGACGACGATGAGTTTTACTTCCGCTACCTGGAGGGCCGCCGCGATGAAGAGGGCTACGGCCCAATCGAGTCATTACACAGGGTATGGTGGCCTCGTATTACCTCCTTTTCACCTGAATTTGCATTGACATGAATTTTTACAGGCTCGTTGTCGCAACGTCATATACTCCGTGTTGGATCCCCATCCGACACGTCGTCTCACGGCTGCTCAGGTCCTCAAATCTGAGTGGGTTCGTGAGATCAAACTTTGCAAGGCCGGTGAAGAAGGCCTCTGAAAGAAGAACCACGACTTCGTGCAGTACACGACAGAACGCTCTGCCTGAAAGCGATGGCACCTCGCGGCTCCGGGATTTTCTCCCCATTTCCCCCTGGATGCCGCCCATCGCCTAATTTTCTCTCCTCTTCAGCAGGCAGAGCTAAATAACATGGAATGACGAAACATGACCCAACGAAAAGAAAAAAACACTTTTAATGATCTCATGTGGCGAAGGTAAAATACCCCTCGGAATTGGCAACTGAATACTTGTTCTTTTCATTTTCATTTTCTCTTCAATTCTTGCGAAAGCGTTTGTGTGTCACGTCACAGTTTTGCATCCTAGCTGGCTTAACATGGTACGCTCGCTTTTGCTTTCTTCTTTAACTTTTACTTTTACTTTTATCCTTCTTCTTCTTCTTCTTCTTCTTCTTATAATGATTTGGCGATTTTGGATTACGAGGCTCGCCCCATATCTTCTTGTATTCCACTTTTTACTCTGTATACACAAACCAAGCTTTGGCGTTTGGCGAATTGGCCGAGAGGCGATCTGTACAGCAAAAAGAAAATCCAGAAAGAAATTTCTCTTTACTCCCCGCGTATGGCGGATCATGTGTTGTTGGTTTGGACCACGGGTCAGCAGTGGACAAACAGAAATGTCCCCGACCCTCCCTTTCTTATTCTTGTCTGGCGCACGCGGGCTTTGTTACGCCCTGATACAACTTTTTTTACAGCAACAAAGAAGGGTGGCGGCATCGGCGTATGAGCTACAATATACGGGAGCAAGAGAGAGGGGAGGCGAACTAGGAAACGGGTTGGGCAGGGCAGGATTGGATTGGCGTCGGGCATTTGGGAACGGGAAAGGCTCTCTCTCACTTTACTGGGTGAACCACGGGCCAGCCTGCATTTTGGACTTTTTTTTCTTTTCTTTTCTTTTTTTTTTAACCATTGATTTTTGGACAACAAGAGAAAGGGAGAGAAACCAACGGAAAGCGGGAGTTTTTCGAGTAGTTTTGGCGGGAATGTTCTGCAAACGTTTTGCCTGCGATGTCGGCTTGCTATTTTGTCGCGTAGTGCGGCTAGTTGAAATGCCAAATCAAATCTTGTGCTTGCCTTTCTGCTTTGGCTTGTATTTTCTTGCTTCTTGTTGCCTCTTTTTGCCTCAGTTCTGGATTCTTGGCCTCTGCCTGTTTGTTGCCCCCTTGCGTGCCCTTGTTTCCATGACCAACAGACAGCCCCGTGCTTGAAACCCATTTTCAGCGCTTTCTTTAATTAAAAACCTGGAAGAGAGGTAGAGTGACGTGCGTGGCTGGCAGCTGTTCGCATTCTCATTACCCAAGCAATGGTCCTTTTGGTGATGGGTTTCTTCCTAAATGGCCCCCATTTTCTGGTCTTCACCGACTGTTTGAGCTCTTCCTTCGTTTTTCTTTTGTTTTTTCCTGTCATGTTTTTTCCTTTTTTTTTTAAATATGGATCTTGTTGTGATCATCTCATCTAGAGTGGTATTCTCACACCTCTTTTCGACGATCAGGCTCTGTTGGGGGTCGATCAGGGTTGTGTATGTACCTAACTGCTGATCTTTCTTATAGGGGACGTTCTAGAGTAAGTACTAGACTAATATCAACTGCTGTTGTATCAGGCATGAACGCTCCTCAAAACACAACAACAAGAGATCTCCAACTAACAGCCACGGCCCGAAACATATGATATCATACCTCCAAGTCAAAGTGCCGTGACGACAACACTCGTTTCTTTGGGCACCAAAAAGAACCGCTGGCTCGTGATACCCTCTTCCTCCCCAACCCAACCCTCACTAAAAAAAACAGATCTGGTGACGTACCGTCCAAACCGGCCCCCAGATCATCTCAACGCCAATTAGGAAGTTAGTTCGAAGAGAAGCTTCTCCGCATTCTTAATTAGTAATCCCAGCGCGGCACCATCCAGCAAGTGAAACGACGAGCTGAAAAAGCCATAGTTGGGCTAAATCATTCAAGTCAGGCGGATGGAATGAAGCCACTGGTCACGAGACAACGCAGAAAAGCAAGCAACTAAAAAACCCGCATCGTTTAAACAACTGCTTTGTATTCGCCCCCTCCTCGCTTTGCATCTCTCGACGCAATTTGAATTACAAGCATCCAGGTGCTCTTTTGCTATGCTCTTTGGCAAAACACTAGCATACTTCAAACGCCCATTAACCAGCACACACGGTACGCCTGCAAAAAACCAAGACAAAACAAAAAAATAGGAAACGAGGAAAACAGAGGCGATAATAGGGAGAGACTGCAAAGCGTCTCGTATATCGATTCATTAACTTCCTCCCAAATGCAGAGTCGACAGATCCCCCAGAAAATATCAACACATCCAACGCCAGATGAATACCCTTGCAAAATTAACCATCTCCCCCCCTTTCCATATCCATCATTGCCCCTAAGCCGCGCACCACTTGTGTGTGTGTGTATGGGCAGTAAGATACCTCCTTTTCCCTCTCCCCTTGGTTGCCAAAAAAAATGTAGATATGTATCGTAGAATAAGTATAAGACACAAAGCGGGAGTGGCTACCCTTCCAATTCCCTCTCTGTACGTGGCTAGCCTTTTCGGAGCTTCCCCAGCTAGATCAAGGATGAAACGAAGAGACGTCGTAATGTTAAAGCCTCAGTGTTGCCAGCCCCAGCCTTCCTCGAAATGAAGGCCAGGGAGAGGATGTGGCCCTCCCAACAAGAAGCACCGATAGACAGATGAAAACGTGCAAGGAAAATAAAAATCATCCAGAGGACGGAGAAAGAAGGCACAAAGGAAATTCTTCACGAGCTTCTCCGGAAAGAAGGGATATCGTTTCACCATGACATAACCCATGCCCTGTCCCACTTCGCCCTGTCATGTACACATTTCAGGGCGGAAAGCTTCAAACAACACCAGCATTAAATGGCTAAATACGTGGCCAGCCAGAGCCTTTTGATGGGTGAGTTGCACTTCCGCCTCGTTTGAAGAGCGGCTTGATCCTTTATGAATGGAACAGATCCCAGGCTCTAGCACACAGCTGCAGAAATTCCTCCTTCTTGGCTCGTTGCGTTTCGGGGCTGTCACGGCCGGCACCAAAGGGGCCACGTCGTGTAGGGGCGGGACCATAGCCCAGCGGAGGGCTGCTGCCTTCCTCATATTCGGCTCGTGTTCGCCTCCGGCTTGTGCTTCGATGGGCCTCTGGATTACGGTTTCCGCCAGCAACGGGAGAGGGAGGCGTTGGAGGTTGATGACCGCCGTAGTGGACGAGTCTAGGTAGCAATTCCGGTCGTCCACCAGCCAATTCATGCTGGGCCTCTTCTGCGGACTTGTACTCTCTCAGGCGACCAGACATAGGCGCTTGGTGAGCTGGGGGGAGGCCAGGAGACAATTGGGGCCGTGACATCGCGTGGTTAGGGTAGAGGGCGGAGGTGTGTGGTCCATTGTCCGGATGAGCTGAGAGATTCTGGCCAAAGACATCACTGATGGGAGGTAGCCGGTTTGTGGTCTGGTTGGCATGAACATGGTTGATGTGGGAGGAGCCTGAAAGGTTAGAAGCCTGGTTATGCGCTTGTCTTGTAGGTGGCATATGTTGTCCGGTAAAGCTGCGGCCAAGGGGCGCAGATTGAATCACTCTTTCGTTTGCAAACTGCTGATGTGAGGGTGCAACAATGGAGAGCCCGGGGGGCGCCTTATTTCTACGAGACATGCCCGGTGTCTTGGCGGCGAAGGGCGATTCCTTTTCCTTTTCAGATGGGCCATCTCCCTTGGCGGATTGCTGCAGCTGCAGTCTTGCTTCGATGAGGCTTCGCTGCTGTTCCCGGACCGTCATGCTTCGCTGAAGTTGTTCCTTCATCACAGGATCCTGTGTCATAAATCCGGGGGAAAGACAGGCAATGCCTACTTCTTGGATTCCTAGTCCGTCGCGGGCCGTCATTGGATGGGCTGAGGAAGGATTGGATCCAGCCAGAGTGTTTTTAGACAAATCCAGCCGTCTGGGCCGGGGTCTTGAGGCGGGTAGACCAGGCGAGACTGGCTCTTTCTTAACGACAATCTTGGGGTGACCGGCATCCTTTCGAGATCTGTAATAGTAACCAAATTTGTCAGCAAGATGGACTTGGTTGCACTGTAGCGAAAAAAGATGCCCAGTGCTGGCGTGCAAGGCGGCAGAAACTTACGCGTTGGGAGATTTGCTTGTCGTGGCATTATCAGACTTTGGGCTGCCGTTGCCGGAGGGCTGGGCCGTTGATGCGCCTGGGAGTTGACTCCTGGGCTGTGAAGGCACCGCGTTCCGCGCAGGCGGCGATGTAGAAGATGTCGAAGGAGCAGGGCGTTCGGTAGCAAACGTACTCCTTTCGTGAGGAGCCGGCGAAGGGGCCATGGCAATTGCTGTGCTCATCGTGGCGGTAGTTTGGAAATGTGGGATTATGTAAAGACGAGAAAATGGTTTGGTGAATTAGATTTGGACGAAGCCGAGCTGGATCAGCTGAGAACGTCGCGGGCGCAGAGTGTGCGAATGTCGTTGGAGGCAATTATCGTCCAGTTCTCAGTGCGACGAAAGAAATCGGGCGAAAGATTCGAAAACGGGAAACAAGATTTACCCCGAAACCAACAGAGCCCAATTTGCACTTCCCCTCCACCAAAAGATACGCTTCGCGGGTCGTCTCTTCGTTGCTGGCAGAGAGAGAAAATAAAAAGAAAGCGACTTGATCGTAGAATTCCCAAAGTTGATGGTTGGGTTGGAGAAAGAAAAAAAGAGTGCTGGAGGCTTCGCCCTGCCGTTTTCACAGCAACGAGGACCTTGAAAAGGCTGGTGAGAGAGGGAGAAAAAGGTCAAGTTGGGGGGAAAGGCGAATGCGTTTCAGGAGACTGGCGATTCGAGATGTGGTTTGTCCGAATATATTGCGATCGGGGAACAAGTACGGAGTACTTCGTATTTGGGACCCGGTAAGCCAAGCACAGGCGATTGGGGCTGGAGGAATTTTGTGACGCTGGTACTGTGTACTGGCACAAGCGCCCGTAGGTCCAGAACGTTAATGCACAAGCATACACCCACGCACCACGCGCGCACACCAGGGGTTGCCGAGGGCGGTTCCGGGGCTTTATTGGCGAATGAAATGGAGGCGTTCCAGTGCGTTTACAGGTACACTTTGCGATGGACGAGCAGACCAGACCAGACGAGACGGGCGGGCGTCGGCGAATTGGAGTGGCGGGGGGGCAGCCTGGGTTGAGAATTTGATGGGCTTTCTTATGTTGCTCCCGGCTGGTGAGAGTAGGAAAACGAAGCTGGCAGCAAACTGACGGCAAAGGGAAAAAAAAGAACAAGAGGCGGACGGCACGAGGGGCAGGCGCCGTTTGTTTTATTTGGCCCGCGCAAACGCATGAATCGGTCTGAATAGCCTCCCGCAGGCCTGAATGAAAGGGGCCCCCAGGTTCGTCACAGAGGGAGGGGAAGTGACACGGATGCCGGACAGCTTCACAGCAGCTTGTGAAGCGATGGATGGGAGATGATGGATCGAAAACAGCATGGGGGGGGAGGGGGCGTGTCTGAGAGGAGAAACGACCTGACGTCTGTCTGGTCTCAGTGGTGCAAGTCAGTCACATTGGGCTACAAGTACATACAAGCGCAGAGGCCAGCGCCTGAAATTGAAGCTGCTACAGGCGCTGCAAGCATTCAGTCACAGCGCTCACAGGTACAAGCTGGTACCGCAACCGCTCGCAAGGCACTGCTAGCGCCATACTGGCACCCGGTAGCGCACGTGTGCCGCGTGCCAAATCCTTGTACCGTCCAGTACCTGTCCGATTCGAGGGGCGTGTCTCCAAGGCCGCCAAACCCAAAACAAAGCCCACTGTAGGAGCCGCCTGCGGTGCATCGGAACCAGGGGCTGGCAAGCTGCGAGGCTCCCTGGCCCTCAGCGGCCTCTCACTGGATTGCTGCTGATCCACCGCCCCTCCGCCTCACCTGCGCTGTGCGAGCAAAAGCCCGTCAGGCTTTGGGCCTGTCCACCCACCACCGCGGCCAAGGCTGGTAGGGTGTTTTACCTTGATGCTCTGGTACTAGTAGTCTATTACTTGTAGCTACCCGGTTAATGTACAGTGCCGTACCGTACAGTACAGTACAGTACAGTACATGGATCTATTCAATGATCATGAGAATTTTTCGTCTTGTCTGCACGTCTTTCAGTGCCCAAAGTGGTGGTGCTCTTTGTTTCGCTCTGTCTTGTCTGTGACGTGCCCCCGGTGACTTTAGCCTGCCAGCCACTGCCCTCCCTGTTCACGCCTGGCTGGCTGGTCGCCACAGGTACCGGCAGTCCCTGGCAGTGATCAGCTCTCCCCCAGCCGAGCATTGACGTTCATTTTGGGGGCTAATTTCATTCAAATACAATGATGTGTATTTTTGGACGTGCCTGAATCAATTACATGGCGGCTCAAACAATAGCGTCATTCCATCGATGGCAGAGGCCAGCAATGAAGGCGAATGCTTGAATATTGACCCAATATTGGCACAAGGAATGCTGATGCTGGTGCTTATCATGCTCCGCATCGTGGATGAATTATTGACCAGACGGCAGAAAGTCATCAATAGCTTGGCCCACGAACCAGCTGCTTGTTTTAGCACCAGGCCCTATCAGCCGTCGCACCGGACTTTGTTACGCTGTTACTGTAGCTCGCCGATGCCATTGCCCGCAGAGACAATGGCTGTTTCGACAGACAGACGGTTAACAAAAGAGAAGGAAGCCATTCAGGCTGTGTTGCCACTCGACAAGCTAATTCTGGAGCCAGGCCCCCCTGGTGCGGAGCGCGTGCGTTCGATATTTGTGTGGTGAGGTTGTAGCGTTTCAATGGTGAGACGCCTACCGATACCGATGCGCTTCAGAACAAGTATACCTGACAGTTACGGTACTCCGTACAGTAGAGCGCAAAAACTCAACATCTGCTAGATGGCCTCGTAAATCCCGGCCAGCATTATACGATATCTACCTGTTTATGATGCGTGCTACTTTGTGTTACTGCTTCCCACCGCATGCCAGAGCACAGCGAATGCTCGCATTGGGCAGCGTCGAGAAATTATTGGCGCAATACATCATGCCGCGGCAGCTGAATCTCTGTCACGACAGGGGTTAAAGTTGCATCAATTTGCTCGCGCAATGCTGTGCGCGGCAGCAGTCACCGGATCAACGGGGCCTTGTTTTTTGCTTCCATGTCTTTGTCTGATCACGATTCTCTAATGCCAGATAACTCCCATCTCAGAACAGCCCTCATTTCCCGCGCCCCAGATAGAGGTGTAAGCAGGCGTTGAAACCCGTAATGAAGAATGAAGCCTCCCCACACTGCTAGCAGACCAGATTACTCCAGAAACAAGATCCAACTACTACTATTAATTGCTCCGTACCACTTTGTTCATTCGCCATTGGGCATTGGGCATTGCACTACCTGCTAAGACCCTGGGTCAAATTAGTTGCAAAAGCTAGCCCTTTGGCCCTGTCGATCTCATCAAGTTCCACATTATACTTGACCATTGATATTCTCGTCATGTTGTATCACGATTTTTTCCTTCAATACGAAGCCCGTTGGCCCGTTGGATTTGCTCGTACCCGCATAGTTATCGGCGACTACAAGGTAGTTGTGAAATTCGATAATGGGAAACAAACTTTTGCCGGCGGGGTCGTGATTGCCGTCCCTTGGTTTCTCGTATCCAAGGATATGTTTTTTTTTTCTTTTGCAAACATCGCTCAGCCGCATATACGATGATACACGTTTTGTAGCTTGAATCCTTCCATGTCAGCAATTCTGTCCCGCATCAGCATCTCGCTTGCAGACAAAGATCCTTTGTCGTTCTCTGCTAAGAGATGCATATCAAACCGCTACGTGCACCACACGGTACATACTCACATGCGTCTTCCTTCTTTTTGGCTAAACGAAGATGAAAAAGTTCATCGCGCATTTCCAATCTTGGTGGGTGTTGCAAATCCGTAGCACGATACTTCGTACTGGCTGCATGACCCCTCATTAGACCAGGCAGTCGTCCTTCCTTCCTACAGACACCCCCCTATCCCTGTACGATTTTGTAAAAGGCCATGTTCCTGTTTGTACTGTTTTCTCGACAACGTACACCAAGTGTAGTGTACGGCTACAGTAGCAAATATTGATGCTGCCCATTTTGTGGTGGTAGTATTGGGAAGTAATAGCTGCTTTTTGGCGATTGGGGTGCGACAAGGGCTTCGGAAAGCTGGTAGAAAATGCAACCCTGATTTCGTGCCTCTCATCGAAAGATTTTGAGCCCGTTCAAGCCATATAACAACAACAACAACAAAAAACAAAACACAAAACACAAAACACACTCTCACCGTTCGTACGATCCAAATGCCACCGGTTGGAATCATCCGGAGGCCATGCACAGACATTCTGCCCCCCAAGAACACTGAACCCCTGTGCCGAAACTTGCAGCGTTTGAGCATTTCGCCACCCGCTGGCCTCGCCTCTTTTTTTCTCCTCTTGTCGATCATATCAGTACTTTGTCCCCTTGTCCAGGACCCTGAAATCCATCGCCAGCCTTCTCACCGCTGCACAGGCGCCCACTCTTCACCAAATGTTAAAACTGGTAGGGCTCCTGCTGCTGCTTCTTCTTTGTGACTCGTTAGATTTTTTCCTCTGCTTCTCTTCTTGTCAGGGTCCTGCCCCACCCTCCCAGCGCTATCCCGCTTGGCCTGCCCACTGATTTTCGATACTCGAACAAGCTCGTGCCTCATCGTGGCTCCTGCGCACGCTGTGACAGGTACGTTACAGCACTCGTCCACCGCGAGTGAGGGTCAATGGATCTTGGGTAAATTGAGCTCGGTACTCGTCCTTTGCACTTTCGAGCACTGTACAGAGTACTTACAGCGATTGCTCGAGTGCTCGAAGGATGGCGATGGTGGGCGTGTTGGGTTGGCTCTCAACCACTGATTTCCGGCAGAGATGACTTCAATGTTTGTACGAGTACCTTGGTATTTCTGGGTGATGCTTCAACATCAAACAGCTGCTGCGGATGTGCTCTTACGTGTGCGCTGTGCAGAGACAGGCAGGAGATTTCACCCTCTAACCTGCAACTAGGTAAACATACATGGCACCAAAACTTGTCGCAGCCCTATTCGCGGACCCCAACGACATCCATGTCAGCTACCGCTCACATCAGACGACCGCGCCTCTCTTTGCACAGGTAGCCGGTTGAAATAAAGCAAGGCAGCTCCCCTAGACTGGCAAACAGTTTCATCACCGGCAGATCGCTCTACTTGATACTGAACCATAGCTCCTGGTGCTATCGTTCGAGAGTGTTTTTCTCTTGCCGTTTTGCCACTGTGAATCGAGCCTCGTGACGAGACCTTTGGAAGGAAAAAAGAGGAACAAGACGCCCGTCTCCGCTGGGGACTAATCGCTGCTTCACCTGAGACGACGACGTCTCAGGTCGGGTGGGACGCCTTTGGCAAGGCTGCAGGGGTTTGGCTCCGTCCCCTTGTCAATCATTCGTTGGACATGGCACTTGGCTGGCTCGACTATTAGCTCCGTTTCAACCCAATGCTGCGACCAAGAGCACGATTGGGCGGCCCGGACCTTTTCAAAGTCGGAAGAGGCAACGTTTATCGCCTCTTCCTGTTGTTTCATTGTGTGCTTGGCGACGAGGAAGACGAAAGCAGAGAAAAATTTTGCAAACCCGGCGGAAGGCTCTGCTTCACCATCAGAGACCCTGTTCCTGCTGCGAATCCGTGCACGGCCTGGCGCATCACTAGGTCCTCTGCAAGAAATGCCGACAACCCAATCAAGTCTTCACCGGCGTTACACGAAATTGCTTGTGATGGTAACGTGCCCCCAGTTTCCCCGAGTGGCCACCGCTGCGAGTTGATTGACTGTGACCAGGGATCCTCCAACCCCAGCGGCCACAGACAGGTTATATGGCATGTGATGTAATTCCGGTGGGGGTTCCAGGTTGCTCTTTGGTCCCTCTGAATCTCTGACCGTCTCGATTCCTTCGGCCTTGTAACACCACTCTGTCCGTATTCTCGGTTTGGGGTATCCCAGAGCGACTGGGCTCGTATGTGGTTCGCGTACAAACACGCATGCAAGAGGATACCCAATGCTGCATGTGAGTCTTTCGGTGCTGGCCACTGCACGACTGATACAAAATAGACTAGATCCTTGTGTAAGCTTGCAATTTGCGCATATTACTGGGAACATTATAGAGTGAGTAATACTCTGTGCTCCGTGTATATTGCCGTTCATTATACAGTAAAGTACTTCTAGGTACTATGTATGGTACTAAAGTGATCCAACGTTGTTGGTCCAAAGAAGCACAGCTGCCCGATATGAAGTGGCATCCTTGTTGAATACCACCTCACAAAACTTAGCAGTGAAGGCGGATGGATCGTTAGCCCGATGGCCATTTTGTAATCTGGTAGTAATGATTAAAAAGCTAGTCTTGGTAATACTCACAACAGGCACCTCCACTCTTACAACTCTTCTATAGCGTTGATTTACTTCGAGATCATGTATGAGCGAGCCATTGCTGGCAAAAAGGTATCACTAACGCCTAGGAGGTGCAAAAATACATGTAATTGCGCCCGAGGGGGGTCTCGAACCCCCAACCTTGCGGTTAAAAGCCGCACGCTCTAGCCAATTGAGCTACCCGGGCCCACAATTATGTAAACCACTACTGGCTGGTAGTGAAGGTGGGTCGTGAAATTATCGATCTTTTTATTAATTATATAGCCTTCACCAGTGTATGGATAAGATTTAGCGCTTCATAGGCACTTACTCTGCTGAAGCAGTCATTTGGAATAGGTCCTAGATGCTTTAGCAGGAGTAGATAGTACTGTTATTGCTATCTAGAAATGATGAAAAATCTTGTAAAATTTATTCATATTAAAACCCCAGAGATTTATATCTACCGTTAATGTGGCGCTGTCGAGAAAGTGAGTACATGTATTCTTCGCGTGCTATTGTTCATGAACTATTATATGAATACCATAGATCAAAAGATCATTCGGAATCAAGGCTCTCACACATGAAGCCTTGCATGATAATGTTGTTATATGCCTTTTCGGCGGGAGGGGCTTTCTTGAAGTGGGGTTGTACTTACAGCTGAGTGAAATTACTAGGTAGCATTATGAGATGCAGAATATATGATCCCGCGTCCCCCAAGGCTGTATCTTGCAGACGCTATCCCCCAAACTTGCAGAGTGGTATCAAAGAACAATCCAGCATCTATGAAAGCAGAATGAGCTGGCGTAGAGACCTTTTTGTTCGGCAAGAGGATGGGGGGCCTGCTTTATCTCCTGCGTGTATAAGCCTTTGCAGTATGTCCTTAAACTCCCTTCGACTACCACATATACATTTGACTCCGATTTTACTTGCTTCTTCCCCATGCTGATAACATTTTAATACCAGATCAAGCCTTACAAATTATGCAGAAGGAAGGGAAAACTCCCACTCTTTGCAAAGACTCCGACTTCCGTGGTGCCGTAAATGAATGCAACAAATGTCTTACCTCGCACCCTCCCACCCAGAACACAACCGAGTTGGTTGTAACCGATCCGTTCTTCCGGCTTATATCTTACTGCGACTTTGTGGTGCATACTATTACGGGATCTTTTACACTGACGAATGGCCAGGTAGCAACCGTGGTCTACGTGGTGCCGGAAAAGTTGTCTGTTACTACCTCTACTACGACATCTAGTGTACATACAAGTAATGGGTCTTCCAGATTCGCAACATCGACATCTTCCAACAGCCAGAGCGTGACCTCAAGCCCATCTATTCCTGGTGAGTACCCTTGGTAATATTGGCTGGCCTCACTGAGCTCCCTATCTTACATCTTCTTAGCTAGTCCATTACCAGATGGGCAACGAAGTGACGCCTGGATAGCAGGTCCTGTTGTCGGCTCTATCGTGGGTTTCGCCATCATATGTGGTGCTTTGTTTTATTTTTGGAGGAGACCTGGACAAAAACAGCAAGCCAACCATGATGCGACATATGACAAAGCGCAACTGCATTCTGACAGCGCGCCTAAACCGGAGCTTGATTCTCAAGCAATTCATGAATTGGATGCTTTTCCAATGCGAACCGAGATGCCTGTCAATGAGGCATCTGCAGCGGAGTTGTCAACAAGTAATGAGGCCGAAAGCTTCGAAGTGAGCGTCACGAGGGATCTAAACCAGGTGCTATCCGGCTCCGATACTTCTGATCCTACAAGTCATCGTACACATGTACACACATAGGTACTCGCAAGCAACTGACATACCGCCACACTAAAAGTTCCAACAAGGGGAATACGGAGACTTCGATCCCTAATTACTCACCGCGGAGTAAACGACATCAATATAATTCGCGGAGATACTTCTCGTTCTAAGTAGCGGATCCCCATGAAATGAACTTCTGGTTACAATAACTCCGTTGTTCTGAGTGACTCGAGCTTGGAACACATTGGGACAAGAGCAATGGCCCACAAGTCGAGGCCATTCAATGGATTTTGCCCCAACAATATACCAAAGGGCTCTGCAGAATTGGTTTCGAAAATGCTGATCATAGCTGATGGTTTGTGGGGTCGGAACGACTCTGCAATTTTGAGGGAGTGGCCATTCAGCACCCTAAGTTGGCTATCCAGCAACCCGTGTCTGTAAATCTGAAGTTGTCCACCTAGGCATATGTAGTCATAATGGTAGATACTAGAAGAAATTAGCGATAGTAGAAGAAAGTAGCAGTACTAGCAGAAAGTAGCGGTACTAGCAGAAAGTAATGACAGTATCAGATACTCAAGGAACCGCGTATTCGCTCAAGTGAGGTAACCTTAGATAAAAGGTATTTCATTTGCGTCATGTTATGACGCTTGATGTAGTCGCTGGCGTGTGGGAGAGCCGGCTGGAGGTGCGGTCAATCACCCCTGATGCCCGAAACGAAATGGAAGACGGAAAAGATGCGCTTCATAGAATTAGATGAATATTTAGCGCTGAAATTAGGCAAGTCTTTAACAGGATGGTGACCGGATATGGCTTGTACTCACTGATGTTGCAACCCTTTGGCCCTAGATGGATACCTCCAGTCAATTTGTCTACCCTCGACACTCTGCCACTAGAACTTGAGAAAAGGAAACGATTTCGCACTATTTGGAATATATAGCCACAGGGACTTCTTGCTTCTACTAACATTGCAACTCAACCTTGAGCATGTTCCTTAGTAAGGCCTCAGTTCCCATATCACCTTGGCGACATATGTAGCATGTCTTTTGGCTGGAGAGCTTTCAGGTGTAGTCTCATCATTGGCCTATTAGTGTGTCACGTGTGAAGAATACAACGAGTTTGGAGCCCGTTATATTTTGTCCCTTTGGTAACTCCGAAAGTGTTCTTACAAAATACCTATGTAGAGGGTGCCGGTGGAAGCGCCTGATATATATACAGGGAGGTGGATAACTTGGAATTTACTTTGTGGTGGTACCTCAGGTAAATGCGGAAGGTTTTTTGTTAGAGCAATTTGCTGGAAGCTTAAGAGATTGTAAAGTAAAAAGAACTATATATCGCCTCATATTTTGCTCCATTTAGCTTTGCATTATACAACCGCCCAAATACTCCCAAACTTAGCATCACCCAACTGAGGCTAATCTGATATCCAGACCCTGTTGTTGTACGCTGAAAACCCTCTGGGGGGTGGCGCTCCACTTCGAAGCACCCATTCCGCTTCCGTAATCCGGCAGCGAAAAAAATGCCCCACTATCGGCGCGCTCTCATCAAAATTTCATGAGCCGCCAAATTTTGTTTGAGAAGCCAAAGGCGAAAAGTTTAGTAAAAGCTGCATCATTTCATTATTTTACGTTCCGCCATTGTTGCGCAATCTCAACGAAGAGAAGCTATTCTTTACAAACTTTCCTGAGCGAAAATCACCAAATTTTTTAACGCCTTAGAATAAAAAGATGCCTGGACGAACAAAGGCGCAGGATGCCGCATCTCAGGACGCTGATATGCAGGACGTCCCGCCATCTGGACAAGATGAGATCAACCAGGATGCGGAAATGAGAGAGGATGCCGAGGTTGAAGAAGAAGAGGAAGAGGAAGAGGAAGAGGTCGAACCTCAGAGAGTGCGAATTGTATGGCCAGAGTCTAGCATGACTGAGAGAATCTTGATTTACTAACGGAGGTGACAGCTCCCTGGTTCGACGGACACAGCGGCTTCGTTTGAGTTCACCGATGAAGGCCATACTCTAGGCAACGCCCTAAGATATGTCATTATGAAGAAGTATGTTTCCAATCGCCGGATATGTCCAGTTATTCGAAGCTAATGTCCCCTAGCCCTGATGTTGAATTCTGCGCCTATTCAATCCCCCACCCATCTGAACCCAAGATGAACATCAGAATACAAACTTATGGTAATATTTGCTCTACTCTATCATTTGTGAATTCTTGCTAACGCTCTTGTCTATAGACGGCACAGCAGTGAATGCCCTTAAGAAAGGCTTGAGTGACTTGCAGGACGTGTGTGACGTTGTTGCTGAGGAGTTTTGGACAAAGAGGCAGCAGTTCAACTCAGAGCAGGGCATTGACCGATGATTATGAAAGGCAAGGGAAATGGAGGGGAGCATTAGAGGGGGAAACTGGGCTGCTATCTGAAAACTGGTAATTCACACGCATAGAAGAGTCATTTGTATATGGACATTATGCGATTTCATGGCGTTATATGGATGGTTTCGACACAAAATCTTTACACAGAGATATTTACAAAACAAAATTTCTTGCATTGTCTTTCTAATTTCGACCCTATCAAGCTTCATTAGCTCTCGTTGATCGGCTAGTACAATTGCCGCTCTGCAAACTCACCTCAAGGAAGCCAGCCATGAAGCTGGACGGAAGCCTCTTGTCCCCTCTAAAGTTGTCGCTGAAATAAGACATGATGTGAGTCTGCTGCTTCCAGAAGTTCATTGTCTCCTGTACCCCGCGAAATTAGCACACGGCCTTCCTCCCCTCAAAGCATGGCTCGGGTGTTTTTTTTTATTAAGGCGGCATCCGTACCTGGTACTCTGTGTGAGACTTGAAGAGGAGCACGTCGACTATGGAGAGCTGGTTCGCATATCGGTGTCGCTCGAACTCCTGTCGCATCCGTGTTCGGAGGGTCGAGATGGGCAGAGGGACATTGTACATCGTTTGGATTTCAGGCGCCTGTATTTCCCTCCATTAGACTTCGGTTCTATACCACGGCAACATGCCACCAGCGGCACCATTTCCAATTCCAACTTCCGGCTGGTGGGTGGCCTCGAGAGGGAATTTCGTGGGACGTACAGCTCGGATCCATTCGCGGTAGGAAGAAAGGACTCGACGCTTCGCATCCGACCAGCTGGTCGCTGCATGACGTATTAGCTCTGTCGGACCATCGGTACGTGCAAAAGACTCACATTGCGCCGTCTTCTTGGCGAATTGGGTCGGCGAAATGGCCATGGCGGGTGATGTATGCTTGTCAGCGCAATAAATTCAATGCCGTGACGTTGAGTTGATACTGAGGAATCATGCCCACCTCCAAGCATCGAATTATCACGTGATTGGGCGCCAGATCCTGGTTGCGCCACACGCGACATGTCTTTGCCCCTCGGGTGTGGCTTAGCTCAGCCTTGTCGACGCGCTTCTGGAATTCTGGAATCTCTCCCAAGCTTGCTTCTACCCATCACGTACAAAACTTGCTGCGGAACATCGGCCCCTGCTCTTCTTGTTTCTTTCATTTGCATTGCGACTAGTCCAAGATGCCGGCCATTAGACACTCCTCAAAAAGAAAGCCGCCGCCAGAGGGCTTCAGCGATATCGAGGATGACCTTCTGATCTTTGCGAACAAGATGAAGGATGCGCAGAACAAGCCTCCTCCTCCCGGCCCGAAGCACATGGCGCAGTGGGAGATCTTCCAGATTGCGCACCAGAGGAGCCGATACGTATACGACCTTTATTACGAGAAGGAAGCCATCAGCAAGCAGCTATACGAATGGCTACTTAAGAATGGTTATGCTGATGCGATGCTAATCGCCAAGTGGAAGAAGCAGGGTTACGAGAAGGCAAGTTGCTATCCACGCGCTCCCTATCTGTAATTTTCTCATGCTAACACACTCGATAGCTCTGTTGCTTACGCTGCGTTCAAACAAAGGAAACAAACTTCAACAGCACCTGCATTTGTCGAGTACCACGAGCTCAGCTGAAAGAAGATAGCGATATGCAATGCGTCAGCTGTGGCTGCAGAGGATGTGCATCCAGTGATTAAGAGGAGGTGATGGCTTTGGATTCCATTGTGGCCATCGGAATAACGAACCAGAGATTTGCTACAGGCGTTAGGGCGTCGGGCGTCGAATTGCGATCAAATTGCTCCATGGACGGGCAGCAAAACAGAAAAGACATAGATTGGGTTGATGTTGATCTCGAAAGAGGTAGATATCCTTCATTTTAGCTGAGCCATATTCTTTCATAACATCATGCTGATCATTTTCACAATTTCCAGTTCAACTCCACGTGACTCCTTTCTATTATCTTTTCGAGAATCCTGGCCGGCCCCGACCAAATCGGATACTTGGAGGGACAAATTGCAGAGCCGACATGGCCCCAGTAAGATCTGCCATCTCAGTGTCCGCTGGTTTCTCCGACTTTGCTTTGCCATTGGGCGCTGTGGTGGAAGGCAGAGTGGGCTGTGATTTGTTGTCGGACGGTGATGCCTCCTTTTCTAGAGTGTTCGCACGACGACGAAGCTCTTTGGCCTGTGACTGTGAGCCTGCTGAAGACCTTCGTCGATGGCTGGTCTCGATGAGAAGGGAGCGCTTCCCGTCAATCCCGTCTTTTGTGACGGCGAAGAAGAAGTTCTTGGGGTACATGTGCTTGTCGATTAGGTGTAGACGCCTTTTCTGAGGAGTCATGCACTTGCGCTCGCATCCTTCAACAAAGCAGGAATACTGAGCCGTGTTAGAGTAACTCTACCCATGGCAGTGGTCTAGTGATATCGTCCTTAGCTTACCGTGTGTTCTCCCTTGTCCCTGGCGACCTTTGCCAAGGGGTCATGGCATTCTTCAATGTGTATACTGAGGAGATGATCAGTTGGGAAGTTTTTGCGACATTCAATGCATCTGTTTGTATGGAAGTTGTGATAGTGAGTCTCGTAATCGCTGTATAGCCGAAAGCCCAGCGGCTCTTTGTGAGGGGGGAGTGAGCATCTCATTACGAATTCGTTATCCTCGTCTTCGGCAGCCGAGTCCAGCCCAGCGATTTTCGAGACGGGCCGGAGATCGACGTCAGCGTTTGCGGAATGATGAGAGTCACCGTCTTGAGGATCGAATTCTAAATGCTCTTCCGGCTCTCGTGAGCGCTTCATCTTTAATATACAGTGAGCTTGTGGGGCAAGATATTACTTTGACTTGAACCAGCGATATCGTGATGGAAGTCAGAGAATGGCGTTGCGGACAGATGCAGATACAGTGACGCGTGAACTATAAAGGACGCTAGGACTGGCTATGGTGTAGAGTAAATGATATCCAATGAAACAATCAGATGCTCGCAGAAGACATGACTCGAGGCGCTTGGTCGCTGGGGATTGTCGTGAGTTGTTGAAAGTGATGGAGCCCAAAAGGACGAGATGCTGTAAGAAGGCCTGAAAGATACTTGGCGGGGTTTGCCCCACCACGCGTCTCCAGGTACCTGTCAAGCCTGTGCTCTGTTTTTAGCCACAGTTAACATGTACAGGTGCATGTTGCAGATCCAATCTTTAGCACTCCATGCTGGGCTTAACTCGAGCAGGCTGCGTGTTTGCAATCCCTGTAGGTACATGTGGGAGCTCGACGGCGTTACTCAAAACGTCATGGCTATGAGCCGAGACTCTGATATGCCATTTAGCGGATGATGTAAGTGACTGGCACTAAGTCTTGACGATTACATGGCCAAGCGGTAGATTTCAAAGCCAAGGTGTGGCTGCTTTCAGTACCTCTCTAAAAGTGCCCTGAAAACGCCCCGAAAACGAAACAGCCAAGCCAAATGGGATAAGTGATTTGAACCCAACCATCAAGTGAATTCAACTCTTTGGTCGTTTACACCTTCAAAAGCATCGCGAAACACTTCAGTGGCGTGCATTTATGTTTCATAATTCATAAATTCGATCAATCTACTTGTTCACATGCGCCGTTCGTGAGTTGGCGCCTCGTCCTTGGTGTGGCTTTGTCGCTCAAAGGGAAAAAAAAAAAAAGGAAACAGCCGAAGAATTTCCACCACACTCAGAACAGCTACTAACCTTGAGGGGTTCAGAAGCCGCTCACTTTGTTATCGCCATCCTCTCATTCCAAAAAATAAACCCTGGACATCTCGCTCACAATACGCCGCAACACGCCACCCAAGAATCTCCCGGGACTGGTAAACAAAGCAAACTCTCGTGCTAACATTGTTTTACTATAAAGCCCATCTCTACCAATGTTTTCTCTCCTAGCTGCTTGCCCGATTTCCGCCAGCCGAGTCCGGTACCAGCTCTCCCAATCCGCCGTGGTTCCGAGTTATGGACTGTCTGGATCTTTGCGATTTGGATTCCCGAGAGCATGAGACGACTGCGTAGCTAAGCTATACTATACTCGACTCGACTACCATCACGCCATTAGACAATCGTAATTCATTACATCTGCCGATTCCCGGGGCATAGCGAGTCCATCTACAACATGGCTTCTTCTGCCCCCACAGCGGCCACTGCCTGGCGGTAGGTGTACTCCGGGCGTTTTTGGATTTATGCGCAAGACTTCAAGATTTGCTGTAGCATCGATATTGCTTATGGCGCAGCAAGTTAGGAGGGCGCTCAGGTTGAAAACAGGACTGACATTGCCGATATAGTAACGCCCAGAAGCTACGCAAGTTGCTCGCAAGAGACATTGGGAAACTCATGCCCCCAAATGTTTCTGGCGTTGACCTTTCCAAATTCGAAGCCATAGACAATCTTTTGGACAAGTATGCGACCCGAATTCTCAGACTGTGATTCAGTTTTGACTAACGCGCTGCTCTCCTGCAGGTTTCGCCTTGCCTGTGTTGCGACCATTTTTCACGATCTTGACTATGCCATCGCCCAGAAGACGGAGGAGCATTTATGGTCCATGCACACAACGGTTAATACCGAGTATCGACACATCCTGAGCCGCCTCAAACAATCCTCCCATGCTGTCGAGAAACGCAAGGTGGAAAAGATGTACCACAACTTTCTGCGAATCGCCGCCAAGTTCTATCAGGGTTATGTCCAGCGCCTCGCCGCCTACTATGACATTCCGGAACTTGAACGAATCGCGCAAGGGATGGAGCTTGAAAAATTGTCTGTCGAAACAAAGATCAGCCCAGTTTCAGACGATTTACAGCGCAAAATCTTGTACTCTTGCCATCTTACACTTATCCACCTGGGAGACCTGACACGCTACCGGGTTCAAGCTCGCCACAAGAGTTCTGACTATGAAGGCGCTTTGGTATATTACGGGCTGGCTCACCATATTCAACCTCAATCTGGCTTCGCTTTTCACCAGACGGGAATTATTCACCTTGAACAGGACAATCACCTTGAGGTTGTCTACAACTTTTATCGCGCCCTGGCTGTGGACTCCCCTCACCCCAACGCCCAGCTCAACTTGGAGGCCGAGTTCAAAACAATGCTATCTCCCAGCGGATCCAGATCCAGACATAACATCTCTGGTCCGGAGGCGCATTTCACCATGTGGTTTGTGAAGTTGCACGCCTTCTTCTACAAAGGAGAGGTGTTCCATCAGCAGGACGAGTTGGAAGGCGAAGTGATGCACAGGCTGGAAATGGCTTGCCGAAATGCTGCTTCTCTCAACATTCTTCTCAAGATGGCAATGGTCAACATGCTAGCGCACCATATGGCGACGACACGGTATACTGGTACGTGATGGCGTTCCTTTACGAATGGCAATATACTGACCAACATTGAACAGAAAAGCAGACAGAAACTACTATGCGATTCTACCAATTCACACTTCGCTTCAACGCGAAATTTCTTCATACATTTTGCAAAGTCTTTGAGTCTGAGTTCCGGGAGGCTGTTTCTAGTGCCGAGGGCCTCGACCACCAGCCAGATGATGCCGAGACCGGCCAAGAAAAGACGTCTGTCGTCGAAGCCCTGCTCCCAGTCTTGCGCATATATAGCATGTGGCTCGTGGCCCGTCGCAACGAAATCTCCGGGTTGGCAGATGCGTTTGGGGCGGCTATTCCCACTATGATTCAGAGCGTGGCCAAAGTCTTGACCTTACTCTGCGATGAGTACTACAACCTAGGAAATCTTAAATCTTGCCCCTATCTGCTTCCAGAAGATATTCAGATCTTGGGATTCCAGCCACTTAACGAAGAGCAGCTTCCCGAATACTGCAAAGCCTACTGCGGCGAGGACGGCACCCGCAAACCTTACTCTCAAGCTCTTGGGGGTTGCCTGTCTCAGTCGAGCGAAAGAATAGGAAGAATCCTCGATATCCTCCGCTGTGCTTATTTCTTGGCTAATGAGGGAGCTTTCCCCCTAATTTATAGAGTTGATGGAACTCTTTTGGTTTTTGAGTATCAGCCTAATGCTGGGCTTCCACAAGTTCAGCCGCGCGAAGCACAGGATATTGCAGATACTACCCAATTGGTTGGTGACTTGCCCGCTACAGAAGAAGCGACGACTCAGACCGAGGTGAATTCTCGTGAGCAGGCAACGGCGAACGTGGTGCAGTATTCAGAACAAGCCCAACGGGAAGCCAGCCGACGTCTGCTGAACAACTCGGATGACATTTATGAAGATTCGGAAGTGATGGATCGAGCCACGGAGACCGTTCTCGACATGGTGGTCCAATTCTTGAGGCCTCCGACTCCGATGGACCTAGAGCGTTCTCCTAAGGAATCGGCGTCTACAAACGATGTGGTTGGCTCCTTGAGGACTGAACCAAGTCCCACCTCATCCATCGCATCGCGTAGATATGAATCTCTTCCGTGGTCTTGGTTTGGCACCCCTAATCCGCACGCCTCTCGAGATTCGGTACCACCTGTGAGCCGAGATACTCAAAACAACCACCGCAGCGCAACACACTCTCCTAACGCGTCTGTGGCGGAAAATATACCCCTTGAAGACCCCTTTATTACCCCAGGCCGCGATATCTCCCGCAACATCGCCAACGGAATGGGCAGCCCAGCGGACACGGCCGCTGGAACATTTCACCGGGAGCAGCTACTGCAGGCCTTCGGTGGGAGCGCGAGCACTCCACGTACCTCATCTTTCAGTCGCTGGTCACAGAACCCGACCGTTACAGCAATCATGCAGGAGCCGCAAAACTACGGAGCAGTGCTTACTTCGTCAAACACTTCTACATTTTCACACCCAAGCAGCCTCTATCAGGGTACTCAGTTGAATGGCTTGCAGTACAATTTGCAGTCTGCTGTTGATCCAAGTCGCATCCTCCGGAATACCCATTTAAGAGAGACCAACCAGCCACATAATGGTCAATTCCAAATCCAACAGACGACGTCAAATTATGACAGGGCCGTCATGGAGTTGGCTTATCAAGGCTCCAGGTAGATGGAGAGTTCACGAATGCATCTTGGAACGAGCGGCGTCTTGCCTGCTGAAAGGAAATTAAGGGCGATTCCGATTTACGCGCATTGGGGTTGTGTATGTGATGTATGGTGAGCCATTGCAATTTAGAGGCTACGGCTTAATATTGAGGATATTTATGATCTGGAATTTTAGATGCCTCGCTCGACAGCGCATAGTTTTCGCATCGAACGATTTAAAAGCGGCAAAGTTTGTGTTTGATGGATGGTTCTTTTGATATACCCATTTCGTCAAATGAAAGAATGACAAAGAACACGTTTTTTTTAATAAAAAAAAATGAGAAACCAAAAAATATGCAGTTGCAATTTCAAGCCAGATATAAGAATAATTTATGGGTGGTAAATCTGGTCTATCATTTATCATAAACTGATTGAAAAGCATCGAAAAAAAAAGACAAAGACTGATTATGTATCGTGGAGGATACCAAATCGCTATGCAAAGGGAGCCACTGCTTCTGGACTCTCTACCCTATTGATGCAAAACGCCGTTGTTGAAACCTTTTCTCCCGTTTTAATCCCTCAACGCCAATTCCTCTCCATCCCTACCGTGGGAATGGATCGACAAGAGCAATGCGCTATTTAAGGCACTTTAAGATGATGCAGAGTAGACCTGCTTGGGGAAGGGGTAACTGAGAAGCACGAGTTAGCACAGATGGACTACGGATGGTTTATGGAAGAAGCAACTTACGAAGGACCAAGCTCCTGGATGCTCAGCTTAGCAAGCCACTGACCCTTGTCAATGGAAGCCTCCAGTGACTCGCCCTGGACAATACCAGCGACCAGACCACCAGCAAAGGCATCACCAGCACCGTTGGTATCGTTGATCAGAGCAGGGTCGATGGGGCGGACGGGGAAGACCTTGACCTCCTCCTCGCCCTGGATGGCGACCAAGGTGGGCTCGGTACCCTGGGTGATGATGGCAACACGCTTTCGCTGGGTGTTCTCCTTGGGCAGGTTGGCCAGAACCTTGACAACATCCTTGGGCTCCTTGGAAGGAAGGTTGTGAGCCTCGGCATAAGCAGCAGCCTCAGCCTCGTTGCCAATGACGTAGTCCCAGTAGGGGGCGCTGGCGTCGACAACCTCCTTGAAGAACTGGGGGATGAAGGGAGCAGCGAGAGACACGATGAGGGGCTTGTTCTTCGCGGCGGCCTCCTTGGCGAGCTCCATGATGGCGGGAGGGGAAACTTTGAAACAACAAGCGTCAGCATCTTGGCCCTTGTCATGATGTACTGGGTAGAGGTAATAGCTAGATGCAATCTAGATTGGCCTTCATGCGCCTCTTGCTTCGTACTTACCGGTGAAGTGGTAGCCTCCAACGTAAAAGACCTCGGCATTCTCAACCAGGGCCCAGATCTCGGGCTTCTTCAGGTGGTCCAGGCCGTAGTGGTCGGAAGCACCGAGGTCAGTGCAGAGACTGCGGTTGTGGCCGGTGATGACAACACCGCATCGGCCGGTGGGGTGAGTGGGATCAACGCGGTACTCAACACGCAGGCCGGCGGCCTTGACGGCATCGCGCAGGATGGCGGCGTACTTGTCGTCGCCGACACAACCAAAGTAGACGACGCTGTTGGGGGGCAGGATGTACTGGGCGCCGCGGGCGGTGTTTTGGGCAGCGCCGCCGGCAATGAGCTTTGCGTCAAAGTTGTTGAGGAGGTCCTCGTAGATGGGTTTGTGCTTGTCCTCGGCGAGGATGGCGTCGTTGGCCTTGAGGCTGTACTTGTCGAGCAGAGCCTGGTCACCGACAGCCTGGATGTCTGCAATTGGAATTGACCGGTTAGCGAATGGTGATTTTGTCGTAGAGAGAGAGAATGAGAGAAAGAAGGCGGGCAGACAGCTGAAGCTGCTGCAACACTCTTGTTTCAACGGAGAGACATACCGAGGAGAGGGTTCTCCAGGCAGACGAGAGCGTATTCCTTGACAGGAGCCATTGTGATGATTGACGTTGTGTCTTCTTTACTAGAAGTTTACAGGAGGAAGAGAAATGGGTAGGTGGGAGGAACTGAGGATATTGGAGGTTGGAGGGGCTCGTCGTAGTACTAATACTTTAGTGGGATGTGGTTTTTTGAGCGGACCAGCCTTATTCGTAGTGGTGGGGGTTGGGTGAGATGAGATGCCCCCCCCTTGTCTTTTTTTTTCTGTCTTTCTCGGCGGCTGCAGCTGATGACAGGGTACAAGTTGCGTAATGCATGTCACACGCAATGCCAAAGTACCGATTATATCCGCCGCATTACAGTAAAAATTGAAGCTGGTTCTTTGCATTCTACGTTGATGTACGTTGTACGTTGAAATCCTGATAAACCAATTCGGAATTGCCTCTTCATTCCCCAAGAATGCCGAAATGCATCTGCTCTGATCGGCTCCTGTTGCATGCTGCTTGTGTGTTGTTTGTGTGAGCATGTACAAGTCCTGTAAGAAAGCATGTAAGCTTCGCAGGAGGGATTTGCATCCTCTGCGGCCCCGGCTTTTTCTGCCCTTCCCCTGCTCCTCCGTAGCGGTAATTTGTGTCCGATCGTTGTGGCATCTTCCCGGCGCCGGACTGGGTGATTGTTTAGTTGCATCATTGTTGACCGTGCGCTGTATCGTACTCGTATCTCGAATACGTCTGCCTCGGGATATTGCAAATTTCTCTCTTTCTTTCATACGGCATCTTGTCACTGCTTGATTTGATTTGTGCACGCTTTGACACAACTATTCCTGGATTCATGGGATTAATGGGATGTGGCAGAATAATGCATGAAAGGACCGCAGCTGGATGAATGCCCCGAACCCGAGAAACTCGCCGATGGGTGGTATTCAATAATCAATGGGAATGCTATACAATTCCCACCAAGGATCTAGGAACACACTACCTAGTACCTAGGCTATACCAATCACCTAGGTATTTATACATGCTTCATACCTACTACTAGGTGGGTATGTATACATGTCAAGTGGGCAAGTAGATGTTTACTGACCATCAAAGCATTGCATTTATATGGCCAATATTCTCTCTCTCTTCCGGTGCATATGGGATTAAGTGTCAATTACATGGATATCTATTCTTTGTATATATGACCTTTTCACCACCTCACTGTCATGCGCCGGCTCATTCACGTCGGGAGATTGCAAGGAAATTGGCTCGTCGTTTGTTTTTGTTTTGCAACGAAATGTCATAATAGTACTTGGCAGAGGAGCCATGTCAAGTTTCGTTCCTGAGCAGTACCATCCATAGTAAGAAAGCCACTGTAACACCATCCCAATGAGACCATGAATTTTAGCCACCTTACTCCTTTGTCTTCTGAGTACCACGGAGCAGACCCGTCCTTCTGGCAGCAATAAGACCGGCCTTCTGTCCCTGTACGGCGTACCGTGAGATGGTAGAGGCCTTACCAATGTGCTGGTGGTTACCCTGTAATGGGGGTCAGTATCTGCATTAGACTGCCGAATCAAGCCGGGGAAACTTACACCACCGTGAGGGTGGTCCACGGGGTTCATGGCAACACCACGAGTCTTGGGCCAGCTGTTACGCTTAACAGCGAACTTGTGCTTGGCACGAGAAGCCTCTGTAGCAATTGTTAGCATCTAGTCCGTTTCCACTCTTTCAATATTGATTTTTCATCCTATTCCTCTTGCGAAAAAATAAAACGAAAAATCTGGGTTCCACGTACTCAACAGAGGCTTGTCGGTACGGCCACCACCGGCAACGATACCGATCATACCACGAGATCGGGAGTGGACGACCTTCTTGGCACCAGAGGGAAGCTTGATACGGGTCTTGCCCTCATCGGGGTTGTGGCCGACAATGGTGATGTAGCCACCAGAGTTACGGCCGAGAACACCACGGTCGCCAATCTTCTCCTCGACGTTGGAGACAACGGTACCCTCGGGCATCTCACCGACGGGCAGGACGTTGCCGACAGTCAGAGCAGCGCGCTTTCCGGCATAGATGAACTGGCCGGTGTACATGCCCTCGTTGGCGATGAAGGTCTCGGTGACCTGCTTGTACTTGTAAGGGTGGCGGAAAGTGACCTTGGCGAGAGGAGCACCACGACCTAAACACACAAAGAAGCCCTCGTTAGTTACAATTCGGCCCATGGATTCCCATCTCTCGTCGGTTTCCAGGTTCGTTCGGGGACTGACCAGGGTCGTGGATGATGTCCTTCACAATTCCGCGGACGTAGCCATGGCGCTCGGCGTAATCGAGGGTGCGGAACTTGGCCGGGGCCTTGTTCAGGCGGGTGTTGGCCGCTGTTTTCCCAAATTGTTAGAAATCTCGAGACGCATTTTCACCCAATGCTCAGGTTTCTCGGACGGCAGCTACTCACTGAAGATGGAGCCACGGCCTTTTCTCTGGTTGCGAATAACTCTACCCATGGTGACTCGACGTCGCTGGCTGCGATGTTACGGGTAGCTGCGAAGAGGATTGATGTCAGTGCTGGGCCACCGGCAGCGCGAGAAGTTGGGAACTTTACCTGAGTCCGGCCGCTTGGTGTTTTGACAAAGAGGCGCTCGCTTGCGCTTTCTGATAATTTTTTGTGTGCGGGACCTCTGCCACACAAGAGGAGCCCTGACCACGTGACTGAACTTTTCCGCGCTGCGCATTGGCCAGCTCGGAAGTACTTTGAACCTCCACTTCTCCAAGGGTCCCAAAAGCGGTAGACAAAAAAAAACCGGGACGTCAAAGTTCAATTGCCATGCATGGCAGAACCTCTAAATCAATTACACCTAGTACCTAAGAAGGAGAGAGTTCATGTCCTATTATGTATCCCTCTTATATGTGTTTATCGCATTTACTGAATACCTAGGTAGATACTGAGAGTTATCTGTTTATTTCCCATTTCATAAAGTCATCTCTTTCTCCAACAAGTGCCGAAGGTACCTGATTTTGATTCTCCCTGCAAACAACCCTTTTTCGGACTCGCTTATTATTTTGTCGACCGCTTTCTTCCGTACAGGGGGCTTGAAGAACCCCACATTTCCTCCTCTGGACCTTAATTCATCCAAGAGCAAAGACCTGAGTGGACGTGCCGTGAGATTGAGCGTCTCTCAAGACATGAGACGCGCCAGAATGTGTGCGAAATGCCACGGAATCAACATGTTGCTAAGCATTTGTCACCACGTGCATCCAATGCGAAATCCGTTCCCTTGCTAACTCTGGGTTATATCAACTTCTTATGCCCCTGCTATCATGCATTCTCGCCATGTGAAAGAGCTCAACGTGCGGCACCAATCTTCCATCATCGATGAAGACTACTGCTCTCGTTGATGAGCATGCTTGCCAAGTATCGCTGCCGGAAGCGTTTATTCGGCGACCTGCTCCATACCCTGACATACGGTAGTGCAGGGCTTGGATGCGGGGGGACTGGTAAAACCCAAGCTGGATGGAAGTGATGGGACCCTGAGCCATGATTTGCGAGGCCTACAACCTCTGCCGGATCTGAATTATGGGCGCTCGCGTTTAATTTGGACAGGCTGTCTCGGGCTGGCCATAGCTCTGCCTACTTTGGCTTTGGCCGCGTTCTGCGAGGACCAAATGAGACGGGATCTGTGGCATGCGCGGGCAATGGTTATGCCGAAATACGGCCTGAGCGTAAAGACAGATGAACAAGTTAGACCTCAAAGAACAGAGATTGGGCTCAGAGCGGCTTCTGTTCCCTTGATTAACACTGCATTGCTTGGTTTGGTGACTGGCGACGACCACTTTGATAGCCGCCCGTGGCCTATCAGAACTGATATGTACTGTAGCTAGTGCATCCACATCTCTCTCGACAAACGACGTGCCTCTTCCACCTCCCTCCTTCACACTCGCAGCACTTGCATCGCAGGAACCCAGTCTCAGCGCCATGGCTGCCGTAGAAGACGACTCCTCTGATCTCTCGTCTCTCTCATCCTTGTCGCCTATCCCCTCGGATGCCGAGTTGGACGACCTTAGTGACGACGCGCCGACCGCAACCAAATCGGGAATCCTCAAGTTCTTCCCCAAGTTATCAGAGCAGCCACCAAAGGAGCCTTCGCCGCCACCGCGCAAGCGGTCGCCCTCGCCACCTCACGAATATGTCCTCGCCGACAATCCTGATATTGCAGTGCGTTTTCTTCCATTCGCAAGATCCGTTGCTCCACCTTCAATGCTTGTCGCTTCTGTGTGGCGACATGTCGCGTTTACAGTGTCGAGCGACGCGAAATTTCGCGTGCAGACGTCATTGGGCTCGACTAACAGCTGCAGTTCCTGGTGATGTTCCGAAGCCGCTTCAGCGACGCATTCCCGAAATCACTTGCACATTTCGGACCACAAGAATTGGAACGAGACGTTGTCGAACCCATACCCGGTGATCGAGCGGAACATTTTTTGTGCGCCGTCCTCGGACTTCTCCTGAACCGGAAGCAAGATGTCAAGTATGCTTATTCCGCTCTGCCCAACATTGTGAGCGCCTGGGCTAATAACTCTTCCTTCCTTTCACTTACAGGGCAGGTCATTATGGCAGAGCTTTGGAGGATGCCATTGCATCTCATAAGAACCAATGGCCCTCTTCATGGGAGGACAAGAGCCCGCTTGCTGGCGGCGCAACTTTTAGCTCCATGAATCCAACTGAAAGGGTGAGTGCTCTCTTTATCATCTTTGGGTTTCTTGGTTTCCAGAAACAACTTCAAGTGCATGTGACTGATGACTCGACTCTTACAGTTAAATCTTTTGCGCATCCTTGTTCTCTGGGCTATGTCGTCGTCCGACACCCTCAAAGGCTTAATCAACCAATCCTACAAGCAAAATCGCCACGAGGACGACATCAATCAACCGCGCGCAGTTCAACCATGGGGATCTGATGGAGACAAGCGCCGATATTTCCTAGTTGAGGGACAAGATGACACCGCCTTCCGTGTATACCGCGAAAGCAATCCTGCTGGCACCAACCGGACTTGGTGGAGCGTCGCTGGGAGCATAGAGGAGCTCAAGGCTCTCGCCGATAAGCTCGAGACGAAAGATGGAGGCCCCAAAGCCAAGAAGCTCAGCCAAAAGATTCTCCAAGCCATCCCGCGATTCGAGGCAGGAGACGAGGTAGCTTCCCCCATGTTATTGCTTCCCGCCCTCGTTCAATCAGAGCTAACAAAGACGCAGAAACGAAAGCGACGAGAATATCGCCAGATGCGCAAAGAACAGTTCAAGCGCCCAGAGCCTGGATTTTCATTATACGAAGGCCGCACTCGCGGCAAGCGAATGAAGTACACGTACTCCGACGACGAAGACATTTTTTCGGACTCGACTGGCTATAGGCGCTCAGCTCGCAATACCGGAACTAACACACCAGCCGAGACCGGCCCTGTCACTACATCAAGCGGTCGTACTGTTCGAGCCCCTCCTCGGCTCAACATGACCACCGGAGAAGACCTACCGAACGATGTCCAAGGAGACAGTGTCGAGGCTGCTACAGAGAGATCGGCCGGACGACCACGTAGATCGACAGCGGCGAATTCTGGGACAAATGACTTCACGGATACAGACAATGGAGAAAGTGATGCTGAGTTTGGGGATGATGAAGATGATGTTGAGGCCCAGATTCCGGAAGAATCGGAGGACGAAGACGAGTTCAAAGATGAGGCTATGGATGAGGATGACCTGGATCTGCCAACCCAAACACTAGTTGTGAAGCTCTCAGTTACTCCACCTAAACTGAAGGGCGTCCTCAGTCCGAGTGAGCGAGCGGCAAACCTGCTGCCGACCTCGAGCGAAGGGAATTTGAAGGATGCACCAACCGGCCCACCAGATACGCCTACTCCAAACCAGCAAACATTTGAAACGGAGGCAGTTGCTCCTGTGTTCAGTGCGAAGACTTCTGAGAGGCACAAAACCCCAGAGGCCGCAGATCAACAGGCCGCAAACCAGTCCTCTATCCCCTCAGCTGTACCAGCAACCTCACTGGCATTTAGAGGTAGCCCTGAGAAGCAACCCGTGCAACTAGTGCCTGGGACTGTTAAGGTCATCAGCCAGGAATAGGACGCGATGGCCTGGCTCAACAATTAATGTTTCAACTTGGGAGTTAAGGTTAATTAAGCAGTGGACAGTCCGATACATTTATTGGTGTACTATCAGTTGAATCAACGGATCTAGAATTGGGGAAATGAAAATTAGGCAACAATCAGGTCTCCCTCGAAATCGCAAACGAGGGCTTGAGACCTAAACTATGAGGCGCGAATATGGTGTTTTTTTTTTTTTTTCGGATGTGGAAAAGGGGGACTAGAGGCCAAACGCTATTGCTTTCATCTATTTGTTAGACAAAAGGACAGGGTCTTCTCATAGCCGACGAGATAGTAATACATACTCAAGACTGGAGCATGAGTATTTGCATTCATTTTTAACCAACCACCATGTTTCATTACATACGTCTCCTATTAGGGGCGGGCAGTTTCCAATTATTCACGCTATACCACCATCTCCTTAGGCGAATGCCTATTGAGTCACCGTGTACTCTAGCGTTCTTGTTCCAATGCTGCCACCCAACCAAGACCAAGTTGAGTAAGACACCCTGGGCCAAAGGCATCAATACCTGTCATCCAGTCAGCTTTGTGAGTCATTGGAGCTTTGCAAACAAGTCGTAGGCCACCTGATCCCTAGCTGTAATGAGCAATACTTTCCACCATGTATCGGCCTTGGCGATGCTGTGGAGATAGCTCTGCTCGAACCGCAGGTCTGGAAGGGGCGGGAGGTTGTAGTGTTTCTTTGGAGGTCGCAAGACGCTGTATGGGATATCGTCATCGTCGTTGTCGATATCACTCCGTCGCACACCGTGGAAATCCACCAACTGGCTCTTGTCGGCGGCGGTAGATGGCGCAATGTCTTGTCGAGGGTCCGGATGTCTTCTGATATGGCCGGCCTGGATGGTGCTGCCGAGCTCGGTGGGGAGGGAGGAGGCCATGGCGCGGCGATTGAAGAGCCCTGCGTGAGGCTCCAAGGAAGATGCAACTAGTTTACCTGACTCTGCCGCCTCTAGGCTCCAATCCGCGTCCTGTCTCAAGTGCGTGCCGCGGTGCTCTACGGATATCGCCGTGAATCGCTTCCAAGCCTCGTCCTGGGATCGTTCAACTCGCGGGTTTTGCCGGGCGGTGAACGGATGGGCGATGACCACAAACCAGCTTCACGAATAGGCTGTGACGTCGAGCGCTTACCTAAGATGAACACTCCGAGACTCCGCCTTGGGCTCCTCTCGAGCTGATTGTCGGCCCGCCCGTTTTAGGCGGCTTGTGGCGGAAGACTTGCCCAAGCCTGCTGCGTTTAGCAGTTCTGGGGGGTACGTAGCGCCAGGCATTGGGGTAGGGTAAAATACCACAACCCAAAACCAACTCTCCTCCAACAAACAAACGCTGCTCCCTTCGACTAGCCAGTGTCACGCTCGCACGCGCCGGCGCTCTCGATCAAGGACTTGTCTAGCGGTGGGATATTTTTTTTTTCTTGTTTCTTTTCTAGAGAAGGGCCTCTTTTACCTCCTTCAACATGAGTGACCCTCAGGCCGGTGAGGCGGAGAAGAACGTGAGTCTCCAAAAAAAAAAAAAAAGCGAAAATACCTGAAAATATTTTTGGCCCCTGATTTTGCCCCTCCTTGCCTTATTGCCCCGCGTTGGCATCAAGACCGCCAAGTATACAGCAGCAATGCCTAACAAGAGTGCGAATAGATCGAGATCTGGAAGATCAAGAAGTTGATCAAGCGCCTCGAGGCCGCCCGAGGAAATGGAACCTCTATGATTTCCCTCATTATCCGTATGTATCGACACCGGCAGACCGCCCTCGCGACAACCCGATCGAAATTGCTAACCCCTGCTCAGCTCCCAAGGATCAGGTGTCGCGTATTGCCAAGATGTTGGCCGAAGAATACGTACGAATTAGCCCTCATTAGCTACTTGGGCTTCTTTACGAGCAGTTTGCTGACAACCCCACAGGGTACTGCTTCCAACATCAAGTCTCGTGTCAACCGACAGTCCGTCTTGTCCGCCATTACGTCGACCCAGCAGCGTCTTAAGCTGTATAACAAAGTCCCTCCGAATGGCTTGGTCGTGTACTGTGGTGAAATCTTGACCTCGGAAGGAAAAGAACGAAAGGTCAATATTGACTTTGAGCCGTTCAAGCCCATCAACACCTCGCTCTACCTCTGCGACAACAAGTTCCACACCGAGGCCTTGGCTGAGCTGCTCGAGTCCGACCAGAAGTTTGGTTTCATTATCATGGATGGTAACGGCGCCCTGTTTGGTACTCTCAGCGGAAATACCCGTGAAATCGTTCACAAGTTCTCCGTCGATCTGCCCAAGAAGCACGGACGTGGTGGTCAGTCCGCTCTGCGTTTCGCCCGTCTTCGTGAGGAAAAGCGTCACAACTACGTTCGCAAAGTCGCCGAATTGGCTGTGCAGAACTTCATCACTGCCGACAAGGTCAACGTTGCTGGTCTTATTCTTGCTGGTTCTGCCGATTTCAAGAACGATCTCAATGCTTCCGACATGTTCGACAACCGTCTGGCGGTCAAGGTTATCAAGGTTGTTGACGTCTCTTACGGTGGTGAGAACGGATTCAACCAGGCCATTGAGCTGTCGTCCGAGACGCTCGGAAACGTCAAGTTCATCCAGGAGAAGAAGCTCATTGGCAAGTACTTTGAGGAAATTAGCCAGGACACTGGCAAGGTTTGCTACGGTATTGAGGATACTTTGAAGGCGCTGGAGCTTGGTGCCGTTGAGACTCTAATCATCTTTGAGAACCTTGAAATCACTCGCTGGATTCTCAAGGACAGCGAGGGTGCTGAGATTATCCTGCACACAACCAAGCAACAGGAACAGAGCAACCGAGAGAGATTCCAGGATAAGGCTACTGGCCAAGAGATGGACATTGTTTCTCAGGAATCATTCCTTGAGTGGATTGCTGAGCACTACAAGGACTTTGGTACCGCCCTTGAATTCGTGTCTGACCGATCCACCGAAGGCAACCAGTTTGTCAAGGGTTTCGGTGGTATCGGCGGTATTTTACGTTACAAGGTCAACTTTGAACAGTTGGCAGATCTCGAGGATGACGATGATGACTACTACGACGGTAAGAAGACTTGATTGACAACTGTATTTCTACCACAACGGAAGCTAACTTGAAGGAAAGATTGACCAACCGATTCCCTCGTGGAGAACGAGGGATCCACTCAAGTTAACCCGTCCGCGCACGACGACAACGACGCGCCTCGCGACCTGTCGGGGTCAGGAGATGCCGCGCCGTTGTCATTTGCTCAAAGGCGCTTGATGCGAAATGCTGGTCGAATGCCGTCTTATCAGGCCCACCAGACGTCGCGACCAAGCCCGCTTCGCGCAACTATGACGGCCACTTGAGTTTCATCATCAAAGGAAAGAGGGTAAGCATTTCACGCACGCAAATATGCGCTCCTCCTGCACGGCCTTGGACTAAATCTGGCTTGCGTTAGGTGTCATCTACATAGCTGGGACCGGCGTGATTGAATGGGGTAGATGCTGGGAAGCGCCTTCAGACAAGAGGAATATTCGTGCTTACGTGTCCTTACCGTCAAATACTAGAGGTGAACGCGTGGCCTTGATTTAAAAGTTGGCATTCCGTTTTGCCTACAGACCAGTTTCAAACTTTAGAAAGCTAGTTTGCAGGACAAGAAGCAAGGAATAGAAATTTGACGCTCCTTTTCGATAGAAGACAGTCGACACTCAAAAAAAATGTGGAGGCCGGGACGCTCTTACGATGCTTTATTTCCCCCATAAAAGCCCAAAAGGGAAACAAAAGAACGCTCCCTATGCACCGCCTCTAAGTAGCATTGCCAGTGTTTCCGCACCTTCTTGCCTACCTATACAATGGATCTTATTGCTGGCGCTTCCTTGAAGCATGATGTGCAGATAGATACTCGTAAATGTGCTGGTGCTGGTGCTGGTGCAGGCGTTCCGAACCATACGTCATCAGGGTCACCGTGTTATCGATACCGCCACCGTGGTGAAGCTGGTCATTTCGCTGACCCACACAAGTAATAGCACCCATGTAACTGGGGGGCTTTGATAGGGCGAACCTCCTAACTTGTACAGAGCAAAGAACAGCCACTTGCGCCTCTCCAAGCGGTTTCAAGTCGCCGTGGCCTCTTTCTGCAAACGCTCTCAATGTTTCAATTCAAGTAACAATACAATATTGCCACCATGCCAGAAGCAACTGGCACGACGGCGGCCGCGCCCAAACCAGCAGACCGTGCTGTCCCTGTGACGCTCAACGAAGCGGTCCTCGACTCTCCTACTTTCCGCGCAACCGCCACTCACTTTGCCGACCAGGTTGATGCAGTTGAGAAATGGCTCAACGGGTATGTCGCTTCGACGTCGAAGCTCATGAGTGGGCTGCTTTCTCTCGAGGATACCATCAACAACTACCTCTCCAAGACGACACCCTTTCCCGACAACGTCATCGATAACGACTACACCCTCCTAGCTCTCAAGCGCACCAGCGAAGGCACGCGAGAGCTCTGGACACAGCTGCTCAACACGCAAAAGCGAATGGAAACAGCCGTTGTCGAACCTATTCGCTCGTTTCTTACGGGGGAGCTGCGAAACTTTAAGGAGATAAGGAGAAGCTTGGAGCAGACTCAGAAAGCCTACGACACGACTCTCGCCCGCTATACATCCCAGTCGAAAACAAAAGAGCCCTCTGCTCTTCGTGAGGATGCCTTTTCCGTATATGAGAATCGAAAGACATACATACAGGCCGCTATGGATTACTGCCAGCTCGCACCACAGCTCCGCTTCTCGCTGGATCAGCTGCTTGTTAAGGTCTGCTGCGATATCTGGAAGGAGATGAACCGGGGTCGGGATGCAGCCGCAAGTGCTACGCGATGGAGCCGAGAGCTAGATCGTGTCCGGGGTTGGGCCAAGGAAATGGAACTATCAGACAACGTCTTCAGACGGGAGATGCAAAACGCGAGGAAAGACATCAGCGATGCGACCTTTGAGGGGTTCAAGCCTTCTCGCGAGCTGGAGGATTATAGCAGCTCTACCGTAGCCTTCTTGGGCTCACGCGGACCCGTCAGCGTACGTCCAAACGACGGGGGCGCCGCAATTACCGAGATACAGGGCTGGTTGTTCTTACGCGTGGCGACCGGTAAGCCAGTCAGATACAATTGGGTTCGACGGTGGTACTACTGCAGGGACGGCGTCTTTGGGTGGCTAACCCCTGGACCACAAGGAGTTCTGCAAGGAGATGAAATTGGTGTGCTACTTTGTAACGTCAAGCCGGCCGCCGGTGAGGAACGACGGTTTTGTTTCGAGCTCAAGACGAAAAGCCGCAGCATGCTGATGCAAGCTGAGACGCAGAAAGAGCTGATGGACTGGCTAGAGGTTTTTGAAGTAACGAAAAAGAAGGCATTCGAGGCCACCATGGACAGAGACAACAGTGCCCTGACCGGCGGCGTCGACCCAGCGTTCTCGATCTGCCCCCCAAGCATTCCGGAGTTTTCGGCCAAGAGTGTCGATGCGCAAATGGGTGTAGCTGATGACACCGTACCAAGCACTGATCGTGCAGCCACTCTGGCTATTCCAGGTGCTGAAGCTGGTGGCTCATCCGCCCGAGCGAGTTTTGATCCTAACGGGAGCTTATCTCGTCGATCAATATCAGCGCTTGGGCGAGACCTAGCGCGTGAGGAGGGCGAGAGCGGTCGGGAACACGCAGCGAGGATCATCCAGAAGCTTGACCTTCACCGCAAAGCCACGTTCGGCGCCAGCCCCGAGCCAATGCTGACGACGTCCGGCTCATCTGGGGGACTGTCTAACATGATTTCTGGGAACCAAAGCTCCCAGCTCGTGGGAAACTCTGGGTCTCTTACATCTTCAGGCCCGGCCAAGCTTACGGGAGTTGCGCTTCCGTTATTGGACAACAAACCAGGCACCCTTGCCCCTCCTACTCTGGCCCGTCCTCCAACCATTACAAGCTTGAGCCGCACTGCAGTGCTCATCGCCGGAGAACGAGGCCATGTCTTGGAAGGCAAGAAACTTCCCACATCCGTCGTAGCCAACTACTGGGGGAGCAATGTTTGGGGAACCATGCATTCAGAGCCGGCCGTGGCAACTCAACTTGACGATGACGACCCCATCGGCGTTGTGGTGTCTGAAGGCGCGCACACACCGCTCGGTGAAGCAGCACAGGCGAAGAAGACCAGTGAGTCTCTGCCAGCCGGCTACCCTGCCGAGCTAAGAATCCAGCATGCCCAATTTAGGCTTTTGTTCCCCAACGCGCCTCCAGAGGAGAGGCTGGTGCTTGTTTTCCGAGCAGCTTGGTCGAGCTCGCTGGAGCGAGGTTCTAAAAGTGAGCTGCTTGCCGGAGATGGCAGAATCTACGTGACAGCAGAGAATATGTATTTCTACGGCCAGCAGCTGGGTCTGGTAACGGCCTATAATATCCACCTGGACATCATTACTGAGGTAACTGCGGCCTCTGGCAGAGACTGCGACTTCATCTTCCTGCATCTAGGCCAGGATCTCAACGACACTGGATATACGCGAATCACCGTCAAGGTGTTCCTTGACGACCTCAAGTTGCTCCATGCCCGTCTCAATCTCTTGGTGGACAATCTGCAGGCGGAAGAGCCGCTAGACACTTTGGGAATCATCAGTGCCCTGATCAACATTGATAAGCACGAATACGAGAAGCCAAGCCCAAGCGCTGAGAGCTGGGAAGAGGTATCTTCAGCCACACCCATGGACAACGGCACAGCTTTAGGAGGACCGGTCGAGCGGAGCGCAAGCCCCCTGCCACGCCTGATACCTCCCGTCTCTGGGCAGAAACTACCGCCAAAGTTGAACCTACCAAAACACGAAGTGATCTACGAGCCGGATGACATGAAGGAGATGGCTGCTGAAAGACACTTTGAAATTAGTGCCAAGGCATGCTTCCACGTGCTGTTTGGAGACAAGAGTTTTGTATTCCCCAAGCTCTACTTTGAGCATCGTGCGAAGCAGATTGCTCAGGGGCCATGGTCGGCGGCAAGTGACAAGGAGCCAATGAAACGTGAGTTTCACTTTAAGATAGACTACCTTGACGTCTTTGGCCGGTCGCGGACGGCAGACATACGGGATTTCCAGACAATCGACGTATTCAACGACCACGTTACGTATGTGGTTACGCATACGAGAACCGCATGGCACCTCCCTCATTCGCAATTCTTCAAGCTGGTGACTAAGGTTGTCATCACATATGTGGCCAAGTCGAGATGTAAGCTGGCGTTTTACGTCCGCGTCGACTGGTCGAAATCGCCACCCCTATCAAAGAGTCTGGTGGAACGCCAAGCTCTTCGTGATGCGGTGAGTGATGCTGAGGAGCTGGGAGAGCTAGCCACGGATCAAGTTCACAAACTGGGCTCGAGAAGTCGCACCAACAGAGCCATACAAGTATACGGCCAGGTAGGCCAGCAGACGCAGATGGTGGTCTTCTCACCAGCGCCAACCGACGCGAGGAAGAAGCAGGCCATTAAGCCTCGCACGCTCACGGCTATGTTATTCGAGACGGTCCGGTCTCTTGGCGAAAGTGTCGTCTCGTCAGTGATTTTGTGGATCATTGCAGTATTGAAAAAGGTATTCGACGTCGTGACGGCGCATCGACTTATCCTATTACTCCTGGGGCTGAGCATAGCTACCAACCTGATGCTCTCTTCCACGGAGTCATTGACGTGGTGGCAGGAGCGGCGAGCGGCGAACTTTATGCGCAGAGTTGGAGTGTCGCCAAACCACATGATGAGCAAGGCAATCTATCTTGCAGATCTGCATGAAGCTTCCGGCGCCAGCAATGATGAGCCGCCATTCCCCCAGAACAGCACGTGTTTCAGCACATTCAGGGAGCTCTTAGACACGACAAGTCTGGATTCCCCATGGGAGGAAGCGGGAGCCTCACTATCTCTGCCATCAAGTCGGGCAACGGCGCGACGGCTGCGGAAGACGCGACAGAGGCTGGGGATCTATCGACACGATTTGCTTGTCGCAATGAGAGTCGTCAACAGCGTTGAGCGGGAAGTTCTGCAGTCAGAATGGGAAAACTGGCTGGCGAATGAGAATTCCCTCTGCGATAATCTCGAGGAGATGTTATACGACGACAAGGTTAGAAGCAGCGGCAAGGACAAGGCGGACGATTCATCGTCGCAAAAGGCCAAGGGTTCAATACCGCCGGAACGGAGGAGAGCCCTCGAGGCCTGGCGTGATGACTATTGTGGAAGTTGTCGGAGCGACCATGCATCTGCACTGCAGGCGAGAAGGTTGTCCAACCTGTAAGAGTCCGAGTCGGGTCGGATATTGCATAGAGGGTGTTGGGAGCAAAGCGATTGTTTGACTGGCTGGCTGGCTGGCTGGCTGGCTGGCTGGCTGGCTGGCTCACTGGGTGGATGGATTAATTGCTTGACTGAGTGAATTGATTGTTTTGTTGCTGTTTATTTTGTTTATTTGAGGATACCAGGCATTACTTCGTCTCGGGCAGGATTCTAGCTTGTTTTGTCTCCCTCTGTAACTTATCCTTCGCTTTGTTCTTTGAGGTTCTTTATATATAGATAGCATGGGTATATAAGCATACATTGCACATAGCCTATTCGATGCCGTTGCTGTGAAATCCAAATCATACCACAGCTACAACATGTGATATCGCGAGTCCGGAGCAGCCGGCGTGGAGTCGGCGGAGTCGGAGCTGCGAAGTCCGAGTTTGAACGGAAGAGGAACAATAGCCGGCACGACTTGGAGGCCGTGAAACGACTTGTGCGTTTACAGCTGCAATGGCTAAAAATAGCTTTTTGGAATTGTATGAGCCCGTCATTACTCAATAGCTCTGCAGATCCAGAGTGCTGCTCACCAAAAGAGGCATTCACTGTTGCATATATTCATCATTCCTTTGGTTTACCTGCTTGCCTACCCTGGAACATGACGCTGGATTACGGCATCATTTGAAACACCCGCTGGAAACGGCAGTCTTTGAGCGCCGCTAGAGTGACTCTGCGGTGACGTCAAGGCCATTGGCCGGAGACGCAGAGCTAAGCGCCCCGGCCGGCGCTGGAGGAATGGCCTGAGCGCTCGCTGTAATCCGCTGGAAGCTTTGGCCGGTTAGTGGGTTCCACAGGCTTCCCTCGGCTTCAATGCCAATCCGGTGACAGGGCGATGCTTTTGCTTATCGAAAAGCACTATAGAACCCAATCCCATTTGATGTAATACTTTGTATACGAAGGTTCCTGGTGCCTTTTCCCCCCAAACCTCCTCCTCCTCCATCTCTTACTTTTGCGAGGCTGGACTGTGATTTGCTTTTGCGTTGTAATTTTTGTTGTGTTTTTGCTATTCGTGCCTTATCCTACTCTTCAACACACACACGCCATGGCGCCCCATCACGAGCCGCTGCGGGCGCTGGGGCCGATCGAGTGGGACGAAGTGCCGGTTGACGACCTCAAGCCGTTTATGAATGAGGCCTTCGTTGATGCTCAGACCATTGCAGAATCGGTTCCGTCTCCAACCACGGCGACGGCGGAGGGGGCCGGGGCAGCACCAGCAGCGGCGGTTTTCGAACAGGCCGAGAAGTCATACTCGCAGCGCCAGTCCGGGTCGTCACTTGCCTTGGCCCAGCAGCTGCGAAAGGAGTGGAAGGAGATCAAGATGAACCCAAAAGACAATCCGCTCAACATCAGCGTCTACAAGCTTGCCGCAAAGGATGGCAAGGGGGCGTGGTTTGCTAGACGAAGCCTTCACCATGGCTTGACGTACGACAGCTGGAAATCCGGCCTTGAGAAGGAGTTTTCTGAGACGCTCAAAGTACAAGGCCCTCCGGGCAGCGGAAACATTCGAGGTGTTGGTGCGGATAGACATATTGAGAGTCGACAAGTAGAAGGCTCGGGACATATGAGTGGTAAATACATCCCCCCCAATGATTGAACTGTTTGGATCTATACAGACTAACATGCATCTCCATAGTGTTCCAATTATCGGCGCAATTCCCTGGCCCTACCGCCCCGAGAGACTTCATCACGCTTCTCCTTACAACCGACTTTGAGTACAAGCCAGCAGACCAGGAGCGACCTCTACGACAGCACGTTATCGTATCAAAACCATGCCATCATGAGGAGTGCCCTCCTCGGTCGGGAATAATCCGCGGGTCGTACGAATCTGTCGAGATGATTAGAGAAGTGCCCGTCGAGAGCGATCCCCTTGCGTCAAAAACATCATTACTATCAACAGACCAGAGCTCTGAAGAGGTCCGAAGCTCTAGTTCAGACTCACGCGACCACCAAACCATGGCCGTTGAATGGCTAATGATAACGCGAAGCGACCCAGGCGGCAGCGTGCCCCGATTCATGGTGGAAAAGGGCACGCCGCCGGGCATCGTTGGAGATGCTGGCAAGTTTGTCAAGTGGATAACGGCCCTCTCCTTGCTCGACTCTAGAAGCGTCGAAAGCCTTGTAAAGCCGGAAAGTCCTGCTAAATCTATCGAGGCTGAGACACCGCGTGATGCCGGTAGTCCGCGGGTGCTTCCTATGCACAAACCCCATCCCAGTGGCGATTTCAAGAAGAGAGAGGCGGAGATAGAAGCAGCAAGAAGAGAATCCGTGCAAAGCATCCCCAGTAGTAATGGTATATACGGCATCATAAGCGGAGTCTTTGAGGCCGCATCTTCTGTCGTTGCCAGTGGACTACGGCAACGGGGAACCCCTGAAGAGAGCAATACTAGTGTGGATGACTTGGAATCGAGAACCGCCGAGGAGCACGAGACAGATGCAGACTTATCCGATCTTAGCGAGACATCCTCCATACGCACCTTTAGATCTGCCCTCGAAAGGTCCCTCACTGAAGAGAACCGGGCCCGGATTGTCGCAGGGAGCAATTCAGACGAGTCCAAAACCCAAGGAAAGCAGCTGCTAGAGAAGGAGCTTAGGAAACTCGAAGAGAAGCGGCGGAAGCTTGATGAAAAGACGGCTCACATGCAGCAGCGCATGGAGAACAAGCGACGCGGCGGCAAGGAGAAGGACGAGGCCGTGGTAGCCAAGATGCGTGAGAAGCACGAGAAGGAGATTGCCAAGAAGGAAGCAAAATACAGGAGAGAGCTGCAAAAGATTGAGGACAAGCGCGTGCACGAGGAGCGCAAGGCGGAGGCCCGCATGCGGAAAGCCATGGAGCGAGAGGAGAAGATGAACCTGGCGATGGAGCTGGAGAAGACCCGGGCGGAGAGAGACGTGGCGCTGAAACGGGTCGAGATTCTCCAGGCGCAGGTCGGCCAGCTTCAGTCGCAGAATACAATGCTGACGGCGAAGCTGGGACGGTTAGGAGGGTTTGATAGGGCGGCCTCCACGTCTTCCAAGGGCTCGGGGATGGAGAGCACCAAGTCGTCATGAGCTTTATGGCTATAACTGTTGGAGTGGCTAGTGAACAAGACAAAGTATGAAACATTCTAGAGGGCTTGGGATATTTTGTTCATTGGGATGGATGATGGATTTTGCATGGTACTGGGTGTTTTTTGGTTACTATATATACAAGATATTATAGCTTTCCTTGCTCTTCTTCTTTTGGGGCCACCGGGGGGGATTTGGAGTATTCCGGCTTATTATACATTAGCAGCGAAACACGGTCAGGATGGGAATTCACGGGAGAAAAGGGCTATTTGATTTTACATAGGGCACCTCTTTTTTCCTTAGCTTTGCTTCATTTCATTATAAAAGTGGTTAAATCTTCTTCTATTGTCTAATTTTTGGGTCTTTCTAATTCTCTTCTAACGGTTCCATGAGCAGTTTTGAAACCCGATCATGATCTGGCAATCTCAGCAAATCTTTGATATCATCGACAGCCTTGCGTAACTTCAAACTGCCGTGATTTCTCTTCAAAGTCACAGCGCCTCGAAGAATGCTTGTACCAATGGCAAAGACGTGAGGATTCGAGGCCCAGCCAAGAGGACCGTCCTCTTGCTTTATCAGCAGCTGCATCTGGGCCAGACCGTCGCAAATCCACTCATCCAGCTTGCCGAGTATCCTGCCGTCTTCTGGTCTTTTTTCATCCCATTCGAGGCTCTGGAAGACAGAAGCCCAGCGATTTGCCTCGCGAACCTCGTCTATGAATAGATTCTGCTCTTCAACTGCGAATAAAGAGTCGTCAGACCTGAGAGCGGCATCCAGTTGGGCCCCAGGCGAACTCCATGACTGATTAACTGCTACCGTAGCACGACATCCGGTGATGCGACTTGCAACTGCAGCCTTGAACTCAGCGCTGCTGTTAAAGTGTTGGGCGAGCCATTGAAGAAGACGGCTGGAGGCTTCGAGAGGGGCTAGGTTCTGACCAAAAATGCTCCTTGCTGCAGCGGATCCGGCCTCACGGACTTCATCGTCATCGTCGTTTATGGCATCATAGAGGGCTAGGAGGACAGGGAGATATCCTTCGCTGGTGCAAGATGTTCCCGTCACACGGAAGAATGAGCACAGAGATTGAGCTGCTGCAAAGCGGGTATCAAAGCTCTGTAACCGAGTTAGCATACTAATACATACTTCGAGATCGACAAGGGGAAAGAAGCAATTAGATTGGCACCAACCTTGTCATCTGACCCTGCATCAGCCATCATTCTGCCCCAGTTCCGAAGGGCCGGCGTTGAAAGACGTTTAGATTGACTCATAACGGCTACTAAGCAGCCGCTGGCTCTCACAATGGCGTTGGAGAGAGATGGGTTTAGTGAGCGCTGGGGTAGTATTGTCCACATGTCCATCAGAGAGCTGATAGGCAGAGAATCGAGCTTGTTCTCTGCAATGAGCTGGTTTATCAACTCAACCAAGTTCTCAATGGCCACCACTTGAGGCTCCATGAAGCTGGTTCTGAGACAAACGTCAATGTACAGATCGCACAAGGCAATCCTTATGTGGTCGGGAGTTGAGGCCGAATGCCATAGTTTCTGTATCGATTCCAGAGCAGCCACCATCGTGTCGGCGCCAATACGGCTCTCACTTAGCAAAGTCTTAACCTGCCTAACGGGCTCTTTGGATTGAGACAAAGAAAGTATTTTACTTATAGTACTTTGAGCTTTGAGCAACGCAGAACCGTTTGTCGTGGGTATCAAAACCTTGGGTGGCTGTAAGGGCTGAGATTGAGTGATCTGGGATATCCATATCATGTTGATAACTTCCAGGTAAGCGGCTATGATGTCCGGGCAGCTGACATATACGCTGTCGATCTGGCTTGTCTCGAGGAATGTCGTCAATTCCGGTAGGTCAGCTAGATATTGGTTAGGTTTAATAGGGGTAAATCACCAAATCGCTTTGCAAGTCTTGTTGGATTTACATACCTATGAGGCGATCTGGTGCCACTTCGCTAAATCTTTCAATGAGGAATTTTAGCGACAGGAGAACTCCGTGTACGTGATTCTGGCCATTGACAGTTTTGTCATTCAACGATTTGTGAAACAAATCTTGAACAACGCTAAGCCATTTGTCGTGAAGCAAGCAGGAGCAGAGAGTTCTGGCAGCAATTTCGCGCACATGCCATACAGGGCTTGATAGATAGGCAGCGACATGAATTTGAATTTCGTCTCGAAGGAGATCAGGCGGTCCTGCTCGACGGATGATGTCCAAGGCTGGGAAAACTGACTCGGCAGATGATGTGGCGTTTGTTGAGGTAACCATCTTGTGACCGGATTTAAGAAGACTTGCCAACACGGTTGGAAGGTTAGGGTACCGGTGGTATGGAATCCTGTTGGCTTTTCCGTCCCAGCCAGCTTCAATCATCGCCTTGCTCTCCTGTGACCCGAAGAGACTGTCGATTAAACTGCGAAGGAATATCAAGCCGCAGTTACGAATAGCCCAAACCTCTGACCTGAGCCCACTAGCCGCCAGTTCGAGGCACTGGGGAAGATATTTCTCGGATTTATTTCCCATAGATGTTAGTAGTGAGTTCTTGAAAATGTCTTTGAGACAATTGTAGGCATGGACTTGAGGCAGATTCGATCCATCTGTTTCTACCACGCGGGCCTCAATGCTCGCAATTTCGATGAGTCTGGCCATTGCGTCTTCAAATGATGGGTCAAATGCATTTGCCGAGAGAATACCCGTCATCATCGAGGGGATTCCAGCAGATCTTCGAGTTGTGGATCTTTGAGTGAAGATTTCGTTCAAGGTACCCTTCAAAAAACTAGACGTTAATAGGATCTATCATAGAGATTGATGGCAGAATATTGAGATACTGACCTTGTACCATACGTTGAGTAGAGATATCTCACCCTCAACAGGATCCAAATGCTTGGTCAACTGGCAGCAGGTCGCAAAGGTCGCAGCGACCGTTGTAAATGCACCGCGATGCCTTAAGTTGGCGAGTTGCTCGAATGCCAGATTTCCAATGGTTTCAAAGGCTTTTCGCGATGGTGTTATAAGCCCCTCGCGAGAGCGGTTTCTCATACTCAGCGCAATCGTCCGCATCAGATTGCTGAACTGTGGTTAGCCAAGAAACCAATAATAGATTTAATTGGAAGTAGCTTGCCTTGACTCATGAATGGCACGAAAACTGTAACTCAAGAGACCCTTTGTATCAAGACCTTCAGTATCTTCCATCTCTTCGGGCAGATGCCCCTCAGGAGAGTCATCGCAAAGAACATCGCGGACGGCTTTCCACACCCGTTCACAGCAATCAATCATCCTGTCCTGCAGCGCAGAGGCAGACTCTGCCTCAGATTTTGATAGCTTCTTTTCAGAAACAGCTTGCCAGGTGAAGCACAGCGACGCAAAGGTACTATGCAGTGGCTGCTCTAGAACGGCCAGCCCCAAGTCTGCCTCAGCCCTTGATATCTTGTGGTCTAGTGTATCAACGAGTTTTGAAAGAAGACCTAGCCGCTCATCTTCAGTGTCCAAGAATTTATATAGCAGTTGCGAGGCTCTGGCAACACCATCAGAATGATCAGCTCTGGCAGTACGAATGGACACTTTTTCAGCTCGATGTAGTAGTTCTTCAAGTTCCCCGGAAGGCTTCTGGTTCGTGTTCGTAGAATTGAGGGTGAATTTCACGTATCTCTTGTCAGCGAATAGTTGGGCCAGTACAAGCGAGGCGGTATCCCGAACATCGTCGAATGGATCCATTACTAGATCGGCGAGCGTTCGAAGCCATTTCCCATCAAAGTAGTCGAAAAACAGCTGCTGGTCCTCTGGTGTCTCCCAAGTCTTCGAACTATCCCCTTCCATGCGAAGTATGGATATCAGACTTTTAAGGGATGTAATGTGTCGTTGGTAAGAAGCTGTCGGAGACAATTCGTCACATAAGAATCCTAGATACCAGTGTAAGAATTTCTCATGGTACTCTAAGCAGTATACAAGTTCAGACTCTGGCCATGAAATTATATTAGTGCGGTATAACGCTTGTTGACTGGCACCAGATGCCGCATCCTTGGAGGCATTCTTTCGCGCCTTTGCCCTTGCTCGTGGTATGCTTTTCTTCAATATCGAGATTGCGCCCCGTACTCTCTTGAACATGTCCCTTACACGAGCACAGACATCCACCCGAAACTTGGCATCTGGATCCGCCAAAAAAGTGGCTAAATGTCTCTTAAGTAAATCCAAGGTGGTAGCAGAGTATGGTCGTGTTGTTGATGGTGAGCTTATAAGAAGACTAAGAGCCGATGTTCGAACCTCGTGAGACGGATGCGTTAGCACGCTCTCAAGGGTATTTTCTCGGAGAGTAATGGATGAATTGTCCTCGTTTGACTGGTCACTGCCAAGATCTAATTTGCGTCAGCACCCATTCTCAGTTGGGCGAGGGGGATATTTCTTTACGGGGTTCTTCAACAAGGCCAACTTTCTTTCCAGTTTCTAAAGCAGCCAAAGTGAGAAGCGCACTTGCGTCAAAGTCATCATTGGCTGGCGTAGCTGTTGAACTGGACTCATGCTGGTTCACTTTTTGCAAAAACTTCAGACCTTCTGGCCTGTCAACCTTGAGGAGCGGAAGGAATATGTAATTTTTGAAGTTTTCCAGCAAATTTGGCTCCTGTGTCAGAAAATCGAGTAGCCATCGATGCCATGTGTCTATACTCAAGCCTGTAGAGTCTTCATGGCCCCTTTGCCTCAGGGCACGACACAAACTCACTATGAACTTTCCGGCCGCGGGACAAATAAAGTGCAGTCGAGTCCACTGCAACAACTCGGTTGTAAAGACGCTCCATATCTCGATGTCAGCGGCCTGGGATAGTTCCTGGTGGTAGGCGAGATGAGTGGCTTTGACGTCATCCAAGTTGAAAACTCCCTTGGCAAGAAAGTAATCAAGAGTCTTCAGGGCCGATTTAGCTACAGGCTTGGTCGAGCGGCCGATTACAATCGAGATTAGATTGTCCAAGAGCAAGTCTCGTATCTCTAGTGCCGCTCTTTTGTCAGGATTTCTGCGGAGCAGTTGCGCTATCAGGTCTAGGACGAGCCTCATTGATCGATGATGATCAAACTCATTCCAATCAATGTAGAAATCGTAAAGCCTCAAAGCTACATCTTGAGAAAACGCCCAAAGCTGAAGAGGCTCTGACTCAGACTTGGAAACTCGCTCTACAAAGCCACAAAGCCGCACACAGGCATTGCCCGAGACAGATCTAGGCTGGGCTGCTTCTCCCAGGATCGTGTCGAAGATGTTTGTGGCACAACTACATACAACTTAGCAAGCTACATGCAGCGGGGACAGTTTGGTGAACTCGCACCTCTGTTGGCTTCCCACGTCTTGCTCTTCAAGCCACTTCATCACCGGAGTCGGGTTACCGAGCAGATCAACATGCTCAGGGATGAGTCGACCCGGCATGATGGGCGAAAAGTTTGTCCACTGAGTCACGCCGAATGAACGCAAAACTTTGTGAAGAAGATGCCGCTGCTCTCGACACCAAAAATCCCACTCTAACACATGGATTTAGCCTTTTTGGACTCGGTCTTTATCATGGCAATCGTTTGAGTTTCAACTTGAGTCAACAGAGAGTTTTGAGGCTGCACGTGGCTGCGCACGTGAGAAAATTTTGCCCTTTCGCACCAGCCCCACAGCGAAATCCCCGATCCACAGAGTTAGATAAAAATCATCGAGGCCCCCCATACCTTTCGACTTCCGAAATCTCAACAACCACCCCACGTCCTGATCACCATTAGATACGTTTGATTCTATTGGGAGACTGCCAAGATGTCTAAGATCTCAGTCGGTATGTTTTCGCCTTAGATAGAGATTCATCTACAGCGATGGACGCAATAGACGCTTCTCTACCACTCGATATTTAATTTTGCACGGTGCTGACCATCTGCACAGCCAACGTCCGGACTCAAGTCGGAGAGCTCCTTGAGTACTCCAACGAGACCAAGAAGCGCAACTTCCTCGAGACCGTCGAGCTCCAGATCGGCCTCAAGAACTATGACCCCCAGCGTGACAAGCGTTTCTCTGGCACCATCCGCCTGCCTTCCATCCCCCGCCCCAACATGGCCATCTGGTATGAACCCGACATAGTCGCCGACAAATAAGAACCAAGAGTGCTGACTCGGATTCGCTATAGCATCCTCGGTGACCAGCACGATCTCGATCGTGCCAAGCACGGTGGTGTTGACGCCATGTCGGCTGATGACTTGAAGAAGCTGAACAAGAACAAGAAGCTCATCAAGAAGCTTGCTCGCAAGTACGATGCCTTCATTGCTTCCGAAGCTCTCATCAAGCAGATTCCCCGTCTCCTGGGTCCTGGTCTGTCCAAGGGTAAGTCACTACGATTGAATGGACCACCGCATATGTCGTCGCTGAAGCTAACTCTCTTCACCTACAGCCGGAAAGTTCCCTACTCCCGTCTCCCACGCTGATGACCTGACTGGCAAGATCAACGAGGTCAAGTCCACCATCAAGTTCCAGCTCAAGAAGGTTCTCTGCATGGGTGTCGCCGTCGGCAACGTCGGTATGGAGCAGGAGCAGCTTGTTGGCAACATCATGCTTGCCATCAACTACCTGGTCTCTCTCTTGAAGAAGGGCTGGCAGAACGTTGGAAGCCTTACCATCAAGGCTTCCATGTCTCCTCCCAAGCGCCTCTACTAAATGGTCGTGGCACTTTTAGGCTCCGTTTGAGGTGTCAAGTTACAATTATACCTATGCACGACGTGTGGGATGGCATAGTTTAAGTCTCGAACAATAATATTAGCCTTTTTTTTTTTTTTTTAATCTTGGAAACTCTCCTAGTGATTTTACAAATCTTGATCGTAGTTGCGCCCTCAAAGTTGAATTAGTGATGCATCGTTATTCTGTAACAAGACAGCATTTCAGCGTCATCTATCAAAGCCCGGCGCGCGCGCAAAGGTCAGGCATGATTTAATAGTTTTTACTTAATTCATATTATTTCCTTAAAATTATCATAGGGATGCTAGCTCTATAACCCACAGCTTTTAGTTACTCGCCAGGCAACAAGACCTCGGCGACCAATGACTCTAGAGAGAGTATTCCAGACTCCGTCATCTCCAAAATCTAAATCATCCAAGTTTAGATGGTTCCTGTATCGCCACACTTCCCGGAACCGTAGCCCTTCTAGCCCCTTGTTTGGAAGATATGGATCTAACCAGGTGGCTGATGCAGGCGCGAGTAAATAAGTTCCGTTCTTTTCCTTCAAATACTCCGTATTGCGCCGGTCTGCAGGGGTATCGCAAGTGGCCAACTCGGCCAACTGTTTCAACAGTTCCTCGCCCTTAATTCCCATGACATCCTTGGTGGTCAAAACTTCATTTTTGCCGTTGAGAAGCCAGATCGGGGGAGGATATGTCTTCCACCATATGGCGTTTGTGGCGTCAGGCTGTTTGCTCATAAACACTTGCCCAGGGACAATACCACCCTGGTGATATGTTCCCATAAGCACACCAAAGAACAGATTGAATATCACCCAGATCGCAGTCCACGTGCGAAGAAGAGCCTTATTCTTCGGCAACTGTAAAGATGACAGGATGAGTGGCACACTCGGAAGGAGAAACCGCGCTTCTTGGTGCTTAATGAAAGACAGGACGATAATTCCAGAAACCGCTGACCACAGCCTCAGGGATACATGAGGTCGTAAAAACAGCAACGCAGCTGCAGGCCCAATAAGCTGCGGCAAGTTTCCGAGGATATGTTGGTACCAGGGGTGTAGCCCATGAAGTGCCAGGTTTTCAGGGTTAGAATTATACACCAGGTTGTTGATAGGAGTGATGACCGGGTTGGTGATGAGATCAGACCAAGTAATAGGGCCCGGAGTGTAAAAAGCAGTGTCGACAGCAATAGCAGTTAAAGCAGTTGTAAGGGCAGCCAAAACCAGGGCCGCCAATGAAAAAGGACTAGATGAGTTAATACTTGTCGTCTAAATGTCGCAAGCTGCATGGGATGAGGACGCACTTCTTCAGAAAATGGGGTATCAATCGCAGCCCAGGCAGTATCAGAAAAGCTGGGAAAGTAACGCGGTTGAAGATACCAAACACAACAACCATCCCCAGGACTACCGAGGACAAGATGGATGACTGTTGCCGAAGATGTATTAGCATGAGATCGAGAGCATAATGATATACGAAGGAGCAGATAGCCGCAAAGCTTACATGAGGATCCATGATGCGCTCTATCAATACCAAGCTCCACAGAACCGCCAGAGTCTCAATCGAGTTGGAGAATGTATGTGTTTGAAAAGTCCAGGTTACATAGGACGACGCCACGAGAAGGACAGCAATCCGACGATGGCGAGTTGAGGTAATTTGCTCGTGAATAGCCCAATCTTCCAGCACAAAGCTCAATAGAAACATGAGGCACCTCAACGTCCAGAAGACGGCAATAGGGGGGACCTCGCCATCTTGCCCGTTGCCAACCCAAAGCCAGCGGAGCAAAAGCATGGGAAGGCCATATACAGGCCAGAGCGGGAAGACACTCCGAATCGGGGTTTCGCTAGTGAATTCCCATGTATGCCGGACAGGGTAACTAAAAATCTGGCCTGTATACAGCAGATATTCGATTAGCCACTGAGAACAGTTACACAAAAGCTCATTTTTGGGGTAAACCAAAAGCCCGTAATAAATCCCTCGAGAAATCATCCAACCGCCTGCAAAGGGCTCATAACCCGAAGCTTCCACAAAAGGTGCTCAAATATTACATGGCGCCCGAATACATACCAGCAATCACTTCCGGCCCCTGAAAGTTCTCATCAGGGTGAAGATAACTGGGCGACAGAGCAAAATAGAGTCTGATGAGGACTAGAAGAAGATAAGTGCGCCGCCACATCTTATTTTGGCTGACTGCTTAGAAGAAGGTGTTGGTGTAGTAAGCATGAGCGAGAGAAGATGCTGATGGCGATAAAAAAAAAACATGAGCAAATCGGAGAAGCTGCGATGCGCGCTGGCTGACAGGATGGCTGAGAAGAAAGAAGAAAAGCCGTGATAGCTGAGAATTACGAACAGTGTGGTAGTACCATAATAATAGGGGAAAGTTGATTAGAATCTTCTAGGCGTGAAGTAAGAACAAGGAGGGAGGCTGCAGATGAGGCTCCAAACGCAAGGCCACAAAGGCAAAAGCTATGCTGCAAGCTCTATAAACAGCGAAAAGGGGCTTAGGTTGTCGAAAGAAGAAGCAAAAAAAAAAAAAAATGAAGTGAAGCAAATGTGTCAACGCGTGGAAAGTCTAAGACGCGCCAGAGGGCTGTCGAGAAATGCTGCTAAAACGGAACAGGTGGTCAGACGAGGCTGATGACCTGCTGGCTGAGACCTGAAGGGTGCGTGCCTGACATGCAAATAAGGGGCATGACCTCATTTTCCCTTCCCGCAGCTGGCAATGCTGCTTTCGTAATCACAGCTTTGTTTGGTCAACAAAAGCGAGGAGCCAGCGAAGATTATCTAAGGCACCTAAAGCGTTTCAGCGGCGTTATGGCTGTCAATGCAACAACCGCAGCATGAAAGAACAATCTCTTTCTCTCTCTTTTCATGCTCTTCATCATCACCATCACGTGAAAAGAAAACAAACGCTCGGCACTTGATGCAAGGGTTCTTTGCAGCCGGTTTAGCGCCGGGTGGATGAAAACTTAGTCACTCGGGCAGTGGCTCATACTCTATCCTCCCAGCGTGAGGTTGTTCGTAGGCATTGGAGCCCAGTGGGGATAGTACTCGTAAAATGGATATATTTCCTTGAACAATACAGTGCATAACAGAGAGCGACTGATGATAAGAAACATGAAAGGCAAATGAATGACGACTTGGCTGTCTTTGACCCCGACGATAATGGAGTGCTGAAGCTTCACAGCCATGCTTTCAGCTGAGTACATATGGGTCTATGTGAGCGAGACAGGTAGACAATGCAAGGTTGCCCTTATGAAAATTGTTGTTCTACATGATTGTCTCGAGACAATGAAAGGGCGAGGGTCAGTCAACATAGAGAAAGACTGATGCGCATTACAAAGGCATCAAAGGGGAATAGGCCTCAATGCAATAACCAGCGTTCGGTTGGGCCAATGCAGAATAATCCTGGAAGGAAGTATTAGTCGTAGTGCTGCCTGGTACCTTGGCGCCAGTACTAAGACGCAGGCACCGGTGAGTACCATTGAGGCTGGCATTGGCGGTGGCTCGAGAAAGGCTTTCTAAAAAAAGAAAGGGGGGGGAAATCATAATACAGATATACTCTGTACAAGAAATGCAAAATAAAACTCAGCTGCGAATGGTATATATAAGTTTTCCTTTCTCTTTTCCGTATCGACAATTGGAAGCTCGGGCTCCCCTTGAGGACGCCGCCACCCAAACACTGCCTGACTGAAGCTTTGGTGGCTCTTCCATCAGCCAACGCGCAGAATTCGGTACGTACCTTTTTTCGCCAGCAGAACCCCGCAGAACTTTTGAAGCGATTGCCTGCCACTCGGATTCGTCCGTGCCTAGGAGTCAGGTTCAGCTACGAGTATATCAACCTCTCTCCCTGCCTTCCTGCCGCTCTTCTCAACATCCGCATCAACACCCACCGCTACCCACCGCGACGAGCTACACGTTCTGTGCAGGCCTTTCGCATCGATCTCCAACATCGTTCCGCCACATCGACGAGCTTCTCTTCACGGATAACATCATCGCATCATCATCACAATGGCGGAAGCAAAGCCTGCGTCCCAGAAGATCTGGCTGGTCTCCAACGACAACGCCACCATGGAAGTTGGTATGCTCGCCTCATCCTAATCATCTCATCCATTTTTAAGGTTTCCTCGTGATTGACTCCCGATGCCAGACCGTGCCGTCGTAGAGCGATCCATGCTCCTGAAGAACATGCTGGAGGATTTGGGCGGTGCCGACGTCAGCCCAGAGAACCCTATTCCTATTCCCAACGTAAGTCTTAGCTTTTCCACTGTAAATCGCCCGGGAATGTCATTAACAGAGCCTTGGTAGGTCAACGAGGCAGTGCTGCGAAAGGTGGTTGAGTGGTGCGAACATCACCGCAATGACCCTGTTGCCGCTCCCGATGACGAGTCTGATGCTCGCAAGAAGACTACGGATATTGAGGAGTGGGACCAGAAGTTTATGCAGGTCGACCAAGAGATGCTTTTCGAGATCATCCTGGTACGTTTTTTCCCTTCTTTAACGGGGATAATTTGGTTCCCAACTAATCGCGACCCTAGGCCTCCAATTTCCTTGACATCAAGCCTCTCTTGGACGTTGGCTGCAAGACAGTGGCAAACATGATCAAGGGCAAGTCTCCCGAGGAAATCCGCAAGACTTTCAACATTACAAACGATTTCTCGGCCGAGGAGGAGGAGCAGATTCGCCGTGAGAACGAATGGGCCGAGGACCGATAAATAATGGTCTACTACGGGTGCCTCTTAACTCTCCCTCTTTTAGTGGAGAGCAGCAGCGTGAACCTGGCTGTTTCCAGGGCTGTTTCATAGAGCAACCTACGGCGTTGATGGGACTGAAATGACAAGGCTATCGGGTTCTTTTTCGTTTTTTTAACTGGTATTTTGTTTTTGGGGACATATGCGCGGGGGCTCGGCTGTAGATTGACCAACATCGAGCACTTATCATGAGCTGGGGAAGCTTATTCTCTACGGTTAAAGACACGCTACAGACACCACGTTGAGTAAAATTTTAGCTGGTTTCGATTTATACCTTATTTCTCATTCACGAGATGGGCTTGGTGACCTCTAAAGAAACGAATTGAACATGGCACCAGCATTGATTTCATGGCCTTATTTGCCTTTACCTAACCCAGAACATTGGAGAATTCGGACACATCAGTTCTCAGTTTGTTCACTGTCCAAGGCCCAGATACCACCATTGGAGCAAAACCATTGATGTTGGAGTATTTTCTGATGGCACAGAAGAAAATCGGCCCTCTCGTTCATTCACATAGCGAGTAGCAGTTGTGGCGTGAGCACCATGTTTAGAAAGAACTGAGACTCGGGTAAAAAAAGCAAAATGGACATCAAAATAGGTTCATTCCTTTCCCTATGACCGACCGTGACATGAAGCAATATCAAGAATCGAGAAACCAGGCAACCGTGCCCATTCCATTGCGTCTGCATCCTCCTCCCACACGCCGTAAAGACGATAAAAACTCTTTTTTTACGCCATCCGCCACTATTTCACCACGAGACCATGCCAAAGAAACCGGACGTCGGTACCGTCGGTGCAAGAGGGTCGGGAATGCCAGGTGATTGAGTGAACCGGCTTAGATGCCGAGGCGAGTCTTTCTCCAGTGCCTTCTCTTGGCGTTGTAGCTATACGAACAACCAGTTAGTATTTTGTGGCATGTGAAGATTTGGGTCTGTGAACGAGAAGAGATAATCGAATCATGTGTAGGAAAGGAGAGCGATGGGTTTGAGCGGGAAAAGAGGCTGAGGCGTTCGAAAATCGTAGGGATAATTCGAAGGAGTTGTGGTGTCTCGTTTCTGGGGAATTTGAACGCACCGGATGGTGTTGCCAGTGCGAAGGCGAATCCATTGCGGAACCGGGCGGTTCTGCTTCTGGGCCTTGGCCAGCTTCTGCTTGGTTCGGAATGTCTTGTGGCTCTAGAGAATCATATGCTCGTCAGCGATTTGGTTGCTTCAAAATCGAGCCCATCTTGCGTCTTCTCCTTTGAACGCCAGCGACTGCTTGGACCGCAGGGACCCGAACAGAAGCCGCGCCGAAATCAAAAATCGCTTCTTCAAGGACATGGCTCTTCATAAACCAGCGGGAAGGGGCTGCATACCGCCATCGTATTGACCTTGCGTATCGAGTCTGGTGATGATGACGATTTTCGTGATGTTGAGAGTGATAGTAGATTTTGCGACCCGCATCCGAGGGCGTAAAGCCCTAGCGGAGAAGAGAGTTGGTGGGTTTGTGGCTGGTGTGGCATGTGGCGCGGCAAAAGTTTGTTCCTCAGGCAGAAAGCGCGGCTGATGAATCGCTGGAAGCATCTCGTGGCGTATTACCTAATAAGGCTATGGAGAGTGACAAAATAAGCTGGACAGTGTCTCCGCGCCTAAGTGCAGCTGATGCGCAGAGCAATGCTTGATGGAACTGTCCATAACGCTGATATCACAATATTCTCTAATTTTTTAAATTTCCTTAATGAGTTTTTTCTATATCCAATATGTCATCTCGATTTATTTCAACTCGTAGAGAAGCTTTCATCAGCAGTGCACTACACGGTCTACACCCAATTAAGGCAACGGAAATAGGTCAAGTGATGTGAGGCTGCGTGAGATTAGCCTCAGGTTTTTGTCTAGCGCGTGGACCAACCAGAGCCCGCGGTTCGGAAGGACAATCGCCCTCTAACAACGGCCTGCCAAGATAGCTGCAGATGGGCGTTGGAGACTCCGGAATAGGGGACAGTTTGTAATTAATAACTTCCATTCCACATACGCATTTCAACGAAGCCCTTCTGCCACGACCTTTTGCGATATACACGCGACCTATAATCGACTTATTTGCCCGCGTCTGATTCGTATTTCCTTTTTATTTTTTATTTCTTGGCATTTCTTCCCGGCGTCCCGCAAGGTCCGTTCCCTTCAAAACTACGTCAAATCTGAGCGCGAGGTGGAACGCGAACGATTCATCCACCGAGGACGGAACACACAACGAATCACAGAGGACTTCATTATTCACATTTAAAGATGGGTGCTGGCATGTCATGGCTGTCCAACTTGGTCTGGGCAAAGAAAGAGATTAGGATTCTGATCTTGGGCTTGGTATGACGTCGTTGACTGCCTTGGCCTCGATGCTGGGATGCTAATGCGTCGGTTTGAACAGGACAACGCTGGAAAAACAACGCTCTTATACAGACTGAAGGTACGGACCCGATGGCTGCTGGATTTCTAACCACGTGCTGACTTGGAGAGATTAGATCGGAGAAGTTGTCACGACGATACCAACGATCGGATTCAACGTTGAATCAGTCACGTACAAGAACCTCAATTTCAATGTTTGGGTATGGATGAATACAATAGAAGACGCGTTGGAAGCGGCGAAACCGGCATTTTGCTAATCATCTTGTTTTCAGGATCTGGGTGGTCAGACAAGCATCAGACCCTACTGGCGGTGTTACTATGCCAACACCGCTGCCGTTATCTTCGTCGTCGACTCGACTGATATCGACCGATTACAAACCGCAGCAGAGGAGCTATCGGCCATGCTGAACGAGGAAGAGCTCAAGGATGCGGCTCTGCTGGTGTTCGCCAACAAACAGGACCAGCCCGGCGCCAAGGGAGCGGGAGAGATCTCGGAAGCGCTGCAGCTGGGCGAGCTGCGGGACCGAAATTGGAGCATCATGGCCTGTTCGGCAGTCGACGGCAGTGGTGTGAACGAGGGCATGGATTGGCTGGTGGTAAGTTTATGTTCCTGACGATCGATGCATCTCGGGGGGAGAATACCGAAAAAGCTAACAACAAACGTCTACCATAGCAAACCGTCAACCAAGAAAACTAACAGCCAAAAAAAACTTATTAAAATCAATGAGGGAGGATTTGATACCTCTTCTTTTCATCAAAACGCAATCTTGTACAACAAACGATAAGACGATGGAACGACGGTCGGGTTTCGTCGTATCTGGGAGAACAACGATACGCCTGGGTCAAGGAGGAGGAGGATATGCAACGAAGGGCATACCCTACCCATCTAATGGGCGGACGATAGGTTTGAGAGAAGACAATCATACGGATGGGGGGGCAATATGAACAGTACTATCATTTAATTTTAGACTTGGGATACCTGTACCAGTATCCTGTTTCGATTCTCAACATTGGTCTCGGTCTTTGAACCCCGAGCTTGGCTGTCAAACCCCTCGTAATCTCGTATTAACATCAGCGCTGCCACGCGGCACGCCGCATCAGCCTTATTTAGAGACCCGCATCGTGTGAAGGGTTGTGTCAAATCTGGGCAAATATGAGCCGGGGCATCCAGAAGTACCTGTAAAACTGACAGGCGATGCGGCAGTTCCTCACTGGGCCGCACGTCATATGCCTCGAAAACCCACTTGACATGATCAATAGTTCTCTCGGATTACGACGGCTATCCTCAATAAACCCCAACGGATGCGACCGGAAGCGCTTGAGATGCATGAAAAAAGAGGGTGTGTGAACAAAGTACAAAGAAGTGGGCACCTGGAATGCCAGTAACGAAGTTCTCAATACGATATAATTGTGTATAAAACAAGGGTAGTCGGACCTCGGACTACATGGGGTGGAGCGGAGATAGCATGTCAAGTTTTCACAGAAAATGGCGGCAGATGAGATTTTGGCGTCACATAGGCTATTCTGTAAACTAGACTGGCAAAGGAATGGATAGAGGGATTTTGTAATGGCTTACTTTGTAACGGCAATAGATCTGGAAAACGGCCGGAACTCACCGGGTAAAGAAAGAACATTCGTCTGCCCATGTTCTCTTTGGACGGCCAGTTGAAACAGTGCGGGAAGTTCAAGATGGTACGGGACATGTTTGGTGTGAAAAGTCCAGAAAAACATATATCAGTTCATGTGTGTATTATAAGTCTTAGTTTGTAACAACCTGTCAGACGTGGTAAATATCATCTCAAATAACGTAAATCAAGTCAGCAACTAGAACAATTCCGCCAAGGCATTATGATTAGTTGGGAACAACCTAGGCAGGCACTAAAAGAGTGACAGAGCAGGTGACCACGCGTTCAGACACCTACGCGAGGCGCGCCATCAGCTCATCCGGGTCGAGGGAAGCCGTTCGTTGCTAGTGCCCACCATCTGCTGTACGAAGACCCAATTTGAAATATCCATGATGGAAGAGGAATGGGGCGATGGCAGGCGGTAGTTGCGGCAGTTGCGGCGGAAGACAAGGGCAAAACCCCGCTTCAGAAGCCGGGAAAATAGACGGTATGATCATTCGGACTCATGAATGAACAAGATAGATATGAAAAGTGGCATTACGGATGATATCTCTTTGTTTCTTGGGTGGTTGAGCTTGAGCTGGGGGTTGGAGAACCAAGAAGAGCGATGGGTGCCGGCAGCGAGAGACGTCAGAGACACTGAGCCGCCGACATAATACAGTCATCTAAGGGTAAAGGGTAAATTACTAGTTGAAAGCAGGGAGGCGGAATTTGATATCGACGCAGCCTCTCTTGACGGGCCAGGGCACAAAACGAGTTAGTGACGCCGCGCCTGGCCTCGAATGGACCTTGAGAGGTTCAGGTGGTTCGCACAGCTCCAGAGGCCCGTGCTCCGTTCCGGGACAAGTGAACCGATCCGGCTTTCCTTTCGGGGGCCTGTTATTGGCTAGCAGTCACTCCACTTCGGGCTGGCCCAGCGGGGGGGAGATGGAGCCGGTTCTTGCTTCCACCAGCCTGTGCCGCAAAGAATGTACCTCGTGCGCGTGTGCTAGCAGGATTGGGTACATGCGATGCTTGTTACCCATTGCCCCGCGATGGGCGGGCTCTGACGTAGGGGACTTTGGCCAGGTCATGAATTGGGCAAGTGATGGAAATACTAAGTCAGGCACGCAAAGCTCTAGAAGCGGCCGGGCACAAGAGCACAAGCAGCATCGGCAGTTGCCACGACCTGGGCAGTTCAATTGCTATGGAACGTAACTACCTAGTAGTAGACACTTGGTTGCCGAGTTTAGGTACTAACGGGCATAGTAATCATGCAGGGCAAGCACAAGCAAACAGCTGAGGCAAGAAAGAGGAGGGGAAGGAGGGAGGGTCCCTGTACGCTCCCGCCATCTCAACCACACAGGAAGCTTCGTTTGACCATTGACGCATGAATTCGCTTCTCTTGCACAGGCCTCGTCTTACATCAGGCTCAATCACCCCACCACTACGCTCGCCCCTTCTCCTCGACTGCAGCTCAGGTATAAAGAGGCAGTCTCGTCCGGCCCCTCATCAGCTGTTGCCTTGTCCTGTGCCTCTCTACTCTTCTTTTTCCCTTCTCTACATCTCCTTCCTACCTCCTCTCTGGTATCTCCCATCTGGCCACGTGAGCTCTGCTCCCATACACATCTGATACATAGGTAGGCTTCCTATTATGCCCCGTACCTATCAATGATCTACAATCCATCTGTCAGCTGTCTAACACTTCATATCGCGGCATTCAGTCAGTCCAAGACAACCAACCGTCAAAATGGTTGCCAACGACACGCCGGCTTCCACCTTCAGGTACAACGAGAAGCCAGTTTACACCACCTCCAATGGTGCCCCCATTGATAACCCTGAGGGCTGGCAGCGACCCGGTGCCATTGGGCCTCTGCTGCTCCAGGACTTTCACTTGATCGATGCCCTCGCCCACTTTGACCGTACGTGTCCCTCTGTCTTCTATTTCGTCTCCATACCAAGGCTTCCATGCTCCATCTTGGGCTATACCCTAGCCCATCCCCAAGTCATGACACGGCTAACATTGCACATCTAGGCGAGCGTATTCCTGAACGTGTCGTCCATGCAAAGGGTGCTGGCGCATATGGCGTATTCGAAGTCACCCATGACATCACCGACCTCACCTCCATCAACATGTTCGATACTGTCGGCAAGAAGACCAACTGCATTGCGCGTTTCTCAACCGTTGGTGGTGAAAAGGGCTCTGCTGACACCGCCCGTGATCCTCGTGGCTTCGCCATCAAGTTCTACACAGAGGAGGGCAACTGGGACTGGGTCTACAACAACACCCCGGTCTTCTTCATCCGTGATCCTACCAAGTTCCCGCTCTTCATCCACACTCAGAAGCGAAACCCCCAAACGAACCTTAAAGATGCCACCATGTTCTGGGATTACCTCTCCACCCACCAAGAGGCTATCCATCAGGTCATGCATCTCTTCTCCGATCGAGGCACTCCCTATTCATACAGACACATGAACGGATACTCAGGCCATACTCACAAGTGGACTAAGCCCGATGGATCTTTTGTCTATACCCAGGTCCACCTCAAGACTGATCAGGGGAATAAGACGTTTACCGCTGAAGAGGCTTCCAAGATGTCTGCCGAGAACCCAGATTGGAACACTCAAGATCTCTTTGAGTCTATTCAGAAGGGAGAGTGCCCCAGCTGGACTGTCTACGTTCAGGTTCTCACCCCTGAGGAAGCTGAGAAGTTCCGCTGGAACATTTTTGATTTGACCAAGGTTTGGCCTCAGAAGGATGTGCCCCTCAGGCCCATTGGCAAATTCACTCTCAACAAGAACCCTGAAAATTACTTCGCCGAGATCGAGCAGGTTGCCTTCTCTCCCTCTCACTTGGTGCCCGGTGTTGAGCCTTCTATCGACCCTGTGTTGCAGTCTCGGCTGTTTTCTTACCCCGACACTCATCGTCACCGTCTCGGCACCAACTATCAGCAGATTCCTGTAAATGCACCTCTGAAAGCATTCAACCCCTTCCAGCGCGATGGTGCCATGGCCATCAACGGCAACTATGGTGCCAATCCTAACTATCCTAGCTCTTACAGGCAGCTGACTTACAAGGCTGTCAAGCCCTCCGTCACCCATGAGAAGTGGTCCGGCGCTGCCGTCCATGAGCTTTTCCAAGAAATCAACGATGATGACTTTGTGCAAGCAAAGGGTCTTTGGGATGTGCTCGGCCGCACTGCTGGCCAGCAGGAGAACTTTATTTCAAACGTTGCCGGCCATCTAGCGGCCGCTCATCAAGACACTCGTACCAGAACATACGAGATGTTCTCAAGAGTGGATGCTGGCTTGGGCAGCTCCATTCAGGAGCAGACAGAGAAGCTTGTCAAATAAACAGAATATGCCAGTTAGTTGGGATATCAAACTCCATGATGAAACCATGTAGCCATAGAAATTGAATATGACAAAGAAATATGATTATAAATTACCAAACACTACATGTGGGATGGGGTTTAATCTAGAAGTCAGGTACTCGTGCAAAGTGACTTCATAGACAACGGATATGCCTTCCTCAAGCTCCTTCACTATTTACATCTACTCTGCCTAATCAACTCTCTACACCATTGCAGATATAATCAAGATGGAACGTATCAACCGAGACACATCACTGTGATAGACAAGAGCGTAATGCCACACGAAATTTTTTTCAAGTTTAAATTAACTACCTAGTAGTACTGCCAACGACAAGAGAACGAGCAGGGACCCTTTTCCAGCAGTGCGCTACATTGCGTGCGAAGCCATCTCCGCCGCCAGGGCGAAGAGGCCATTGTCCTCATCTGTATAGTGCTTTTTTTTTTTTAAAGTGGTTTTTATCCTTTTTCATAATTTTTTCTCTCGCACACTTTGAGTTTATCCAGCATCTCTTATGCAACCCCAAGCGCCCTCCCGTTCCCAGCGGGAGAGCCCAGGAGTGAGTAGGCAAGTCAACAAAGCACAGCTTTGCTGACAGCCCAGCTCACTCACTTGACATTGCGCCACAACAGCTTCGATGCCCTCTCAACCAGATCCGGTCTGGCTGAGGAAGCAAGCTCGAAGCGGGAGTGGGGGTGTAGAGAGATGAGCTACAAAAATGTTTGCCTAGACATTTCTCAGGCCACCTCAACAAGCCATTGTTGAATGGGAGAAGAGACCGAATTAACGCATCCGATTCGGTTAGACTCCCTGGCGTGTCGTACTGGCACAGGTATGAACTTGTGAGGTGGAAAAGGTCAACAGCATTCATGGCTGGGAAATATCGCGGCGAAACGGTGGATGGAAGAGGCCATTCACTCGTCACTGCACAGCAGGGACAAAGCATGAAGCCCACCCTATCATCGTCTTTCCAGTCATCAACAGCCCGCACAGACTTGCCGGCGGGCGTGCACACCCCTGTCAACAGCCAGTGTCCGCATGTGCCAAAACATTCCAGATATTTCAGCGTCATGATCGTAATGCGTAATTGTTGGTTTGACGTTGTTCCAAGAAATGTCGCTAGCTGGTTTGAAATCCAGTTCAAAATCCAGTCAGTCAGCGTTGGAAACAAATCGTTGAGCTGAATAAAACCGCTTGTGTAATATGAGTACTTGATTCGAAGAGAAAGCGTCCAATCTCAGCATCTAGCCAGAGAAATTAAGCTATCCATGTGTTCAATAATCGTATCGCATACTCGTGAGGTTATTCGTAACTCATTCATGTCGTCGTCAAATGTGTCGTGATGTGTCATTACGCAAGACAGGATAAGGAAAGACACCAAAAGAGTGGCCTGAGGTATTATTCGCAGGCAACACATCTGAGAGGGAGATCTTCCAAATGAAAAGAAAAGTCTGCTTCGTTGCTGCCTCGTCGGTAGCAACGAAGCGGACGAGAAAAGAAAGTGTAGGAATCAAATCCAATGGAGGTTTCGGGCCGAGCCGATTGTTGTGCATTGCTGCAGTTGCCTCTTATCTTTAACCCAATGGTACCAGAAAACAAGAACAAGGAAAAGTAGAAGAGAATGTCGCAAGCCGCTGGCGTCTGTGCCGAAGAAAAGAGTCCCCGCCCGGTTGAACACGCATCCAGATTGTCCGCCTCGGATCCAGCCATGTTGGTGGTATAATGTAAGGAAAAACAAGCAGCCCAAAAGAAAATGCCGAGCTAGCGGCTATAACGCGACGGATGATGATGTTTCCCGGACTTTCAACGAGGAACTAGATTCGAAACCATTGTACACGCTTGCTGTGTCGCCGATAGCAAAAACGGAAAAAAGAACCAAGAATGGAAAGAAGAAAGAGAAGAAAAGAAAAGAAAAGAAGAAGAAGAAAAACAAGAGGAAATGATTAGGGGTATTTCCTAGAAAGAATATTTGGTTGAGGTATTCGAACTCCGTTCCTGATGCAACAAAACGCCTATATGCCCTGACAAGATTGTCTATGCCGCTGAGAAGATAATGACTCGAGTGCTTTTTGTCTCTGAGAAAAAGGGGGACCCGAAACCGCGAGCTGGTAGCGGGACAGTATTAAGAAGTCGGTGTCGGTCGCGGGAGTGCAACTTCACATTATCGTGGCATACTCCTGATAGCGATCCCAGCCAAAGCCACCGATGCCCATGCCCAGACTTACCCCACACTGTGAGGGCGCATATACGCTCGGCAGCGGGAGAGCTGGAATGGGTGCCATGATTGGAGGGCTGTAGAAGAGCTCGGCAGTGGACTGCGGAAGGCTAAACGAAGGAGTAGGAGAAGGCAGCTGGACATCGCTCATACCCATGTTGGCCCAGAGAGGAGTGTTGCTCGAGTCGACGGACGAAGTCACGCTGGGACTTGAAGGCAGCACCTGCCAAGGCTCAACAGCAGCAGGGATGATGTGAGGGGGAGCCTGCGTCCACATGTTGGCGATGGGGGAGCTGGGCAGCAGAGGCGGCTGTCGAATAACCTCGACAACCCTTGGCGGGGGAGGCAGAAGGGGCTTCATCAAGTTCATGAGGCTCGCCTTGACCTCTTCGCTCTTTCCGTTGAGTAGCTCGCCAGCACCCTCCTCCTCAAGACCCTCGAGAGCAGAGACGTGTGTGCGGAAGACGTACTTGTTGATAGCCTGCACAAAGTCTTCGTGCAGCTTCTTGCACTGCTGCTCCTTCTCGGACCAGTCGTAGGTATTGGCCTTTGCGTCGACGCAGTGGATCTCCTTGTGATACTCGACAAGGGCGTCAATGGTCTCGACGGTGAGCTTGTAGGCGACCTCGTTGCGCAGGACCATGTCGACGTGGACAATGTAGGCCTCGATGTGGATGAGCTGGTGGCTGAAGAGGTTCTCCATGGGGTCCTCGGGCATCTCGGCTTGGGGCAGCTTGGGAAACATTAATGAGGCGAGGGTCCAGATGGCGTTTGGTGATGACAGTGTCTCGGTGAGGCATCGCTGGTGCTGGGGTACGCTGTTGAGGGGTCGCTTCACCCGATTGATGCGCTTAAGCGTCTGTGTAAGCCACGGCTCGATCCTGGAGCCCAAGACAACGTTGACAGAGGAAGCCCTCGGGGCAAAAGCAGCGGCGGACGCTGGCAGAAGTTGAACCGGCATATTGTCGTATGGGGAAGACTGGTCCGGTGTTTGATGTTGTACGAAAACTCGAGTGCACGCGGCTCTTATAGGTCGCAGAGCTGTGCAAGTCAAGACGTCGTCGAAGTGCGAGAAAGATGTTGCTTCTTTATCTTGAAAGGAGGAAGCGACAACAGATGGTGGCGGCGAATGGAAGGGGGGAAAGCGAAGCAACAAAGGAGGACGAGGACACACACACACACGCAGCAAGAACAGGTAGAGTAAAAGGTGAAAAGGAAAAGAAACCAGGAGACGGTGCCGAGCAGGGAGTGGCGCAAGGTTGGCAAGCTGACTGAATCACCTGCTGAGCGGCCGAATCCCAGGTAGAGAGAAGAGAAGGGCGGACGAGAAGATCGTGAGGGAGGAGGGAAGAGTAGGAGGTGGGTGTGAGCGGGGAGATATAGAAGTCGAGTACTGTAGGGTACTAAGTCAAGCGCTGGGGGCGCTGAGTGTTAGCGGCAGTTGGCGGTTGCAGTCAGGGCAGTCAGTGGCCGTCTCTGGTGGTGCTCCGGGTCTGTCTAAATACTACCTGGTTAGCATGGAGGTAAATCGACTAGCAGCCAGGCATGACTGCCTGCTGCATCTGCATCTGCATCTGTACCCGCTCGCTGGCGTTTTTTTGTTTTGTTTTTCCCATTGCCAGCATCGGGCGCGGCTTTGCAGGCCCTGCCACACGCCCCCCCTGAGGCGTGCGTCTTGCCTCGCTGCAGGCCAGAGAGCGAAGCAATCCAATGCAATGCATCATGGATCAAGGCGGTGGTGCATGTACCCCCTACTTGGGCGAGGCAGCGCCGCAGTATGACGCCGACGAGTAGGGAGTACCACGGCCACCCTCCCGCGTACTCCGTGAGCTTGCCTTTTACGAGCGTTTGGGTTCCATGTCATTTCAGTGGAATCTGCACATGCCACCACCTTGGTGTTCTCTCTCTGTACAAGTCTGGTGTGTAATACCTACCGGCAGCTCGGAGCACAAGGTTTACATACATCAGATTAGTAGCATCGGCCGGAATACTCGTATCAATCAATACAGGTACCTACGTGGTCGGTGCGCCAGGCCGTGCCCAGCAGAGAGCGAGCAGCGGCCGCCAACCGCAAGCCACTGCGCTGGATACTGCCGGATTGCTGCTTCGTCCGGACAGAGCATCGTACCAGACTCCATACTTGGATACTTCAATGGCTCGAGGGCATTTGGTGCGTGAGAGGAGCCACTCACTACCAACTCCCGCCCTCTCTTGGACAGGCCACTATTATTACACTACCCAACGGAGTACACTACACTATAATACTACACTACGCTCAACTTGCACAAACCGACATACCGTACGAGCACCCAAGTTGGCAACAACTACGGCCTTCGCTCCACCTCCGTCACTGCCTCTCTGCCGCTCGGAAATCCTCGCTGCTTGTGGGCCAGCCCAGCACAAAGCACGACGACACTTGACCAGACACAAAATCCAGGTCTGGGCTGTGTCCTGAGACTTGCACGAGGGGGTGCGCATGAAAGTCGGGGGTGTGCAGCCACGACTCCCAAAACGGGCAGTCCTGCAGACGCCGGTGGAGCTGAAAGACCTACAGCCCGCGCCACACACCGTCTTCCACGAGGTACCGCGACTTTCGGCTCTGGACACTCTGGCGGTCCAGGCGGCCGTGCTGAGGCGCTACCACCGACGTCTTGGTCGTCTTCGTCATTACACAGGCACGCAACTCATCGTCGCTCTGCTTCTGCTTCTGCCCAAGGTGACGCCTCGGGCCGGTGCCAGCGTCGAGGATCCAGCACGAGCTCTCGCCAGGTTCTCGCCAGGTTCAGGCAGTCCAGTATGCACATCTACATCATCGGTGCTTGACATGATATCACGAGATCAGCCCGTCAACAAGGCAGGGTCCAGTGTCAGTAGGCGCTTGGCGCTGAGCGAAATATCTGCCCACAATAATGGGCTCCGTACGAGGTACATGGACATGCCGCCGGTGGGTAGCAGTCGTAATGTTAGTGGCAGCAGTTAGACTGCTCATATCCAAGTAGATGTGTACACCTGCCATACTATGTACGTACCTTGTGTATGCAAGGTCGTAGTGAAAAAAGATGCAAAATGAAGTGCCACCATCGTGGTGGGCAACCAAGACATCAGGCTCGAAACATGTGCCCAGGGTTTCGTCGGTAAAGGGAAGAGGGAAAGGGAAAAGGGAAAAACCTGCCGTGAGCGAGACTGGTTGGCCGTCTACCGCCACCTTACATAACCAAGCAGTTTGACACTCACTCCACGCCTGGGGCGCCATCTCCTCGTATACTATGTAATGTGTTGCATAAAGCAACCTCATAGGGTCCATCTTGTTGGGTCGTATCGTGATCATGATGTCTCGTATCTCACAAAAAAGAGAAAGAAAGAAAGAAAGAAAAGGGCTATCCGGTCACATGCCCATATAATTCTAATCTAGTACACCAGCCATGAACCGCATGCAGAACTCTTCTTGTATACGGTTCGCTTCGATGCTCATCGCCCGTACTTATTAGAGTTCGTGTACTCAAGGTTAAATGTTCTTGGTGAGCATGTGCGCTATTGGGCTTGATCCACATCTCAAGAGGAGGGGAAAAGATAAACTCCAAGTCCCTCTTCACACAGCAACAACCACGACGGAGCCGCTATTGACATCTCGAAGCGAGGGGGTTGCGCCGCTTATGCAGGATGCAGTGACCCCCCGTGCTTGCCTCCGCTCACAGGATTTGCTTGTGGACAATGTGGACAATGGAAAGGCAAAGAAAAAAACGGATGTTGTTAGCACCCACCGCCAGCTCGGCCCCCCAAAGAGTCATCTCACCCAGACTCCTAGCTCGGATGGGGGGCAGTGGTCAGCATAGCTAGCAGCGAGCTGAAACCAAACGAGGAAATGCATGTCGAATGGGAGAAATTACCATCGACCGTCTCATCTCGTCGTCTGGTCAATGAGATGCAGAAGAGGCCCTTGTTTACTCTGCATCTGCTGTAATGACTTGCATGCCCAACAGGGCGCCATGCGCCGGCGCATCCTACTTGGGTGTACGTGAGGAGACAAATCTCCCAACGACAAAAGCCCTAAGTGACATGACTCTTTTTTCCTTCTTTTTTCCTCTTCCTCCACTTCCACAGTGCAAGCTGGAATTGTGCGGACATGGCGGGTGGCATGTGCCGGCGCCCGAGCCAAGTCCACCTTCGCTTCCGTACTCGTAGACTCAGATGCGTACTGTGGACCGTGGAAAAGAAAAGAGTCGACAAGGAATTATAGGCGCCGTGGCATGCGTATTGGTCGCGTCCCCGCATCCAGAAGGCGTCTCTTTGGGATCGGCCATGATCCTTCCTTTGTCGACGAGGGATTTTGATAGCATCCAGAGTCCCGTGAATGGTTTTGAGTACTCCGCATGGCGCTCTCGGCCACCCTGATTTGCTTGATGAGCTGCCAGGGAGAAGCAGTGCCCTTTGATGAGGATGGATCCCGTCTAGGGAAAAGCCGTCGTCCGTCTCTGTTAGGGCCGGGTGTTTCCCCTGGCTGGGAAGGCATACTGTGGTATCGAAACCGTCCTAATCGTTGGAGACATGTAAGTCCCGGGAAATGGTTGGGCAATGGCTCTCGAGTCCGTCCCAAGGTCCCCCCGGAGCGTCCCGAGACGGCGGGCCACAGCTAGGAGTCGAAAATCTCAAAAAGACCCTCCCAAAAGGGGGTCTTGAATATCCATAGTTGCCAAACGAAGAGTCGACTGTGTGCGAATCCTCACGCCGTCCAGGAGCGTTGCCTCCATGCGGATGGTGTTAGTGGCTTCGGCGAGCTGAGGTGTGTTGATTGAAAAGTGCCTTTACAGCATCTGATTGGCCAGAGACCTTGGGAGCCAGTGGTTGCCAGAGTGGAGTAGCCAAAAGAGGTCGATGAGACAGAGCCTCATTGGCTCTTTGGAGATGGCATTTGGCCAATCATGGGTGAAGGCCAAATTTTCTCAGAAACTGTGCGAGCGCGGCCTTGAAGGCACAAAATGGACTAGGAGCCCAGAGCTTTGTGTAGGTCCAAGCTGGCTAGCGAGCCCTCGTTTCCGTGTTTCGTCTTGTCTGGTCGGAGATTGATAAGTGACAAAGCTTCTCTTAAACGGCTCTTACAAGGGCTGCTTGCACTGCACGGCACTTGAGCTTTGCCGCATCTGTGTCCACCGATCGCTTTGCTCTGTCTGCCATGGTGAAAGGGGGGGGTTTCCGGATATCCGCCAGAAGCAGGAGGTGGCGGCTCTTGCTCCAGCACTTGGGACCCTGCAGCGTCTACATCTCTTGACTGGCTACCGATTCGAGTCTTTGGATTCTGAGAATGGGGGCCATCAAATCTGGCCATGTTGCGACGCGGGGGTTGATGCATCTGGCCTGTCCGAGGCCCCTTGAGGTCCGCTTGCGCGACGGCATGCCAATGAGCGCTGCTGCTGTGCTCTGATTCCCTCACCATGCCGTCGCAAGTATAGACGGCCGGCCAAGCTTACCCAGCGCACGCGTCTCACGGGCCATGGTTTGGACTCGTCGTCTGATTCTGCGTCAGTAGACAGACATGTGGATGGACGAATCTGACCATGGCAGCCGTGGCTGGAATACGAAAAGTGCAGCGCAAGCCACAGGCGGGCTAGCAGAGGAAGTACCGGTACCTCGACCTCGATGCCTGGCTGATGCACGATAGCTGCAGCTGGGCTGGCGGAGTCGAATCGGCAGCCATCGGCCTATCAGAGACCTACCAGCGGGCGCTCGCTGAGAGAAGCATCAAGCCTATACGATTGAAGCTATTCCAGCTGCAAGTATTACCTTATCTGGGTGTGCTCGTATAAGGCCAGGAATACCAGATAGTCAAAAACCTTGACAAGCCAGACAAGAGCGATCGTCGTCCTGTGGCACCATCTCCAAGGTAGTACTACCACAGGCACAGAAGCAGAATTAGTTACAGCAGCTGCTCCATAGCACCTAGCAGTTACGAGTACGGAGCAGTGGGCTAGTAGTGGCAGGCATTACCAAAAATAGTAGTTGTGGCCCTACCTAGCAGCTGCTATTCTGTTGTGGGTGTTGCAGCTAAAAATGACCGGCCATGGATGACAGTGTGTCTACTCGCCCTTGCTCGCGGCTATCTCACCCTGGAGCAAACAACGAGAACGAAGGCGAACGTTTTTCCCAGATGTTATCGCCGTTGCGAGAGTATCCACGGGGGAAAAAGTTTACACGTCATTTGAGGCAGCCAATTTCGACGGCAAATATGCGTCGCAAAGAGAGGTTTCATCAGAGGCCCTGCTGCGAGGCCACGACGCCTTTGGAGGCGGTTGGATATCCGGCCGCAGGTGACGACGCTCACCCTCTGGCCACCGTGATGACGGCAACCAGTCAATCCGGATTATCTAAGTGAGGCGACGCTCCAGAATCTCAACTCTGGGGAGTGTGCTGCGGACGCCCCTCCAAAGACAGGGCAGCGCACATCGGACGAAAGAAGCGTCTTTGGCCAAGGCAAAGGAGATGCATTCAACGCATTGACCTTGCCTGTACGGGCCTTCATTACATGGGCCGTCCACACCTTGACGCCCCAAAAGCAACAGCAACGTTGGATCGCAAGGCGACAATGTCGAGACAACACAGCGAGGCCAGCAACCACCGCACCTCGGTACCCAAATGGCCTGGTTCAAGGCCGTTGACGACCCTGCCATGCCCAACATTGTCTCTTTTTCGACTTCAACGTCACGGGCTGCCTCTGGACGGGGTGCTGGTGGCAAATGCAGGCTCCTCACCGATGCATTAGCTAGAACCCCACGTCTCGGGGAGTTTGGGTTGTCAACTTGTACGACGACAGCGTGCATCTCAACAAACGCCTGATGCTAGCTAGGAAACAATGTGTCTACCGGTGAACTCTATGCAGGGTTTGGATAGCCGAGAACCAAATCACTGGAGAAATCTCACCCTGGATCCTGTCCCCGGAGAGAGGCTCTTTGTGGACCCCACGCCAACGGGTCCTCACCGATCGACGTGAGCCAGCGACTCGTATCCAAAGGAGAAAGCAAGATTTCAAACTGGCTATTGGAAAAGGCGTGGCTAGTGAAAGGGTTGCGTGCAAGCGCATGCCAAGATATTGGATGTAAAGCAATATTTTCGCATAGGGAAGAATTTTTTTTCCCTGTGCTACCGACCTTTGGAAGACGAGGGGGGGCATCCCTTACCGCATGTCAGGTCGCCTTTGCCATCTATCTTACAGTAGTAGTACCAACCATACGCATTACTGGTACTGTGACAACCTCCCGTCCCTATCAAGGAATATTGATTGTCTCATCTCCTGCATGCAGCTATCCGGCCAGACAAGACGAGATGGGCATCTCGCAACAGATCAGACACCCCCGTGGCCAGCAGCCGTGCAAAAACCCATGGGCAGCTGAAAGAGCTGCATACCGTCATGGGCTACTGCACGGTCTTGTCCACGGCCCCCTGACGTCTTCATGCATCTTGGGCTCAGAGCTTGTTCTCACCATTTTTGCCAGTTGGAGATGGATGCCCTGCCCCTCGGTATGCCCGCTATCAATAACGTGGCGCGGCAGATTTCATCGTCGTGGCTGTGTCTGCCTTGCGAACTGTGGCTAACCCCACACAGATCTGCCAGCCTGGCATCGGATGCTTATGTAACGCACGCGATTCCCGCACGGGAGGCAACCAAGCCTCAGGGCTCCACGCGCCACAGAACCGCATCTGGAGGTACCGTCCGCCATATTTTCTGCTGGGCGTGACTTTGTCTCCAAGTCCAGACGAAAATACGGAGTACAGCACACCGATCCTTTGTCATCGGTAACCAGCCCCTTGGGAAAGCGGACAAGGACAAAAAAAGTTTTTCGGGATATTGCCCTTACATCGATACCTAACGAGCCAGGGTCAAAGTTTAACCCCCTTCTAACCGGCGTCTAAAAACTTGATGCCCTTGTTGATTTTATTCTTGGCATCCTATGACGTCGTCGCCGTTGGTCGGAGCAAGCCTCTCACCATGATGCCATATTCTGACATGGCTATCTTCCCCTTCTCTCGGCCGCCATCCCAGCCCAGCAATCACGGGGCCTAATGGCTGGCTTGAGCGGAAGTTTCTTTTGCTGCTTTGTTACACAATGCCCAGGATGTCCAAAGAAGAGAAATGACGCTCGATGCCCTCGTGATCGTTGGGTCATGTGGACAGATGTCTGTAGCAGGTCTACTACCTTACCTACCTATGGATGGATGGATATGCCGAACGGTGCCCGAAGAACAGGGCCATGGCTGGCAATACCAGCAGCTGCATCTTGGCCTTGACTCATTCGTGCCCAAATACTAGCATGGCATTGCATGACGGGACAGGGCCGCCATGGACACGCCTCGGTGTTGGGCAGAAGAAACATGGCTTCAACGAAGATGATGAGCCCGCTCCGGCAGTCGAGGCGAGTGTACTCGTACGAGTGGCTTTCCATTATTCATTTAGTAAGGCGAGCTATCAAATTTGGGCCTCTGAATCCTTTCCTTATGCGTCCCCGGCCATTGAGAGCGCTTGAATCTCAATCCCTATAGGCCCAAAAGGTGAAACAGTGATATTTCCATCCAATCGCCCCTGTTTCTCTGCTCCTTGTGTGGACACGGAGCTCGCCAAATCTATCCAATGAGTCCCTCTATCTAAGGGCCGAGCACCTCATCTCTTATCCCCCTACAGCTCCTTAGACACACCCCGCGAAATCCAGTCTGCAATGGACATGACGGTAACCATGGGGTTGACGCCGCTCGCGCTCGGGAACACGCTAGAGTCTGCGACGTACAAGTTCTTGGTCCCCCAGACGCTTCCCTTCTGATCCACTACGCCCGATTCCTTTGTGGCGCTCATTCGGCACGTTCCCATCTGGTGCGCTGAACCAAAGGCAGTCAGGGGAGGCTTGTTGCTCATGGTGCGGAGGTGTTGTAGCCACTTGCCGAAAGCAGCGTCTGTGAACTCGGGATCTTCGTCTTGGACGTGCTTCTCTTGCTCTGCGGCATTGGGCAGGAACGGCGGCACGCCGGGATAATGCGCTCGAATCTCCGTTGCACCGCCGACATAGGCAATCTTGGCGAGGCCAATGATCCCCTCCAAGTTGTTCTCACGGTCGAAATCAGAAGTCGTGTATTCAATGCGCGGGCCCCCGGTCTCAGGGTCGACAAACACGCGGCCAGAGTCTCGGTCACGGGCTAGCGAGATGAAGCTGCTAAGATGACGATATTTCATGGTGGTGAGCTTGGTGTCCAGACCTCCCGTCCAATGTTGCATTGCAAACGCCATGTATGGCTAGAATTCCATGAGTCAGTCAAGTGTCCGGACTTGGAAAAACCACCCGAAGGTGGCTTTTCTCCTAATTTGCTGGCTGGTAGCTACTCACCACCATGCATAATGGCTCCAGCTTTGTTCCGTGTCCTTTGCCGTCGAGGTTTTCAAACTCGCCGCTCCAGCTTGTAATGATACCACCCTCCCACGGCCGAGTTTCTTGCCGATGTACTACCATCAGGCAGTTGACTGGGTGTAGATGAAGATTTTGTCCAAGTTGCGGATTCTAAAACACGGGGGCGAGTTTTACATGTCAGTAAGTGTGGTTGTACAGACAGCTCTCGAATGAGCAGAGGTGGGAAGGGGTATGAGGGTCAATAATAAAGAGCCAACTGGATTGATTTGAAACTTACTTGGATGCCGCTCTTCATCAAAATGACGGGGCTCCAGAACGTGCCAGCAGACACGATGACTTTCTTTGCCTTGATGACAACTTTGCGCTGCGTACGTCCTTCGACGTCCTCATCATCTCTAGCCAACCACGAGCCTTCAACGCCTGTCGCTGTCGTGCCATCGTCGTCAAATAGTACCTTGTCGACAGTGAAGCCCTCCATGAACTCGGCACCCGCGTCAGCCGCAGCAGGCAGCCAGGCCACCGCCGGCCCCCTCTTCTCTCCCAATCCACAACCCAGATGGCAATGACCACAATAATGCTCCTTGTTGGCCGTGTTCTGGGGAGCAACGCCTCCGTGCCAGCCTAGCTTGTTACATCCATCAAGCAGTAGGTTGTTGCGGAAGTTGTGGCGGATAGCGTCAGTTCCCGCGCCGATAAAGTCACAGACTCGGTCCATACACTCGTCGAATTCAGGCGACGTGAAGAGCGGGAGACCCTCGTCAGACCATTCCTTGCGGACGAAGTCTTGGAGCTTGAAGGACACGCTCCAGTTGATGGTGCCGCCACCACCCCAACAGCTGGCGGCCGTAATGGCGGTGCTCGTATCCTCGCTGACGTAGGCGCCGCCATGGTCGAAGAGGTGGTTGAGCGCGGTCATTTGCGGCATGGGGAAGTGGGAGGGAGGGAAGTGGTAGCCCTTGTCGACGACGAGGACCTTGTGCCCTGCCTCGGCCAGGTTCTTTGCGCAGACGCCGCCTCCGGGGCCGGAGCCAACGATGACGACGTCGGTGGTGATTTCGTGCACGTCGTCCCCGGGCCGCAGCTGGATGAATTTGAAGTCGAATCCCTGCACAGGTTTCCAATCCGTTGGGACGTCTGAGTAACCGGAGAGTTTCTTGAAGTAGGGGTTCGTTGTGCCATTTGCCTTGCTAGCCAGGGTGGTGAGAGACTTGGCCAACCCCCTGAGCGACTGGAGTCGTGCTGTAGTCCAAGACTTGAGGATAGCCTCACGCACACTGGACGGTTGTTGGGTGACGGGGCTCCAGTAGCCGGTCAGCAAGAGACTTCCAGCGCGAGTCCTGGTGTAGAGCCGGGTCAGTCTATCTGTCTGCCTTGATCACACACGCTTCTCTTTTCTCATTTACATGTCGATAATAATGTCGACTACATGAGTCAAAACTCACCCTAACGACCCAAGGGCCTTGGCCAGCTTAGCTATTGCTGGCGATGCGGCTAAGTTGCGTATGCAGTCGTCTCGAAACGGCGGATGGTCAACCAGCCGGAAGGCGAGAAATTCTGTTATTTCCTCTCTGCTCGGAGCGCCGTCGAGCGAGCTAGTGATGTCTTCGACAAGGCGATCAAACTCGGCGTCCGGGATGGCAACCTGCCTCTCCTTGTCCGTCACTGCGGAAGCTGGGACGTAGGATGGCATCGCGCCGTCTAACAGTGCCCAGAGGACGTCCCATTGGTCCTCGGTCATGAAGTCGGTTGAAGGGGTAGGAGGGAGAGGGACGGCCACGGGGGCTTGGAGAGCTGGAGTTGCCATGGTTTTGGCGGCGTCGTTGGTGTTTTTAGTTTAGAAAAGGGTGGTGAATTACTTGGTAAGTTTGCCTGCCATTGTGTCAGTTTCGGCCTCTCCAGGCTCGTCGGGGCAATAATGCATATGAGGCATCATGATGGTAAAGCTGAGAGTCGTACATGTGAGATTTACAGCAAACAATGTCCCTGCCGATGCTGAATCGCTCATCCGCGTGTTACAACAGCAGTGGAAATAGTGGATACCGCTCTCTATGAAGCTTTTCTTTGCTGCTCGCTTGGAGGATTGGATGCTCTGATGGCCAATTGCTTCTCAAGCCGCCGTTCATGAGATGAGCTATGGTTCACAGCTATCTTGAGTCATTCAGTATAGCGCATAGATTTCGCCCGATTGACAGACAGACAGCCTTGAGTCACACGAGACGACACGAGACGACACAGCAAAACAAAACAAACGGCAAATACAGCAACAAATCGCAAGAATCCGTCGACGAAATAGAGATTGTGGAGAACTCGATGATCTAGAAATCAACCATAAAATTAACAAGATCATGTAAGAATATCGGTCGCGGGCCAGGGGCGGACGGGAAACCGCGGGCAGCGGCTATTCCTTTATATGGATCTCCTCAACGCCAGCCACTTTTCCTCTCTCCTCTTTTTTCGGTGGTATTAACCCCCCCTCCTCCCATTTGCGTTGGGGTTACCTACCGTCAAAGTAACAGCAAAGTAGCTTCCCGCGGAAGATCAACGCTACTCGTCGGCCCTGCACATGCTACTTTGCACAAGACACATCGCCAGGACTAGCGGCTTAGGTAGCGTCTCCCCTCTCCTCCGGATTTGGCTTCCAGCTGTTGATTTTCCCTTGCGTGGTTGGGGCTACTGTACGGAGCACCGGCGGGTATTCAAAAGCCGGTGCGGAGACGTAGATTTTCGGTTTGGCTACCTACTCTATCCCCTGTGAAAAAGCGTACCTAAACCGTGCCGACGGCTCAAAGTACGTAAACTAGCCTTGGAATGGGTTTTCACGTAACAGCTTCCCCTGCGATTAGCAAATTCAAATGGCCCGTGAATTACCGATATCTTGTCATATTATGATAGATTTAGGCGCGATAAACCGAGATCGGCCAGACATCACCAAAAAGCCAACCTTCAAACTCCCCACCACGGCACAAGCTACCATCAAATGTCAAAAACACCAGAATCAAGCATCTTCTCCCCGAGTCAATAGGCTCAGCCCCTCCAGCCGACAACCGGCCCCCCCAGTCCAGACTCGGAATACACCACAAGCAGCATAGTCAACAAGCCTAATGCAAAGCTGGGGACAAACAAGAATGCGGGGTTGCCACCACACTCTCTCTCTTGTCAACCCTCGCCTGCACGGAAACGCGAGACTAATGCACCTCCCAAAGCTTCAACTCGCCCGGATATTGTCAACTCCCCGGGTTTTCCCCCCTGGATGCCAGAGTCAGATGTAATCGTGCCTCGGCTTACACCTTGCAAGACCCATATCCTCTCCTTGGGGTAAAAGCAGTTGATCAGAGCACCGGCACTTCACATTTCGCACAAATACGAGTACAATGCTCCGCTGCTTCAGCATCATCATCGGCCTGTCACGCACTTAGTAGGTACAATTACAACAATGAATTTCATTTTTAGATATCATCTATTTCAACAATGGCCACTTGCCCGATATGCAGGGAGATGAACAAAACATGCATCCCGGCCAGATTGGATCGGCAACCAGGCAGTCATACAAGACAAGGACCGCATCACTTCGTGTTCCGCTCGAAGCTAATCGAGCTGTCCATCGCCAAGAATCAGCTTCAAATGCCCGCTTTTCGCCGGGGTAACCTGTATTCAACTCGGGGCTATGCACCAAAACATGGTTGCTTGTGCACCTGGGAGTCGAGACACGATGCCGTGTCTTCGTATCTGCTACCATGAGCTCACCCATTTACCCTCTCGAACCTTGCAGCCTTTCTCTAGAGTCCTATGCATCCTACCGTAATAACGCCCTCCCCGGTTGTCTTAATCCTCCTCTCTTGTTCATACATGTCTTGATACACCATAGCAAGCCCTGAACCCAAAAGAAAAGAAGAAAAGCGAAAAAAAGAAAAGAAGAAGGAAAAGGAGAAGGAGATGGAGAAGGAGATGGAGAAGGAGATGGAGAAAGGAAAGGTAGTGAGAGTAATAGTGTAACACAGGAAAATAAAAAAGAAAGAATCAATGCCACGACATCCTGACCTAGGCTGCCTAGTCCCAAGGGTATATACTTATCGCCGTTCCCCTCCCTCCCAAGTATATAAGTGTGATAGGTATACAGGTTATATGTATGAAAAAGGGGATAATTTTTTTTTTGTTCCGTCCAGGTTCTGGAACCCAAGACTGGACTTTTTTGTGGGGTTTTTTCTTATTTTGTCTTCCTGTCAAATCCGTTCAGAAGGCATCATAGTGCAACATCAAAGTGGCAAGTTATGGCCGACTTTTGGATCCAACCCCATGAACCGACCGAATGATTTCCCGCGATCCGTGAAAAAAGGCACATCATAACGTGGCCGTGACCCGCATAAAAAGGGTTATATTCGCACAATCGCATTCGTAAATCATAGGGCCATAATCGTAGCCGTATCGCGGGTTCTTCGTTCCGCGTGGCAGTGGTGTATATTGCTTCCTTGTCGCAAGATGTCTCTCCGTTGTCTTTTGGTTTGCTTGCGGCCAGTTGCAGAATTGCAACGGGGCCCTTCAGCCCGAGGTATCAGCAGTGGGAAATGGAGGGCTTGACCCCTTGCTTCTCTTAAAGAAGGGAAAGTCCTTCATCCGAAATCTGCTGGGCCGTTTTTTAAGTGCCTTGCCTTCAGCTCTGCCTATGCTGCCCCCAAAGGGCGAATCCTCGTCTCCTTGCGCCATTTCTCGCTCTCGCTCTCGCTCCCGCTCCCGCTCTCGTTCTCGGCGTGGGGAAGTCGGGGATCCCTTGAGGCTGAGAGGCGACATGTTGAACGCAGGGACGCTGAGGGTGCGCTCTCCGGATTCGTTGCTGACAATGCTGGTGCCCTGTGTGCTGGGTGACAGGGTCATCTTGCCGGTAGCCGTACTCGCGGCCTGTGAAGCCCAATCGGCAGGATAGTTGGCGGATAAACTGCCTTCGGTGGTCTCGCTCGTCCGGTGTTTTGATGACACCAGCTTGCTATCCATGGAATCGTCCGGTCGGTGACAGGTGAAGGGATCACCATCTGCCATGTCTCTGACAGCATCAAAAGATGAAGGGACCCCGAAGGCTATGCCGTTGACATCCGGGTGTTCGACCGGTGTATGGGGGTCGTGGCCAGATTTGGCCGTTGAGGGACTCGGAGCGGGCGAAATCTCGATATTCTTCATCTCGCTGTCATTCTCGATTGGGTAGCTTCTCGTTCGCCGGTGCCGCAACTTCTCGCTAGTCGCTTCCGCTTCCTTGGCCTGTTCCTCTTGCACCTTCTCTTCAAAGAATTTCTTGTTGGTTTGGAGCTCCTTGACGGTATATTCCATGCCTGGCATTATTTCAGCCACGCCTTTGAAAAGTGGTATGGCGAACATGTTCATGAAGCCAAGCTGGGCGTTAGACAGGGAAAGAATGTCCTTTTTCGGTGGTGACATCAAAGACGACTTGATTTCGAGTTCGTCTTCCATCGAGGCTTGTCTCGAAAACTCCTCCGAGAGCATATGCATCCATTTCAATGCTGTTGAGTGACGGCGTGCCTATGAGCCGGGTCAGTATCGCTCTATACATGCTTCTAAGAACCATGAAAAAAAAAATGAAAGAAAAAGGAGAAAGGGGGCATTTCCTCTCTCCCTCCTTCCTTGTCCCGTTTGTTACAATACATACCACGTTGCTAATGTCTGCGCACTTAATAAGGAGCGAACATGCGAGAACCTTGGCATCTTCAAGTTGGCGCCCATTCCAGTTTTCAGGGTTGCTATCGGCCTTGAAATTCTCCTTGAGCGTCGCCATCTTCTTCATGTAGTCAAAATGGAGACCCATGTCTGTGGCCAAAATGGAGCTAATCATCAAGCCGCGCATCTTCCTGTCTTCGAATACCGCCGGCCAATACCTGCGAAGGATCTGCGAAAACGCGGCGCAATGGAACGACTCTAGGACAGATCGGTCATTGTACAGCTGCGCTAGCGGGGCGTTCAATGTCGTGAGAAAGCCATTGTTGACTCCCGGGTGGCCAACGTCGTGGCCAATGGCCGTGATGAGAAGGGTCAGTGCTTCGTAGGGGCTGACGAGTGAGGCGATTGGCGACTTTTGCGCCTTGAATCTCGGCTGAGACCATGTCGGGTACGGAGGGAACGAGCCAATGTGGACAAGGAAATTGAACGTCGCTTGAAGGACGTCCACCACGTGACGAAAATTATGGTAGGGAACAAAGCTATTGTATGCTGCACGACATGCGATAAGGAAGCTAATGAGCTGGTCTGAGATTATTGGTCAGGATCAATTCCAGCGGCTGAACGGGTGCAGGCATTTTCGGGGAGGGGGGGTTGCTTATTGTCTTAGCACCGCCGGGGAAAGACGGGCACGCTTGCATAACACTCACCTGCTGGTATCCGCCACCTCTCGAGTTCTGGCGAAGTCAAGGCATGCTTGAACATTTGCATCGCAGCCACCAGCAGCTCGTCGTCGGAGAATTCGTGGGCATCGAAATGCCAGCGCCCGACGGCTTCGGCAATGACGGCCTGACGCTCAGACGAAACGGCAATGTGGGCGCCGGCAATGTGGTCGTCTTCGGGGGACAGGCGGCAGATTCCGTTCATGAGGCCAGAGACCATTGCCTCTCGCAGATAGGCAAAGGGCTTCTGCTCGTTGACGCCGACCCATGATCGCTTACGACCCTTTGTAATCTCCATCATCGCCTGCTGGTCCCTGGCGGCGTCCCTATGGGCCTTATAAGCGCATATTTCCAGCGTTGCGATAGACTTGGGGCCCAGGGGGCTGATTATCACGTCGACGGCGCCAAGGTCCAAGCACCTCCTTATGAGCTTACGACTGACGGGCTGAGCACCGGCAGAGGCCGAGAAGGGCTCGGTCGTGCCGTCGGTCATTTGTTCGCGAGTCTCTGGGTAGCTGATGATGGGAATGGGGACGACGAGCTTGGAAATGCTTCGCAGGTGGGCTTCGGTGATGAGCCTCTGGAGGAGTGTCAGGCCGTAGAGGTTCTCGTCAGGTGTATGAATCTCGGCGTCGCGGTTGACCAGATTAGGATCGGGAGAGGAAGAGTTTGGAAGGGAATAGGACTCGGGTATCCATTCATCATGGGGCGTGTCTAGGAGAACCATGGTTGGTGTCATGTCCATCATGGACCCAGCTTCGTGAAGCTGCATCAGCTTATCCATACAGGCGGCGCCGGTGGCACAGACATGAACTATTGGTGGTTATGGAGAGTCAGCAAGGGAGCGACGGGTAGTCGAGGGAGAGGGAAGAGAAGACAAACCGTCACCAAAGGCATCGAGGAGAGGCTGGACGAGTTCTCGAACGCGATCGCGGCGCCAATCGGGGGTAGCGCCTGTCGGCGAGGCCGCGGCATCGTCCGGTATGGCGCGCAGCAGCCGGGCCTCCCCAACGCTGCGATTGACGTAAATGACATGGCAAGCGAGACTGTCCATGGTGGGCAACGGAAGGCTACCAGTCTCGCGACTGGAGCACGTTGGCCACACGGGCAAGGATTACTGCGCGCAAGGCTATGGGAGGCGCAAGGCGACTGGGCAATTCGAGCTGAGGGTGTCTCGGAACCTTGGACCTTTGTTCAGCCAGCGCCAAGGAGGAGCGAGCAGCGAGCAGCGAGTCAAAGGCCGCACACGGAGAATTGCCAGGAGGGCAGGAGGATGAAGCTAGAGCTTGGATGCGTCTCGGGAGCGCGCGGGATCGAAAGGGAGAAAATTCAAAAGGAAAGCGTTGGTGTGATGGGTGATGCGACAGGGCGGCCGAGGCGACGATAGAGGCGGGACACTTGCTTAGAGGAAGCGCCTAAAAAAAAAATTGGGAAAAGAGGATAAGGAACGAGTCGAAGAAAGTCAATGGCGGCAGCGACGCGGAATGAGGAGCATCAGTTGAGAGATTCCGGCGACGGCAGAGGATGGATTTAAAAGGGAAGAAAAGGGAAAAAATCGAGAACAAGAGAGGGTGCTCCCTGCAGCACACACACAGCCAAGTGTGTGTCCGGACAGGTTTTGGGACAAGTCTTGAATGGTACAGCAAAGGGAAAAAAAACGGTAGTTGGTCCAAGGACGCAAGACGCAGCCGCAGCTCGCGGAACAAGCAGAGAAGAGTCGAAGGCGACTTCTGGAGTCGCACAAGAAGGGTGGCTCTTGAGTCTTAGACGCTTGGCGCACGCGGGCGGGTCCAGAGGGGGTCGTTTGGGTGCTTTAGGTGTCTTCTGGGGCCTAATTGGGGGCCTTGGGGGGGATGGCACTGAAGCCCCGGGCAGTCAGATGGTGCGCGGTGGCGGGATGTGGCTGCTGTGGTTGCTGGTTCCGGTGCGTGCGGGCTGCTGGAGCGCTGGGCCTAGCGGACGCAGCAGTGGAGAGCAGCGAGCGTCTAGCGGCGCTTCTAGTTCGTGTCTCGCCCTGCAAGGCCTGCTGGACCGGAAAGATTCTGGGCACGACTGGGGGGGCGCAAGATGCAGGCTTGGGCTGCTAGTGTCGAGTCTGGCGGAGGGGCAAGACGTCAGCCGTGCGAGAAGGATCGGCGCGAGGGCGATTCGATTCGCAGCAGAGCGACGAGGCAGAGCACAATTGGCACAAGCGAGCAGATCGAGCTGCGACGACAGGCGAGCCAAGGGAAGGGCGAAGCGAGTTTGGCAATGGTTCAAGCGCCAACACGCGCGCTGCGACTGAGGCCGAGGGAGGGCGTTGGGCGTCCAGTGCTTTTTTGTTTTTGGCAGCGAGGGGGTGGCAGCGTAAGACGAGACGGCGCAAAGTAGAGTCAAGGATGTTAGTACGAGTATGTATCCGTAGGTAGTTTGGCAAAGACAAGACAAGAGTTGAGACAAATCGTAGGCAAGGAGGAGGCGAAGCTGGACCACGACGTTGATGTTGACGTTGACGTTGACGTTGACGGGATTCATGGGCAAGGGAAGCTGCTCGCCGACGCCATGGCTCGAGGGCCGGTGATGCTGGTGATGAGTCGAGGCAGGTAATCAGACGCCAATGGGAGGAAAGGCATCGATATAAGGTCGGGTGCCGAGCCCTATTCCGTGCAGCTTTCCCATGGAGCCCAGTACTTGTTCTTTGTACCAGACCCGTCCCTCTCTTGGTACTGCTACAGGTAACTGGTCCAGTGTCTCTCCAGTCTACATGCACTCATACAGGACAGTGCTCCGTAATCAAAGCTCCCTACATGTGCCTAATGCGCCTGCATCTGTCTGTGCCTTGTACACGTACTGTACATTATCACATAACGTTATGATCCAATCAGTCCGGGCATCCATCCATCCAGGTAGGTACCCAAACTTGGCACCTTGGTAGCACTACTACAGGTACTAGGGAGGTACTAGGGAGGTAGTACTGTATGCTCTCGCACGCACATGTAAGGTTCAGGTTAGGTTCTGTTGGATGGAAACTCTCCATCCATCCAAGCTGTCAGTCGCGTCACTGCAAGTAAGCCGCCCGTGCTTGGCCCATGTACTTGTACTTGTCATCCAGCAAGCAGCCTTGCTCCCGGCGCCAGCAGCCACGAGTAATGGCCCTGATGCCGTGATGGACTCGCGCGACGCTGCGCTGCCAATTGCTCGTCGTCCACGGGCGCAAGTACCAGTACTCGTACACGTAGGTCGGGCCAGGGTAGCTCCAGCGCCCAGGATGAGGCAGCTCTAGCTGTTGGCAGTGATGCAAAGCGCACATCGGCGACCGCTGACTGGTCGAGTCGCGCTGCCAGTGCGGAGGTGCTGGTGCATGCATGCAGGTGCAGCGTGCCAAATGGACCACTAATGTACGAGCCCAGATTGACTCAGGACATGGAAGTCTTCCATGAAGAAAAAGAAGGCTGCAACGAATCTTCTGGCGAGGGGCTTGGTCTGGTCCTTGGGCGCTGCTGCGCCCCACCCGGTGAGCTGCTGCAGCCAACCACAGGGCCGCGGGAGCCGACAGACTGCTGTTTTTCCAGGGCTCGATTTCCAGGGGACTTGCAATAGTACCTATGGAATGCAGCTGGGGAATTGCGACAGTTGAGGGAATTTGAGCTTTACAACCCGACGCCAAATGTACATGTACTAATACTCTGTTGAAAAAGAAAGCAAAGATGTGACAAAATGAGACAAAAAGCAAAGAAAGGGACAAAGACATCACATCAAATCAAATCAATCCAACGGCAAAAAAGAAAGCAACCACCCCCCAGTTGGATGCAGTTGATCCCAGCTCGTGTGCTGCACCACGCAGAGCAGAGCAACAGATTGCGCTCGCACTGTGCCGCCCCATGCGCCGCACAACAAATAATATTCTCCGTATCCCGCTTCCCTGCGCCCTTGGCCGCACTGATGAATTTCCCTATCCTCTCAAGCTCTTTTTATCCCTCTTTTCCCGGGTTCCGCACGGAGTACAGGTATGACAAGGAGGATTCTGCGTGCACCGCGCAGTTTGCTTCCGGTCGCTGGCAATCTATTCGCATCATCCAAAACAGGCACATGCGCTAGACCATGCAAGCACGCAGCACCATGGCCGCTAGCAAGTGTCGTGATTGGCCGTTTTGTGGAGGGATAAAAAGAGTCGGTACGAGTACTCGTACATGTACGGAGTACCTGGTTGAAGGACGGCAGGGAGAAGGACGACAGAAGCGAAGAGACGACAAGCAAAGATGCTCGAGTCTTGGTCAATACTAAGGCGCTCGCTCGACTTGCCGCGGTCCGTATTAGACGGATCTTCGGCCGGCCCGATGATGGCAAATGCCACAGAAACGGACAATGGAAAATCAGCCGCTGACACATCGACTACTGCTAACTACTATCTACTGTATACAGACTGAAAATCGTCTCCTGCATTTGGGACTGACCCAGATCTCCGCTTTACCAGCACTTTCACGGGCACTCGTACATACAAGCACTGTAGGACAGGCACATGAATCCCTGAAATGCCTGCCCAAGCTCCCTCACTCTTGTCCGGCTTGCAGCCCAGTTTGCAGGGGAACGCAGCCCAGGGTGGAGATGATGGGATTTCGCCTAGACCACGGTTATTATGGCAACAACCAGGGCACTGAGGTTTGTGGATCTGCAGTCTTTCAGCTCGCAGCAAACTGCAGGGGATCATGTTTGAGGAATAAGAGGGAAAAAAAAATTGGGCTCGGCCAGCACAAGGACCAACCCAAACAGGGCACGCCATGGAGGCCGCAATGCCTCGGAAAGGAAAAAAGGAAACCCAAAAAGAAGATACAAGAGGCAAAAGGAGGCAAAAAGGGTAACCCCAATAAACACGTCAAAGGCGCACTTTCTTGGCCGTTGGTTGACTCGCTGCTCCGAAAAGAGCCGGAGGGCCATCGAACGATGGATCAAATCGACGGCTTGTCCGTTCGGTACGGAGGCCCGTGGCACGGACAACCCAGCTTTCACCTCAGGCTACCTATCTTTAGAGCCGAATCGTGGAGTCGATGAAACGCGCAAGCCTTCAGCTAGGGCGCTCGGGGAGCTCGGCCTCGCTTCCCTCTGCAGTTTTACTGTGCTCTAGAGGCCGGAAGCCTCGAGGCCCGTGAATACTGTGCATGCAAGTACGGTACTACAGTACTCCATAGGACTATACGAGTACACTATGGTACAAGAATAGGAGCTTCGCGTCAGAAAGCCGTCCTCCCCGCGCTCGGGCGAGACAGGGATGAGATAGGTATTTGCCAGGAGAGTACAGGTACGGAGTAAAGTACATACGAGGGCATCGGACGCTCATCCCCAGCGCAGCGCGTGTCATAGACTGGCTGTTTGCCCAAGGACCCGCGATCAGCACAGCACGTTGTTTGCTGGGATGAGAGAGCTGACGGGCAGGAAACCAGAAGAAGAGAGAGCAACAGAACCCAAGCAGAACAACAATACCGACCCGGAGCCCCTGTCAGGAATCAACACAGCTGCTGCCGCACTGTCCAGCTCCAGCCACCCCCGATGCCTTGCAAGGGACGGCAAGGGACGGATAGTAATTGTAATACTCGTAGTAGCAGTACATGACTTTGTGACCCTTTTCCCCCCCTACGTCAGCGAGTCTGTCATCGTGGCGCCACGGAAACTTGCGACAAAGAAGGACACGAAAGAGAGACAAGTCAGAGACATTGAGTGAGCCGCATCTCCGAATCACGGCAGCGCTACCCGCCGGTGGCCCTGCCCTCACCGTTGGGACGCAGATTCGCGGGAGACGAACAGCCCTACTAGTTCGATTTTATTATCCCGCGCGTCCCTTAGTTTCTTTTTTCTTCTTCTTCTTCTTTTATTTGCTTGTTTGCTCTTGGTTAGGCGCTGTTGCGGTTGCAGCGACACCCAACGGACTAACGGCCAGCTCAGCCCATTCCAGGCAGCCCGGCGCGTGCCGAACAAATCAAGGGGGGACTTCTGTTCAGTGCGAGTACCTGCATATCTATGTGTCCATTAAATATGTGTGCAGTGCAGTAGCAGGCAGGTACCTGTACTTAGTACCTACTAATCCATTGGTAAACACGTAAACTCGGCCATTCTCTCTCTTGTTTCTCCCTTACATGTCTCTATTCCATCTTACACGCTTGGTCGTCTCTGCATGGCTCTCTCGTTCTAGGTCCTTTTTTTTTGTGTGGCTGATGCCTGGAATGCGACAGGACCCCCCTTGGGCTTCTAGCGCCTTTCTAGAAGAGTTTTCGCTTGCAGCCCCATCTCTGGCTTGCTGGTCCGTGCGTCGCACTTCATCTTAAACCCGACTGCGCGGCTCCACCGGCTTACTCTTTGGCCATGGGTCCCTCGGCTGCTAAGAAATCGTTCCAGGTCCCTTCTTTGTACGAGTACTAACTAGTTTGTACACGAGCATTTGGACGATTCTCATGCTGATAGCGTGATTCTGCCTGTGCTGCCTTTTGCAGTGATTTTTCTTATCATTTTGTTGCATTTTAACTTTTCTTCCTCATTGTGTGCTCTTACTTGTACGCCCCCCCCCCCCCAATCTGATGGCGCCAGTTTTTCCTTCTTCTTCTTTTTGGGTTCTACTCCGTACTCCGTACTATATCGTCATCTGTTGTGCTCTGATGTGGCAAGGCTAGAGCACTTCCCTTGCATGTTTCGCCCTGCATCGCGTGTCCGGTGTAGGCCAATCCTGGCGAGCCTATTCATCAGCATACGAATGGATGACCCGTACAGGTATTAAACGAGTGATTGATCGTCTGCACAGTACGGAGTAGTACTGCTATGTATGTGGCTAGCAGCGGTAGAATGCGTCTACGTAGATGCAGCCACTCACAGCGGTCCACGAGATGCATCCCATCTGCACGCTTTTTTGGCTACATGGATTCGTTGCAGTCAAGTCTGGAGTCTGAAATCCCAAATTTGAAATACATAGTAATGCATCCCAGACACAAATTGCATGAGCTGCCACGTTATCCTCTTACCAAGCATTAGCCTCGTTGAAATTCGGAGATCCATGAGCCCCGAAGCATAAACTCCCTTGAAATCAACCACACAAGACACGCGAAAAGCACATGCTTTTTTTTTTGCTCGCGCCCCCCAAATTTTCCCAGGGATGAAAATCCCCCAAGTGCTCGCTTATCAGCAATTCAATCAATCTCCCTCGGCATTAACTTGCACGCATCTAACCCCCAATCCAATCCATTTCCCCCCCCTTTCCCCTCTTTCTCCGTCCAAAATAGCCCGCTTCAAAAGTTCGACCAATGTTCTAAACGAGCCCCCCGAAAAAAAGCACATTTGCCGGGTCCTTGGAATTCTCAAAAGAGAAATCCCATTCTTTCTTACCCCATACAGGCGCCCACACAGCTGGTGGCTCCTCTTCTCTTTTCTAAATCCTATGTTTTTGCTCTTACTGATCCACCATCTACTATACTCTACTATCTAGCTCTTATTCTTTCTTCCATAATTGTTCTTAGCAAAACCCACAGTCGATCCCCCTCCCCCCTCTCTCTCCAAACCCGATCCATCTCCGAGAGGCGATAACCTAGTACTTTGCAGCCTTCCAATCCCAGACAAGCCTCTTTCCTGCAGTGAAACAAGGGGGGCAATATAAAAAGAGAAAATAGTCCGTGAAGCTCGCTTATCCAGCTAAATGCAACCTCCCCCATATATACTCGAACATCGTACAGGCACGCGAAACCCAGAATAATATAGCGCTTCCAGAAAAGAAAAAGAAAGGAAGAAAATCCGCCTCTTAATAAAATCAAGAGTAGTGCAATGAATCGTGTCAAAAAAAAAGTAGGAGTTTCTCCTCGTCTTACCCTACACGATTCGCACAAAAAGCGCCATCCACGCCCATGATTTGAAATCCCAAAACTAGTCATGTTGGTCAAACGTCTATATCATTTTTACCTCTTTCGTTCACGTTCATGGCACTAGATTCTCATAGACCCACGCCAACTCGGCTTGGTCGTTTGCCTTGTATCCCTTGCCGTCGTGATCGCCTTCTGTGACATGCTCGATATCAGAGCCCCAGTATTCCACGCATACTCGCTAATTCCTGCTTCATCCGCTTTCCAATCCCTGCTGCTCTCTTCCCCAGATCGTCAACCAGAACCCGCCCGACATATCCAATCCACATTGGCCAAGGCATATGATACATCATTTTTGATAACGGCCACGATGGATAGCAAAGGACATCACAGATGGCTCAAGTGGTGGATCCCTTTCCCAGCTGTCAACTGAATATCAAGTACCTGTATCTAAGAACAACACCCACCACTACTTGCCAAAGTGGTAATGCACTGAGCATACGACGACACCCTTTGCTCCCTTTTCTCCAATTCAAAGTCATAGTAGTGCATACTATGTACATATAATCGTCAATTCATGCGGCTGATTGCCGTCCCTTCTTGTCCGGTCTCAAGAGGGATCATCATCATCTAAGCTCTATCTACACATTCGGCATGTGTGTATGTGTTTGTGTGTGTTTATGTGTGCCCGTGTGTATACCGTCCCTGCACCTTTTTTTCTTCTTCTTTTCAGCCTGTTTGCTAAAGTCATCTCACATATACCCGCGGTTCACACAAAATGTCTACGTATGTACGCGCCATAGTCGTTTAAACCGTATTCATATCTCATGTTTCCATCCACCGAGTCCTCATTAGGTCATTATTTCAGTCGGTCCGGGAGGCGTTATCACCCTCAAGGTGGATTTCGGCAACCTCGTCTTCATCGTCGCCGCTGGGAGGTCCCGTAGGCACCGTCAGAACATCATCGTGGGCGTCCGCAGGCGATGGTGCTTCCCCGTCCACAAATCCGTTGGCAGAGCCAGCCGATGTCATGTGAGCATCAGCTTCAAACAAGTCTCCTTTAGAGCCACTCCGCTCATCACCAGATGATTCGAATTGCGCATCATCGCTGGGATACTCGGCAGCTGTAGATCCCTCAGCTCCGCTGTTATCGAGCCCGCTAAAGCTCCAGCTCTGTGTCATGTCGAGAGACTTTGGCCCCGCTGCTTGGTAGTTGCTTGGAGCACCCAGACCTTCATCCTCAATGCTACGGATTGCCTCTTCATATGGCGGCAGAGCTCCATCCTGGCTATCGGAAAGAGACTTGATTGTGGTGTGAGTAACGCCGACCTTCAACGGCGTGCCTCGACCAAGGCTGTCGTCGTCGGCGGATTCGCCCTCGTCCTCAGCGGTCGTATCCGTGTTGTACTTTTCAAAAATTTGAGCATATTGCGGTCCTCCCAGGTGGCTACCACCGCTGGTCCGGCGGCGGTAGAAAAGCAGATACGCTGCGCTAGTCACTACCGACGAAGGGTCGGAAACAGCTGAAACGGAAGAATCTAGTGGTTACCAGAAGTTAGCACTTGTCCATCTTTCTCCTTGACTCGAGGTATTCCTCGATATTTCGAGACTTACCATTGTAATTATACCACCGCCCATCGACAAAATTCTTCGCGTACGCGGTGTAGTGACCTCCGCCCAGCCCTCCGTAGTGGTCATCGACTGCAATCAGGTCGTAAATCTCTTCTTTCCCGTCTTCCTTTTGGATGACTCTCGAGGAGAGGTCGAGCCCTTCAATGGGGAAGTCGACTAGCACGTCCAACTTGTCTCGTCGCCATCCAGAGCTGCTGAAACGCTTGAGGTGGCAAATCAAGTAGTCTGGTGACTTCCAGAGATCGAATTTCTTGCTGGCCCTTCGGTGTTCTTTGCATCGTGGGCAGTACCACATGTCTTGCTCCGACAAAACTTCAGCTCTTTCAAACTCGTCCAGACACTCTTCCAGGGTGATGCCTCGAGATCGACGAGTTTGGCGCCGCCTCTGGCTGATCTTAAGGGCCGGGTCGTTTACGGTTTCCAGGTCGACAAAGGTCTTGGCTCCCAGGCTCTCATCCTGCTTCTTTCCAGTGTAGCCAAAAACAGTCTCCCAACCCTCCTCAGTCCAGTCCACTACAAGGCCTTCTTGAAGTCGAATTAATGGACCGCCGTCGGCAACTGCTGGGGGTGTTGGCTCAGAGTTGACGACTGGTGAGCGCTGCGCGTGCTTTCCAGCCCGCATTTGCTTGTCACGACGCTTATTGCCCTTTTTGCCATACGTTTTATGGTTCTTGAACTTCTTCCTTCCACCAGCGAGCTTCTGAGGAGGCCGGTTACCACCGGTGCGGGCCAATTGCTATATGCATCAACACTAGTCAGTAAAGCGAACACTCAAGAGATTATAGAAATGGTGATTTAATTGAGAATTGCGAAATGAAGGCGGGGAAACAGTAAACTTACCCGGACGCCGTGAGGCAAATCATCTTCACTGGACTCGTCCGCCATGCGTGTCTGTACAGACTCTTGTTGAGGGCTCTCATCTTCGTTGCTGCTTTCCTCGTTGCCAGACGCAGTGCTGTTCCAGCTCTCAGGGCTTGGCTGGTCTTCGTCCTCCTTAGCGGGTGGTTCTGGGATACGATCCGCAAGCTTTGGAAGAGTTCTGCTGTTGTCAACATTGGACCAACCGGTCGGAACAGGGCCATCGGCCGTGGCGGCAAAATAGCTCAGCTCAAAGAGACCCTGGAGCTCCGGGTCGAGGAATTCGCCGGGTTGAACAAACTTGGGACGCTGCGTGTTGAATTGACGAAGAAGCTGTGGCTGATTGGGTAGAGGCAGCTCAGGCGGAGGCATGACATTAACATTACTCTGGGCATCTTTCATGGTCACATCTACCAGGTCATCTTCTCCCTCGACGGATGCTGCAACAATCTTAGAGTCTGCAGAAGAGTCGGCATCAGATGCAGTAGTGATGACCATGTCAGCCTCATTAGCGTCTGAACTTTCGGAATTTTGCTGCTGGTGAAACTTTGACCAGGTAGAAAAGGTTGCCACTCTTTCCAATACTTTGCGCACGATAATATCATAGTTTGACGCTTCCTCCCTCGTCAAGACGATGAAGTGCGGAGGAGAAGTGCCTTCAGTCACTTTGCTGGTGCTTTGTGTTCGTCGATGGAGAACCGGCACTACTATTCTTTCATACCTGGGGTCATCCCATTCATCGGCGGGTTCAGGTGGGGTGTCGTCGAGGTCCAACATTGAGCGAGGCTTTTTCTGGTAGCCTTTAGCAGGCCAATTGGTAGGCACTGCCTCCAACTCGTGGAATGTCGCAATATCAGAATTGCCAATCTCTTCTGATACGTCTCCGCTGTTTTCGTAGATTTTGAAGAACTTATCCTTAAATTCTTCAGCACCCATCAGACGATTCACCGGTACACCTGTGCGAATTGATAAGAATGACTTCAGAGTCTCGATCGAGCTATGCTTAGACAGTTCAACCTCAAACTTGACGGGAACATCATTAAGGGGGAAGAATGTAACAGTCTTGGCCCACATGTTCTCAACAGGCAGGGGTAGTGTCAAGTTGTTGAAGGGGTCGAACGTGATGCTGATTTTACCACACACGGGACACTTGAGGGTCGACTTGTACATTCCCGTAAACAAATCAAAAATGACGGAATCATCTCGTTGTCTGGTAATATCCCACACTTTGTCTGCCATCTCCTTGATTGCCGCTGGGTTGTTGATCATGTCATCCGTAGAATCTGGCTTCTCAATGTATGGCTTATTCTTGATACGACTAAGGTCCTCCTGGAGGGCATCGAGAAGGAAGCCGAGAAATTCCTGCGAGTCTTGTTGACCCCAGCCAGCAAAGGTGGAACGAACGCGGCCGACAGTGCTTTTAAAATCTCTAGGGACAACAGAGCCTCTGCCCTCATCATAGATATCTCTCAGTAGTCCATTGTAGGCCATAGCGACTCTTCCGTTGTAGCCTAGGGGATTGGTCTTATTGAGCTCGGCAGAGAACGTCCCTGTCATGAAATATTTCGACAATTCTTCAATGGCGCGGAGGCACTGCAAGGCAGAATTCATGTAGCAAGTATTTCCCAGGTTCTGCAAACCCACAGCGCCAAGGCTCCGGCCATTTCTCTTTTTTTGCATCCTGCCACGAGTGGCGGGTCCATCTGAAGAGCTGGGACTGCTCCGGTTGCTCAAAGACTTGGACAATGAAGTGTTATTGGTCCTCGTGGGTATTGCTTTCTCGAGTGACCGGCTGTTGCAGGTGCTCACCCAGAGGTTCTTGTCGACCATTTCATCAACAACAAGGGTCTCATCAGTCACTAGATCAAAGATCTGGATAGAGGCGGAGCCATTATAGTTGGGGTTTACAGTCTGATCCTCAAGTGTGGATTTCTGTCTGGCATCCTGGACGCTGGCGAACGAAGGAACGTCAAGGAGCAGGTGTGACCAGGAAGAATTTGTTGGCCCATCTGCAGCTTGATCGCGATCAGGAGAGTCGGGCGGCGTTGTTAGTGCAGCCGGAGGTTGAGCAATGTTCGTTCCAAGCTGTTCCGTGTTAACCACGAACAATCGAATCTTGCGGTCGGTCGGAACGCCAGCAAGTCGTTTTATATCCTTGATAAAAGTTTGTGCGTGATATTTGCGGCTTCTGGCCAAGGCGAGGGGAGGGGGGTTGTCGGCTTTGAGGGACTGCTCAATTGGCAGCGGGCTGAGCTCGGACCAAAGGCGATGCACTCGGAAAACAGGGGGATGGAGCTCAAAGACAACTTCAGCCGGGGACTGAGCGTCGGTAGCAATGTTAATGGCCGTTCGGACAATGGGTTTTTGTCCCTCTTCGATACCGTACCAGTCCATGACCATTTTCCAGGCATCCTCGGGGAAGAGCTCAAAATATTCTTGATCAAGGCCAGGCTTGAGGCGAACAAAATCTTCACGGCCAGGCTCTTGAATGACTTGCTCGATGATGTCTGAGTTGTCGACTGGGCCCAATGACACTTCGGTTGTGTCCGCCTTGCCTGAACGTAAAGATAGTGCCTTATCTACCCATGTACGCGATACGAGATAGGCTTTATCGCCCTCCTTTGGCAGATTATCTGCTGAAGCCTTGAGCAGCGTTTCAATTATCTTGACCTGCTCAATGAGTGGGGGAGGGGCAGCTATAGTTGAAAAAAAAAAAAGTCATGCGTTAGTAACCGTGCAATGTAGAGTATTAACCTCCCCAAAGACGAATTTTGTCGTTTTGGTGGAAAGTTTTGTCAAAAATAAACCATGACTTACATCGAACAGAGGTATCGGTGCCGTTGGTCAGCGGTTTGGGATCCGCAACTTCAACAATGTCAACACTCATAGCGCGGGGCAGCTCCGCCGTGGGGTTGGATGAGGATGTCATCTCCACGTCCCCAGTGGTGCTGGCAACATCGCCGTTCTTGTCTGGGATGGTTTCGGGATCCATGCTGGATGCTCGTCGTTTTAGTGGAGAGGATGAACGTTGGGGCAGCTCAGCATCTCCGTTCATAATGGCCCTCTTAGAGATGAGGAAAGGTGACTGGCTCCTGGCGTAGGCCTGCACGGAACCCGCGTCGTCTCCCCCTCGATCGCTGCTATCGACGGAAGGCTCGTGGTAGAAGGACGCGCCGGGAGACGAGGCAATGGACGAAGCGTAGTCGGCCGAGACAAGAGACGAGTTGATGTAGGCTTGGGCCTGGGTCTGAAGGCGCGGGGGCACGCTGGAAGCAGTGACGGAGCCGGCACGGACGTACAGCGGCGCTTCAAGCCCGGAGGCTATGGGCGTGGCGGAAAAGGAGAGAGCGGCGTCGTCGTCGGGCTCGCACGAGGGGATGGCGGTGTCTGGCGATGGAGAGGTCGGGACGTCAAGATCGATCGTCAAGGGACGGGCAAGCTTTCTCTTCTTTGAGGAAGACGTCTTGATAGTGAGCTGCCCGGGCAGCTCTGGGGAGAACGGGGAGAGCGAGTAGTCGAGGGAGGCGATGGGGATGGCCTTGCATCTAGACACAGGACACAGCAGACCGTCGCCTTCGAGGGGTTGACAGAATCAGCCAGACAGAAGAAGCAGGGCCACCGGACATCGGGGCAGTGGAGGCGGGCGGCGTTGTTTCGTGCGAGTAGGCGGTGTTTGACGGCTGTGTGGGGCGTCTTGTCAGCTATTTCTGGACTTTTTTCAGCGGCTCGAAGGGGCAAAAAACGTCACAGGACAAGTACCGCCGCTGTATCTGCGTGTACAGTGCAGTGCCGGGGGGCGGCGCAAGGGCAGCTGAGCCAGAGCAGAGCCAGAGCAGAGCCAGACCGGAACAGAAGCACAACACACAGATACACCGGCCAATACTGTGCTCGATGCAAATGTACCCGACCCGACGCTTGATGCAACACAGCATGAGCTGGTGGATGCTGGACTGGGCATAGCGCAGCATCTTGTGCCGTGGTGCCTGACCTACCTGTGCGAGTGCCTGTAAATCCGCGGCCTGTGCCTGGCGAAATGTGACAGGACAGCAGCCAAGAGGATCAATACGTACGGGGTACGTATGCCTGCGCGTGCCTGCAGGGTCTGCCGCTTCAGCAGGTGAATCAAGCCACAAACAGAAACAAAAGGAAGAGCAGCGAGGGCGAAGAAAAAATACCTAGAAGTGAATCGAAGGAGGAAGAGGAAAGAAAAAAAATTGAGCCGAAGCGAAAGAGGAACAGCGGGATCTGGTTAGGGCCCCGTTTTGTACGTAACCCGGCCGCGAATCGCTAGAGAGAGGGACGGCAGGCGATGGCTGTGAATGGAAAAGATGATGGGAGCGGAAGATACAAATGGAAAGGGAACAGATGATGGAGAGACGGAAATCAAGTCGGGTTGCGAGCAAATACCGGGGCTTTCTGTGATGAATCGATACGAAACGATAGGCCTGAGTGATTCCAGCTTTTGTTTGTGGTTGTGGCCGCTACCAATATTACTCGCAGCCGCCTGACAAGGAGAAACGAAGGAGAAAGGGAAAAAAACTCCATAAGAAATGGGAACCAAGCCACATCGAGATTTCACTGGTTCTAAGGTACTCCCTTCCACTAACTTAAAAAAAAATAAGAGGAAAAAGAGGGCTAATACGTCGCTTCTCTGTACTGTATGTATTACTGCACAGCACTTGTGTGTCTGTACTTTTAGCTGCAGGCAGGGCGAAACAGGCCCACCACACTGGCCCAACAGCCGCCCACTAAAAGTCCCGGGCAAGGGTTCAAGGGAATCCATAATTGAATTGAGTGATCCATCAGCCGGCATGGCCAGCGCACTGAGCCAGCAAAGCGCCTGAACGCTCAACTGCCGTGACTGATTTTGGGTGGCGGACATGTTGTGCCTGGTACATTCATGTAGACGGAAGTACATGCCCTATCTGGAATCTTTCAAGTTGTTTTCCGGGGATGGTGGCAAACGCTTTCGGAATTCTTCCCTTCGATTAGTAAGTGATTGCATCCATCCAGCATCGAGAAACTGCCAAGTATGGAATATGGACAGGTGCCTAGGTGCTAGACTAAGATATAGATGTTTTAGTAATGACAAGAGGCGAAGGAATACCTGGCATCGCGAGGTTACGTGTTGCAGCAGTAGCCACTCCCCATGACGAGAATGTACGCCGCAAGTCCATGTAAGTAAACTCTGAACACTGAGATCATGTTGTCAAGCGCACGCGGCGTCATTCCTCTTGCTCTTCCTACGCAGTATCAACAACTTTTCTTGCATCATAAACTTTACTTTGCATGATACGAGGCTTCCTCGTACTCGTAATTCCAGTGCTGCTAACACTGTGGCGGTTGCTGGCGTCTGCCGGATTCAGAAAGACGGCGTCGGCGGGCTGCTAAATCCACGGAGTATCCGTGCCTAACTGGACTGACTTGGAGAGTACATGTACATATCATCAAACGATTGAGTGGCATGTGCCTGACATAGCAGTTACCACTACTTGAGCCCTTGCTATGATATCTTGGCTCGTTCACAGAGCCTTGTTTCAAGCACTTCGTAATGGCATGGTCTTAAATGGTTGATTTTCTAGCAATACAAGTTCTGTACAACAACATCCTCCGCCCAATATCTCGAGTCTACCACCTATATAGTTGTCTTTTTACCAAGCGAGGCGAGAACCCAATTATAACCAGCAATTGGCTACCTATCTCCAGGCAAAACAGGAACTCAAGCAGCAACTGAACCCCCCAAACCCACCAATCTCTTTCCTTCTTTCTGTCTTTCTTTCTCTCTCCCTCCATACCCCTGGAAACAAGAAAAAGAGGGAGCGAGGGAGAAAAGCTCTAAAATATGTACTTGTAGTTAATGCCCCTCCCAACTCTCCCCAAGGAAATTCCCTTTGCTTGTGCAGCACCAAACATCTATCAGGTTTTCCTTTTTCTTTTTTTGAATAATTGGGAAATCATCATAATTCATCAAAAAACACCGTGGCGTTTCAAAGCTTTGAATCAGCCTCCTCGAACTCGGTAAGCTCCTTAACGGGGCGAGCACCAGAGCTTGCCTGAAGACCAGCCTTGTACTGTCGGCCGTCGGTAATCTCTACTGCCGCGTCTATGGCTGATGCAATGTCGCTAGCTGTTCCCTCAACTTCAGGAGAGGTTTGAGGCAGCCCCAGCTCCTTGGCCTTGGAAAGGAGGGAGGCGCGTTTATCATCGTCAACTGATTGCTCCGCCTTGAGATGCCCTTCCAACGAGTCGAGGCTCGCTCGGCTCTCCTTGGGAACATCGTCCAATCCCAAATTCTTCAGGAGGTCCACAATCTTCAAATCCACTTCGCTGGATCCCCTAGCATACAAGTGAACTGAAAGGCGGGCTCGACTAGTGGAAGATGGGCTAAAGTATTTGTCGAAGAAGCTCAGCATTTCGGCCTTTGTGAGTGGCTTCACGTGGGCAGCATCTTCCTGGGCTAGAGTTTTAAAACACGTTAGCATCCCGCACGGAGTAAACACGGAAGCAACAGAATTAATCGAACCACTTACCTTGCTCAAAGTCATAGTATTCATTAGAAATATGGGCCCAATGTCTTGAAGTCTCTTGATCGAGATTACGCAGCTTTTCGAGTCTCTTGATAACCAAGCTTCGCTTGTGGCCCTCAAACTCAGTATCCGTCATCTTCTGGAGAGTCTCTCCAAATCGGACCAAAAAGGCCTCGATGCGCCTATCCAGGTAATCGGGAGTCCTCTCGCTCTGAATCAAGAAGCGGAAGCCGCAGGTGGTGGCGAAATTCCGGATGCTGGCAAAGACAATGTATCCAAGCTGCTCTTTCGTCCTGAGCTGGTCGAATGCGGGCTCGTGCATCATTTGGTCAATAAGGAGAGTTTTTGCGCGAAGTACTCGGTCGCCCCTGTCGCCAACATATAGCCATGTTTCAACGCAGTGGTTGACGTTTGCGGGGTCTTTCAGCGTCTTCTTGTAGACGTAGTTGGACCCGGCAGGTAAGATGAGCGAACGGATGATGGGCCACTGAGACTTGGGCAAGACGCGGGGCTTCAGATTAGACTCGACCATATCCGTCAGTTTCAGGGCGTCACTCTTATACATGTTTCCGTGTACATAGACCTCGATATGCATCTGGGCCAGCATTTGCTTCTGAAACTGCCGAACGTCATCCGCAGTGACATCTCGTAGTTCTACGGCAAGCTCCTCTACCAGATAGTCACACTCGGCATTGAGCCAAGATGTGTAATCTCCCACTTGCTGATACGAAGACTGGAGCTGCCAATTGTCGTATCCACGAGTAAGACGCTCCTTAACAATAGTAAAGCGAGCGTCTTTGATCGAGATGTCTCTCAGGCTCGCAGTGACCTGCTCAAGAAGAACTGGAAGCTTATCGTTATATCCTGAAATGTCGAGGAACAAGCCTCTAGAATCCATAGATACTGTGTACTCAAGCCCGGCAAGCTCTGCATCGTACGAGTATTCCTCCAATGCATCTCGCACCAGCTCCGTAAACAGTCGGGCCTTGACGCTGCTCTGAGCAGAGGCATAAATGATGGGATTCTTCAGGCTCACAATGACATTCGCCTTGGGAACCCAGAAGGTATCATCCTTCTTCCACCAAGTTCGAGCCTCTGCGTCGTTTCGCAGGATCCGAGGAGACAAAGCGGGCTCTGACACTTCCTTCTTCTCCACCTCGAGCTTGCTGGGAATGAAGTTGTTCTTGTGAGGTAAGTGTAGCTCTGGCAGTCGGTTGTGGCTGGGAATAGCCATGGCACGCCTCCAATCATCCATAAGATCCGCTGGAATCTGTTCACACGAATACTCTGTACCATACCACTTCTCCTTCTTGTCCCAAGTGCCCGGGAAAGTGCGTGACACCACGGAAAGACGAAGATTGTCTGGCTGAATCTTGGACAAGACCTGCTCAATAAGTTTGGAGTCAAAGGCACGCAGGCGGCTGTGGGCACTCAACAGCCACTCTCGCGGCAAAGGCTTTTGCATCACAGAACTGACTCTGCTGGTAAACCGGCTAGCTGGAGTCTTTTGTCTGAACTTGAAGTCCACGTCGGCCATGCCCTTTTGCTCCTGGAAAATCCATTCCTGAGGAGGAGCCTCGCGCAGGAGAGCTATGTACTGGAAAAAGATGTTGATAATTTGAGGGTATACTTTAAGGCCCTATAGCATCAAGTTGTTAGAAATTACCAATCAATCACTCAAGGCGCGGATCTAAGCTTACCTCTTCAGTCAGTCGGATCTGGACTTCAAAGACACCTGGCGTGCCGGGGCAGATTGGGTAAGCGCCGGCAGATAGGCTATTAGCCCAGCCCTTGTTTTTGATATATGACATGATACTGCCGGGTCCCTCATGGCCAATGAGGTGAGAGCAATATCGACTAGGTTGGGACTCGTACAAGTGCTCCTCGTCAATGAAGGGGAAGCACAGGTTCAGCTCCCTGGTGTCCATGACTGGCTTTGCGAACCACTGAATACCGATGTCGCTCTCTCGGAATGGAAGCTCATCTGTCCATCTGTTGGGGGCTAGATTCTTGTTGGCAATGCCAGAGAAGAACTCGACTGTCCATTTCTGGAGCACATCAAGAGGCTCTCGACCCAAGATGACGAGCTTCATACGATTGGCCGAGTAGTGCTTAGCATGAAACTCGATGAATTTGTCTCTGACATTGACCCCACTGGCTTCAGGGAGAGTCTTGAGCACCTCTAGATTGCCAGTGGAAAAGTGGCAGTAAGGGTGCTTAGGGTTTGACAGAGACTTGTCGAGCTGGTGCAAGCGCCAAGTGTCATTTTGCAGATTCTTCTTGTTCTCCGAGTCAACAGCTTTAAGCTCCCTGTCCAAGGTGCTGGACAAAAAGAGCGGCTCTATAAAGAACTGCGCAAAGCGATCGAGGGCCTCACGGAGTGGCGAGGGATTGGTATCTGACGGGTCTTGGTCATTGGCCGGTTTGGCAGCGACGTCGAAGTAGTAGTTGGTCGATGTGGCGGCTGTATACGCATTGGAGCTGCCGGAGTTGGCAGAGAGGTATTGGCTGTACTCATTCTCGATGGGGAACTTCTTCGTGCCCATGAACAGGAGCTGCAATGGCGCTAGTATTAGCCAGGGTTTTGAATCGCGGAAAGCACAATTGGTAGAATACGGCGGTTGCAGTGTAGGAAGAGAACCCGAGAGAATACAATCAAGTCCAGGGGAAAGCAAGAAGAAAAGAGATGCGACTTACATGCTCAACGGCGTGTGCCATGCCCGGCATTCCATCCTCATCACTGAAGTTGCCCACATTGACGTCAAGGGCGGCGCTGGCCTTGTCCGTCTCGGGATCGTGAACCAGCAGAGCCTCGAGCTCGTTGTCCAGGCGTACGACCCGGTAATCGCGGTCGTCCAGCGAGGGCTTTTCCAGGCTGTCGGTCAGGACGACAACGGGCGATTGGCGACTGGGGCCTTGGGCCTCAGCCTTGGCCGGCGCCGGCACATGCTGCTGCATTGCGGGGGTTTGTGTGGTGCGGCGTGCGAATTTCAAGAGTCCAGTGTCCAATGTCCAGAGCCAGAGTATCAACGGACGCGGCAGCGATGAATAGGCACAGACAAGCCTCGGAAAGGAGAGAGAGGATGCTCAGCCCGGGGAACTAAAGGATCGTATGGGTGATGTTTTTTGGAGGTGGCGGCTGTAGGCTGACTGATCGAGACCCGGTGCGGTGTGAGGCTCGCAGTTTGCTATTAGTGGGGGTGCGCCACCAGGTTTAGGTGCCGGGCGGTTTCGACAAAAAGAGGATCGGGAAAATCACCGATATGGAGCTGCCTGCAGTCGGCTAGAGGTCGTGTTTCAGCGGCTGTTTCTTAGGATCGATCGAGATGCAGCAGCGGGAGGAGAAGGAGGAGAATAAATAGTGCTGTATATCTAGTACGAGTAATGGCAGCAGGAAAAGAAGAAGCAAAAATGACAAAGAAGCGACGAACGTCTTTGGCAAAAAGTTGAACACATGTAATCACTATTGAACAGGGGAGGCAACTGCTTTGAACGAGTCCTGTATACCGAGGCAATGGGGGCGTGTGCTCTGAGATGGCAGAAGCTGCTCTGCTGATTGCGTACTTTGTCAGATGCCTGGAACACCCTGTACGAGTATTATGGCCTATCCAAAGCGGGCTGCTGAGAAGCCTGCTTACACGACCGATTTGAAGGTGAAAGAAGCTGCTGTTCAAACCTCGTCCCTCAAGGTCCCCCTTTGCTGCCATGAGGCGGAGAAAGTCGGAGAGACTTCTTACACTCAAAAGTATTTGCTTCCCTTTGAGCCACCAAGCTGGCTGTGTTACATACGAGTACTGTACGATGTTTTGTGGAGGCTAATCTCATTGAACTGTCACTGTACATGTTGTTTACAATCTCACAAATTGCTGCGCAATTTGCAGCTGATCTAACGAGCGGCTGACCCGTGATCTTGCAAGCATTCTGCAGACTGGGCAGCTATGCTTTTACTGGCTTGGTATTCTCCAAGCAAAGATGCTGTTTCTGGCCTCCTAGCATGGAAGCTGATCCTAAGATGAAGCCAAGGGGGATGCTAAAATGCTGCCATTATGCACAAGGTGGCATTTGTTGACCACAAATCATGGGGCCAGCAGGTCGAATGCCGCCGTTGTTTGTTGGGGCCGTGCTTCGGGAGGTGGTGACACAACTGTCATTGGCTCTGCAGGGTCAGTCCTGGCAGTCTAAGATGCACCGCAAAGGAGACGTGAAAAGCCGCTCGCCAACCCGGAGCTTCTGTGTGATCCTGCAAGGGGTGTGGGGAGCGAGTGGTGTTCCCCGTCTCGTTTCCACCGTCTTGGGTGCGGATTCGCAGTGGGTATGATTTCTCGACCAAAGCTCTCACTAGTCTCCTGGTCGTACTCGTACATACTCGTAGAAGATGACCAAGGCTAAAGAGCAGAGATTGTCGCTGGCCTCAGCGTGAATTTGTACTTGGCAACTCCTGCTTATGAGCAAACATTGGGTCGGACATCCATGGCATGATGACAGCTGGGGGCTCGTCCAACTGCAGAGCTTTGACTAGACGCCGAGGATTCCCTCGGCAGGTCGCCCGCAGTCTTCCCCAAATGCGAGTACGGGTATGTCTGCTTGGACTCCGTCAAGAGGGGCGCGCTAAACACAGAGGTCAGGGTTGCGATCTGATCTGCTTACTCCGTACTTGGGTCAGTGAGCTTAGGCCATGGCCATGCATGAGTCTAACAGAGGCCTATTTGACACGTCAACGATGCCATGGACTGCGAGGGAGCCACCAGCCCATCAGGGTTGTCGAGCCGAACAACGGCAGTCGTAGGAGATTCCTTGATCAACGCGGGTTTCGTCTGTTGTGCCCGCAGCTCCACAGCCAGCGGGCAATGCTTGGAACGAAGCCGAGTCAAGGGCTCATGTGCCATACCCACCAGCACCAAGTCTAGGAGCTTCCGCGACGTTGATCGTGTGCTCACTCGCTTCTCGGCTGCCGCACAGTAACACCGTCAACCTTTGGCACACGGGCGACTGAAGCTTTGTGCATGCTAAAGAAGCTCCATTTCTCATTAGCACTATTGGCTTCGCCTCGCAGACAAGCGACCTGGCTAGGCGCTGTGGTGGTGCCAGAATCCGCTCTTCCATACCTAAAGCCTGTGTATATAGCGGGGAAGTGAGAGGAGGCAATTAGTAAATATTGACCGTCAGTTGGACCTGGGGCAATTCGCCAGAGTCGCGAATGCAGTCCGTATGCAAGTAATATGTGCGGAATCCTCCTGCGGGCGGCTTTGTGGTCCGGTTCGGCGCTTGAAGTTGGCGGCAGCGTACGGCAAAGGATTCTAGACACCGCAGATGGCCTGTTAGGATCACACACACACACACACACACACACACATCCAAGGTGCAAAACGATGAGGGTTGTATCAGATAGGGTGCTGAGTTTCCCTTCTGTGGCGGTCCCGTCCCGTGTATTGGCCGTATTCCTTCAAACAGGGTTGCAGAGTGTCGTTTGGTAGCCGAAAGAAAGCGGAGGGAGCGACTACCTGGTACCTATCCAGCATCCCGTATCCCAACCTAAAGTTACTGCAGCGCAGCACTTGTTGCTACTATACCTAATATTATATGATAGGAGAAGGTAGCGATAGCAGCAACTTAGTACCACTTAAAGAAGCACTGCAAGTTAGTAGATAAAGGGCACAAAGGCACTTCCGGTGCATCTCGCAGGTATGATGCTTCACCTGCATGTAGTCGCCCGGGTTGTTGGATAGCAAAGTTAGACTGTCAGATAGCCTTTTGACTCCTAAAGCTAATCGCCAACTTGCAGCTAACGTCTCCCTGTACTAGAATGTTGGAGACACCAGGATTGGATATACTGCGCTATTTGCGATGCGTCAGTTGAGATAACAAGAATCCTGGCTCCTCGATACATGTAGACTTACTTCGCTCCATAGCCTGGGACAGAGCTGTATCTCGCTTGACGGATGCTTTCTTCATAAGTATTCTTGTGGAGGCTATGGTACGCATTTCTGGCGTTTGCTAATAGTGAATGGTCAAAAAGGCTGCGACGTGCAGCAGTGACGGTGAAAGTGTTAGCAACGGAAGATATCATAAATTACTCATCGATCTCGTATTGACATGCATGGATGTATGTATGTGATAAAGGAAATGGCGTTTCAACCCCGCGATTGGATCTTGTCTCCCGCCAAGATTGCATGGGAATTACGATAGCATGGTGATATCCTCTGCAGGCCAGCTTCAGCTATACGCCCATGCTCGTAATGACATTCATTACCTTCTGCTGCAATCGGAAGTGCGGCGTACAATTAATTGACTGCATGTTATCCTGGTCTCACAATTACAGGTACCTAGGTAGAGTCACCATGGATAGAGCACGTCCACATGGACCTCACCATTGCTATCTACATATGAATATAATGTTGCGTAATTTAGGTAGTTTTTAATTTTGGTACTTAATATTGCTATGCTATGTGACCGGGAATGTTACCCAAGGCCTTTGTTCATTGTTCGTTTGCGCATCTACATGATGGCGTTGTGTCCGTACGACAGACCAGAGCTTCTAATACGAAGTAATAAATAAAATGATGCGAGCTGCTGAAGCAAGCATTCGTCTATAAGCGGATCGGGTATAAGTTGGAGAGGCAATCCTCTTGCAGTCATGGAAATTACGTGTCCCCATGGGAAAAGAATGCGTATAAGCAATACAATGGAAACAAAAGTTTTCACCGATATTGGGCCAAAAGGCAAAATCGTTCATCTCCTGGAAGCACCCTTGGGACAATTGGCTGCCTTGTGTCCAGGCTGCTTACAGATGTAGCAGGCGGAAGAAGCTGGGCCACCAGCGCCTCCAGAAGATATAGAAGAGATGTTATTCAGTCGGACCTCCTTCTTCTTTCGCTTCTCACGGAAATCTTTCGCCTTTTGGGATTCCTCGCTGAATCTCGGCCTTGACCGCGACTGGGATCCGCTCGAACCATCTCCAGAATCTAACCGTCTACTCTTGCGCTTCGGGTTTGCATCGTCGTCATCGTCATCGTCATCGTCACTAGATGATTCCTCATCTGGTCGGTCGTCTTTACCAGAGCTAGGCTTCTGCTAAATGTCAGCCAAGGGACAAAGTATACTCTAGACTGTAATGAAGAGGTTGAACATGCCTGATTCTCGACTACCTTGGGTTTCCGTGTCGAGGTCCGCCCACTCTGAGGGGCATCCTCGCCGCCAGACTCGTTGGATGAATCTATATCTCCATAGCCCACATAAACAATGTTCAGGGAGGGTTCTGAAGGTTTGCCAGCATTCAATTTGTCCAACTTTGTGTTCAAAACCCAATGCGCGCCAGTCGCAGTGTGTTGGGCTAGCGCTGCCTGTCGTTTCGCCTCCTGGTCCTCGAGAGCTGCTTTAATAGATGCCTGATCTATCAACGCGCTGACTCGTTCTTCCGCAGCTTTGCTCGCTGAATGCCTCAGCTTTCGTTTTTTTGAACTCTGGGAGCTGTCGTCTGATTGTGGCGATGGGGCTGATGCAACAGCTCGCTGCATAAACTTCATTGTTAGGAGTCTCGAAGAGACCCCTTTGGGCGTTTCTGAAGCCATATTCGTGAAGAAGCTCTCTGGCGGATGTTGTTAACCAGTGGCTAATTGTACTTCTTCTGCGAAGCGAGTTGTGTTGCAGACAGTCTGTCTGTGCTGAACAGTTTCTGATTTTCTCTTAACTCTGCAGCAGAGCCAAAGAAAAAAAAGTTACTGGTTGATATCTTAGCTTGTCGCGAGAACGTGCGCCTGCAGCGAGTATCCGCAGACCCCGGACAATACTTGTTCCGGTGCTTGTTCAACCCACCTCCAGATCCAACCTCAACTCAAGACAAGTGCTGCTCGGCTTCGAGTCCAGATCACACAATCCCATCGCAAACGTCGCAGCCATGGCCTCGTCCCAATTGCGAGCGGTTCAAGCGCTGACGCGCAACCTGCGCGTCTCGAGCCGATCATTCGCCACCTCTGCCCGCCGACTCGAGGCATCTGCGCCTGTTACTGGCACGAGCGAAACGGCCGCTGTCCTTGAGACCGATTCAAAAGCCATCGGCCAAGCCCCCAACCGTGGAGCTGTCTGGTCTCGAAACCAGAAGCCTCGATCAATCGCCATGACCGGTCCTCGATTCGAACAGACCGACTTTAGCCTTCAGGTACAAGCGCCGAGTGGTATTTGCGATGCGAGGACAGAGTATTGATATGATTGCAGCCCCAACCTTATTCGGCTATGGAATTGGTCCACAAGGTGCCTGTTACATGGACTCACGACAAGATTGTATCATGCGATGGCGGCGGCGGTCCTGCTGGCCACCCCAGGATCTTCATCAACACCGACAAGCCCGAAATTGCCTCCTGCAACTACTGCGGCACCCCCTTCGTACGCCTGACTGCTCAATACTAGGCCAATGGGACACTGGGGAAATGCTAACAAGTGAATAGGCCAACGAGCACCACCGAAAACACCTTGAATCCCTACCCGAGACCTCCTACCCCCTAAAATAGACTTCTTCAGCGAGGCGGGAATCTGGGTTATTGAGCTGCTGGGCATAGACAGGCCTTGGGTCGGTTCACAAGTTATTTTGTACTAGTCATGAAGAGTTAAAATGAAGAAAAATAAGAAGCCATCATATTGTACATAAAACGAAGGCGTTGTGAAGGCACACTACACTTTCAGTCTACTATAGTATATGGATTGAGTGTGTTATGACTGATGCAATTGTGGTGATGTTTATTTCGGCTTGCCTCGTGTATTCCACCATTGAATGATTTAAAATTACTATGGCATCCTCTCTTGGCGCAATTTTCCCTTGATGAACAGAAGGCAAATGTCACAATCTCAGTCCAGTTCTGTACTTCAAGGTTTGTACACACATGCGCCCAAAAACCACTAACCCCACTAAACCAGCGAGGTTGCAGCTCCAAGTCTCCACCTCACACATCATCGAAATCACAGAATGCCTCAGCATCTCAACGACCTCACAACTGTTTTCCTTATTTTACTGTTTATGATATCTTTCTTTCCTAACGCATTCCACTTCATTTGGACTCTCCCTCTCAGCTACATCTTCTCAAGCCCGTCCACACCTGCAGATTCCATCGCTACAATGACTTGGTTCCAGAAGCAAATCTCACTGCCGGCTAGGTCGCGCGGCTCTTATCTCATCACGGATCAGATTGTATCTGCACTGCCTGAGATTCAGGAATACAAAATTGGCTTGTTGAATTTATTTGTTCAGCATACGAGCTGTGCTCTTAGCTTGAATGAGAACTGTGTGTTTTTCTCTCCTCGCCTTTTCAGCTCTACTGCAATTTGCATGGTGAGGTGGCTGTGTGCGACGAAGTCTGACGTGTTGGATTCTTAGGGGACGAGGATGTTAGAGCGGACATGAGTGATGCTCTTGATCGTATTGCACCTGAAGCCGGTGCCAAGGGAGAGGCGTTGTATCGCCATGAGTAAGTAGCATCGATATTGGCTTGATGAGATCTTGCACTAATACCATCATGAACAGCGCTGAAGGTCCTGACGACATGCCGGTTAGTTTCAGTCATGAATAGGTAACAAGACAGAGATCTAACCTCAAGTAGGCACACATCAAATCAGCACTCATCGGTGCTAGCGTCACTATTCCAATCAAGGACGGCAGACTAGTAAGTTGACAAAACCTTGCCCCGTTTCACAAAGCCTGCCCGACTAACGTTTTCACAAGGCGACCGGAACATGGCAGGGAATCTGGTACCTGGAGTTTAGGACAAGCAAACATCGGCGTAACATAATAGCAACCATTCAGGGAGACAAGGGAGAAAAGGCATGAAAAAAGTCTATGAGATTTCGGAAGTCTGCATGGAAATAGACAGCCCGGAACTTTCGAAAATTGTACAGTCATTTTACCTATACGCCAAACACCATCGCCATGTTTTTTTCCAATATGCCAGTCACCTTGATTAATGCGTCCCATTCTCCTCAACCATATCCGTATCATCCCCCGCCAAGACCTTGGGTTTGGGCACATATCCATCAGGGGCACCTGAGCCAGGGGTTGCGGCAACAACATCTCCATTCTCATCGACGAACTCAAAGTTGTATCGGCTGAGGAGGTGAGGGATGGCAGACAGCTGAGGCCCATATCTAGCGGTGTTGTCGTAGAGCTCGAATAACGGGACGGCAAGGAGCTTCATGTTTTTGGGCACGCTGAGCACTTCTTTGCGAAAGGGGAAACGTTAACATGTGTGACAACCTGCTCGGAGAAAAGATGGAACCTACTACTCTTGGGCAGCTGAATAAAATAAAACTTCTTGCACTCCTTGGGCCGTGTAACGTGCGCAGGGATAAAGGGATACATGAAAGTCTCGAAGTTTGGTCTCCAAAACTGCGCGAGACACTCACCAACCTCCCAGTCACCGGCCTCCTCACCTTCGCCCAATCGGCCCACCGGCGCAAGCCTTTCGTCCAGCCGAGCTTTGAACCCTTCCACCTCGTCGTCTTCTGGCCGCAGGTAGTCTCCAGGGAGCTTGAAGAACGCGTTTGCGATCTGCAGCATCAGGATATGGGGGTGGTTGTGCTCGTGGCACACCAGGATGCCTTCACAGGTGCGGCGCATGCCATGTTCACTGAAATGTTCTTCCAGGCGCTTCAGACGGGCGATTACAGACGGATCCTCCTCTGGCTGGGTCTCCTTGACACCAAATGTGTAGTTGGATAACGGATACAGCGTAACCTTCTCGGGCTGTTTGGCATTGAACGGCAGCGGGATGATGGGTGGAGACCCCGATTGCAGGGCCGAGGTCGGAATGGTTGACATGCTGGGAATATCGCCGCAATGGAGTGGAAGAGTGTGAAGTAATTCCGTGTCCGTCGGATTCCCTGCTCGATGGGATTTAGTGAAAGATGTTGATGGCCAAAGGGGACATCAGCGAGAGCGACCACGCGCAGCCGGCACGGTCCACAACATGGCGAGGCTATGGGCAGAATTTCGGAACCTTGTCAGGAATGTCCAAGACGGGGAAAGCGGTGTGAGCTATCGGTGAGGCACGTCAAGCACTAGCCACCCTAGCCACAGCCCCGGAGCCGCTGTAGATACGAGGCATTGTCATGTGCTCTCAAGTGTGGGCTCTGCGATTCTGGTTATTACAGGGCAATCAGAGGCCCATGAGACATAGGTCGCTTGCTGGATTTCAGGGTCTGAAGCTTTGATGCAGCTGCCGATGGTGGCGATCAGCACTGAACCCACAGCAGTCTCAGGTACAACGATCGCTGGCCATCAGCCACACAGCATTGAACCTACGAGTACATTCTCGGCCTCGAATCCGAATCCGTGTGGTTGCAAACGGTTGAGTTAATAAATCCCGGTAGTGTCGCATCCGCTCACATGCCTGCCGCTCGAGACTGCCGAGACTGCAAGCATTGAATGGCGATTTTAGTTATTCTTAGAGGTTATCTAGGAGTGTCCCGTATCTTATCCTGATTCCCATTATACAAAGCCGATGGCGTAAGTGACACCATATTTGTCCAGTAGACAAGCTTGGTTCGGTAGCGGCACGACAATTGTTGCAACGCCATGTGCCTACTAAGTTGCATTGAGTGTGAGACACTAATATTCCATTGAACGGATACGCACATATGCGGGCCACAGGATCAGCAAGCCGTGGGTGGCCGTCATTCGCCCTATTTAGCAAGTCTGGCGTCGTATTCCAAGCTCACAAAGTGGTATCTACTACTAAGGCATGAGTAAGTTCAAAGGCTGGGCATACGGCACACAAAGAAACAAATCATGTTTGTACGCATCCAAGAGGCTCCGCAAAGCAGCCAAGCCAGCACCACAGGCACACCGGCCAGGCTGGGTGGCTTCACAAAGCTCCATGGTTGTCCGCGTGCTGCCGGGATAGAGGAGAGATGATAGATGAGGGGTTGCCGCCTCACCGAACCAACAGGGGAGATCTGCAGCATGATGCATGAGCAGCACCCTAACCCCCTCTGTATCCCACGCTTGCCCACGCCTGCCCACGCTCCTCAGGCCTTGTTGGGGGCACGGAGGGCTTGGCTCAGGTCTCTGTTGGGTCTGGAAGCAACCTGGAATATCCGGGGCCCGAAAAGGTGGTCTGCCACATCCAGACATGCCGGGCAGCTCCATTGCCAGAGTCTTGGAAGGGGTCACCAGAACCAAGGCTTTTTCCCTTCCACTGCAGACGGTGGGCACCTGCAGGCGGCAATGCTGATTTGCTGCTGCTCAGGGTTTCCGTTTATTCCATCTTATCGTGGCAGGACACGGAAGCGCTCAAGTCGCTCCAACGGCGCGGCGTGGTTGGTGCGATGTCTCGACGATATCCGATTGAATTGCCAACCTAGTATCTGCCTAGCGTAAGCCCCCTCAAATCAACGGATCAAAACGCCCAACCTCGCCCTGCTCTTTCGGAAGCCAAACCTTGCAGACAGTGTCGATTACCATGAGACGAGGGTTTAAATGATATCCTGGATCGGCGCAATGAAGAAATCTCGGGGTGCATGATGAAAAATCGCAATAATAATAGCCCTTTCTTGCCTGGATAGAGAGAGGTCACGGGCAGGCCAGAGGGTGGGGGGAAGAGCCCGCGCTATGTAAATGCCCATACATGTAGTTAACCCACTTGTTCGCTGCCCGGATCTACATAGACCTGGCTGTGCTTTTCAATCTCGTCTCCAAGACGGAACTCAAACCGATTCTTTTTCTGGTCACGGTGCATAGAGTTTGTCGGCTCCAAACCAGCGGCCGCCTTCCATCCCCGCCCTGCCTAGCGTCATGCGCAGATCAAGGCCATTGACACGCTCCAGTCCGCTTGCAGCCTCTTGTTAGCCATGGAGGCGACGTTGCTCAGCAGCCTCCACACCAAGCTGGATGACTTGGAGGGCAAGATGCTTGCCTACCGCTGCGACCTCATCTCCGACTTCCAGCGCTACTACCACGACCTTCTCACCGGCGTCAACCCCAGCGTCGCAACCAGCATCCAGCAGGCCATTGCGCCGTCCTTTGCCAACTACCCGACACTCCGCCCCGAGCTGGAGGCCGCTGACTCACAAACACCTGACCCGGCTGCATTCCAACAGGCTCTGGCGCCTGAGGTTGCTGCTCGTATCGAGGCTCCCAATAGCAGCTCGCGCGAGCGGGAGACGGAGTTGCAGGGTCTCTTTACGCCAAGCTATCTGCCCCTGCTGGACAGCTCCCCTCCGCACGATCGCCGACCTGTTGCCACCTCGACTGTCGCCTCAACGGCCACGACAACGGCCACGACAACTTCGACACAGACAACGCTTGCCTTCCCATTGCTGCCTGTAATGGCACCACTAGCTGCCGACAACGGCACTGCCACGGACCATGATATCACCGCGGATGGTGGCCTTACAACCACAGGCAACAGCGAGACTCCGGCAGACGCACAGGCTCCAGGCGAGGCGCACCGCCTCGTCAGGACCACCACTGAGGAGTCAACCTCGTCTGTCAACTCGGATAAGAGCGATTCCAAGACCAGAAGAAGCGCCCTGCGACGCTCCTCTAGTATATCCAAGCCTCCCCAGAGCCCAAGGCGAGTCCGGTTCGAGTTCATGGGTGCAGAGGTGCTGCCTACGTCATCGCCTCAACAGGTTGAATTCATCACTCCCGCCGCATCGGAACCAGCACTGGAAGACGAGCCAATTGCCTCCGACATGCTCCTGGGCGGCGATATCGATGAATGGGAGCCCCCAGTTCGGAAAAGCTCTTCTACCGAGGCGCTGAGAGCTTTGTCCAGGGCGCCTGCAGAGGAAGGTACAGTTTGGACAGTCGTCAATCCCGAGACGGACGGGGCCAAGTCTCAGCAAGACAGCACGAATATTCCAGCTCCAGAGAAGCCCATCTCTGCCGATCAGTCTACATCTGCGGCGGAAAATCCAAGAATAGACACTCCTTCAGCGGGAGTTGTTCAAGGCAGCAATGTGACATCTGCAGCATCTAATGACGTCAACAACCATGGATCAGAAAACGGCAAGGATGCCGATGACTCTTCAGACGACGAGGGTGACTATCTCGCCATGGGCAAACGCAAGCCTTCTGCCGCCCAAAAGTCTGCGTCAGTTTCAGTTACTCAATTGCCGGAGGCGAGAGTGAGCAACGGACTCTCAGCTGCGAAATCTACACAAGACAAACCACGCCCCCTTCCCAGCCAACCCAGCAATCCTAGGGAGAACCGAAATCCAGCTTCTGTGGAAGATGAGAGCATGGACGATTATGGCGATGATGATGATATGTTTGAGTTCGAACCTGGTGGTCTAAGTGCTCCACCAAAACCCCGCGAAAGAGCGCCTCCCCCGCAAGACGAGGACGAACCTTCCGACGACGAATCTCAAGATGACGTGCCGAATATGAGTCGACCAAGTCAACCAACCCTCTACTCAACCTCACCGGCAGTCTCCATCATGCGGCCTAGGTTGGAGAATTCCATGGCCACCGTGTCTAGATTTCAGCCTGGGTCTCTTGGATCATACAAAGGTCGCCCTGTCATCATGCCTGTTGTGCGCAATCCGGAGGTGCATGCGAGGGCGGCCTCATTAGGCCAGTTTAATACTTTTGTGGGGGGCCTGGACGGCCGAAGCGGAATGGATGAGGGCGACCTCAGCAGTTTCCGTGCTAGTGTTGTCCAGCCCGGCTTTACAGGGACGCCTCGAAGTTTCACTGAGCGTTTCATGATGGAGGAGGCACAGGCAGAAAGGGAAAGGGAAAGGAATGGTGCCACTCAGTGATGCGTTTCTTGGTATACGGAACTTACTGGCGTCTTGTCTCGGGCGGAGGGTTTGGTTTCCTATCTCAGCTTACTATGAAGCTTTGTGGGTACGGGTTTTGGATTCTAAGGAAATGGAAATCTCGATGGCGTTGTTCTTTTGCGAGGGATTCATGTGGTTTGTTTTTTTGTTCATGAGAGAATGAGCACGGTTGGGGATGGCCTCGTGTCCAGGCGACGTTATATTATAAACATCATTTACCAAACAAGTCTTTTTGTTCGCAGCCGATCAAAATTGTATATGTATAGTCATAACCAGGATAAACCCTGATAAATACACATAGTATGCGATCCTGTATGGTTTCTTTGAATTTGCCATTGCTTAATTGCGGCCATGAGCAACAGTAACAACAACTCCCGAGTCAGATCGATTATCAGCTGATTCTTGCAGACACTGGTGTGAGGAGTGGGGGTTGAGTTGGCGGGGTTGCACAGCTACCGCTTTATCGGGGTTATGATGTAGATGCATCTAAGAGGAACTTCTCGTCATCCAACAGCATCCAGTTTTCGAGATTTGACGTTTGCGCATTATCCAATCAGCATCTCGACATACAGCAATTCTTATTCAAAATGGGTGGCCTAAATCTCGAAGTCTTCAAGGTAAGCTGCTATGCCTCCAACATTGACGACGATTCCTGACTCTTGTCCCCTCCGAAACAGTTCGGCACGTACCTGCTGTTCCCCATTGGGATCATGTACTACTTCGGAACGAACCTGGACAATCGCTTTACTGTAAATGACTTCTGGCCGAAGCCCGAAGAATGCAACAAGCTGCCGCAGGATAGAGAGGAAGTCAAAGCAGAGTACGAGAGAATCGTGGCCCGACAGAAGCTTCGACAGGCTCTCTTGGAGGAGAAGCAGCGACAACAGGCGCAGCAGGCGCAGAGGAACGAGAGCAGCCCCTAATGGTATTGCAAAGTACCACTGCGTCTAATTATACGGAGGCTTGCGATCAAATGGGAGAAAAATTTGGGCTGTATTATATCGAGTTTGTGTGGATGGGCGCTATTGGCGAGAACAGGACAAAATCATGGTTGGCGTTCAGGCTGAAGAAAAGAGGGACCAGGAAAGGCAAAATTCAACTCTAATGGCTTGGGGTGATTCTTGTATAATATACGACTTGTGTTTCTGTTGCGGTTTTATATATCAATGTGCCTCTCCAGCTTGTCCCATTCGTCGTCTGTGATGGTGCCTTGGCGAATGTTGGCAAAGAGAGCCCTGACCTCGGTGTATTCTCTAAGGCCGGAAAGCAGGGTATTCAAGCTTTCGACCAATTCGGCCGAGTCGACGTCGGCCTGGGTATCTTCATTCGCGGCCCACATGATCTCAGACTCGACAACCTCGAGCTCAAATCGCTTGGAAATGGCCTCGGTGATGGCCATGAGCTTGGACGGCTCCGTCCAAATCAAGTACCCGCCGTCAGGGTGCTCTTCGACGTCTTCCGTGCCCTCATGCTCGATTGCTTCCTCTAGGACGTCTGATAGGGATGGACCGCCATCCCTAGGTTTAAACACCGCACGTCCGCGTCTTGAAAAGTAAAACGCTGTTGATCCCACAAGCCCACCGGCCTTTTTGACTACAAACTTGAGGTCGTGTAAGCTGCGCGTCTTGTTATCCGTCTCGATGTCAGCAACCAGGGCAATATTAGGCGGCATGAGAATCTCCATGGTCATGGGTTCAAGCTGTGCGCCGGTTGCAGAGCGGCCCTGGCCTCGTGCAATGGCCCCCTCGATTAATGACTTTGGCACGCTTGCTGATTTTACGAATTAGATGAGCCCTGCTTGCTGGGGGTGATAGAGTAACGAGTCTAGGCTGTACCTTTTGTTGCTGCTGCAACCGCATTTGCCAGTTGCGGATTGAACCTGATATCCTCACCATACACTTTTTTATATCAAATGTCAGATGGAGGCGTCTAAGAGTGCTTATGAAGAGAGCTTAGCGTCACTCACTTTTTGAGTACATGGTGATGAGCTTTGTAAACGAAACGCGTTCAGTCATTTTCTTCTTGTCCGTCACCGCCTTGATGTGCTTCGTCTTGGACCATTTGTTATGTCCGGCATACTGAGACGCCGTTGCTCCAAATGACCTGGAACATGACGGGCATAAAACACTGCTGGGGGAAAGAAGAGACTTCCTCGCCAGCGAAAATGTCCTTGCGGGGTTCATCCTAACGTTTTCTCAGAATAGGCCATGAACCAAAATCTTTCCAGTTGCTTCAAGGCCTTACAGCCTTTTTTTCTTCGTCTTCTTCCAAGGCTTCAATTTGAGGCATACAATATGGCATGTTCCTGGAATGCGCCGGGTTAATAATCTTCCCTGGAGCTTGGGGCGGAAGGCTGCCCATCCAGGGCCACAACCGCCTGCTGATTGGTCATTGCACCACCGCTAGTGTCGATGCCCATCATCATACTTGGATAGCTGGCCATCCCCCTATCAAAGACATCATAGCGAAAGACGATACAGGACGAGCCGAGACGAGACGATATAGAAATATTACACGACTAAACCGGGCCCCTCTGACGACTCCGTGTTCCCGCCATGTCGTCGAGCCAGGAGCCCGAAGCTCCCAGTGCGAGCGGGCAGACCAGCGTCGCTGTCGATTCTGCCACTGCGAACCCGGAGCTGGATCTCCCCAAGCTTCAAGCACTACCCGCTGAGCAGCAGGATCTCTTCCTTCTCACGTTTGTCTCGGGCCTGAGGAAGCACGTGCTAGGGCTCTCAGCGGACGACTGCACGGCTCAGCAGTTCTATCTTAAGCGCGAAATATTCCAGATCATCAACCTCTCCGCCCCGCAGCCGTCACGAGTCATCAGAAACAACCTGGGAGCTTGCCTGGCACACATTTTCGGCAAGGGCGACAGGAAGCTGCTGTTCGAGACGATAAACGACCTTGTGGCGATAGCGGCAGGAGGAAAATCAAAGTCGGATGGCGAGACGCGCGCAAAGCATGCGGCTGTTAGCTGCCTGGGCGATGTGTTTGCCTCTGCTGGTGACAGCGCCATTGGGCTGCATCAGCTGGTATGCACAACGTTGTTGAAGCTGCTGAAATCGGCCTCGAGCAATGCTGGGATAAGAGCGGCGGTGTTTACCGCCTTGGAGAAGATTGTCATCATGGTCGAGGGATCCATGGATGAATACATCTCGAGGGATGTGTGGAAGCAGGCGAGGAGCCATGCCGCTGGTGATAAGGGAACCCTCGTTGTTGCATCTGCGTGCAGGTGCCTCAAAGCTTTGGTGAAGCACACCACATACTTTAAGAATTCGACCGATTTCGACAAACTGGAGACGGCAATGTTCAAGGCTGCCGATTCATCCTCTGCAAAGGTTCGGAACGCTATGGCCAGTTGTTTCGCAGAGGCCTTGGTGCAAGGGTATTCAGAGTCCAACGCTGCAGAAGCCGCTGCAAAGAATAAAAAGGCCAGAACTAAGCTGAAGCGGGCATCCACGCATCCTAGTATTGCTGGGGATGATGACGAGATCCCCTCCCGCTCGTCGAGTCCGGCTCCCGGCGCAAGGCGGAGCCAGGACCTTGCTCTATCATTCCATGATATCTTGAAGGTTTTGGCCGGGCATTATGTCAAGGCTGCAACTACGAACAAAACTCGTGCGGCGATCGGAGTGTGCTACGGTAAACTCTTCCGCCGCCTCGGTGAGAGAACGGTGCAGACCAATTATCTCAGCATAGTGGAGAGTTTGTCCGTCGATGTTCTCGGCGCCACAACCATCAGCAACAACCGCTACCGGTTGTTAATATCTAGGAAGATTGTGGATGCAATCATTCAGGATGTAATCGGACGCAAGATTCTGGGCGAATCTGGCCAGACATCTGCGGCGGAATCTTTGATTAGCGGCGTGTTGAAGAATTACCCCCAGGCATTGGCTGAAAGACCAGAGCCTCAAAAGCACACTCTTATCGCTGCTCTTAATGCTGTCGCATCGCTAATCAAGTCGCTCGGGTCTGCTGCAAACAGTTTTGCAGAGTCTTGCCGGGACGGGCTTCTGCAGGTTCTCCAGCACCCGAGCTATTCGGTACAGGTGTTTGCGTCGCATTGTATGAAGACTTTTGTTCTTGCATGCCCTCAACAACTGCTGCCTTGCCTCTCAGTCTGCATGAACAGTCTCAGCCGGGAATTGACTCTACTGGGAACAGGACGCAACTCTCCCAGACGGTGCATTGGATTCGCCCATGGATTGGCCGCCACTCTAAGCGCCAGCCCTTCTCGCCCACTGCACGGCTCTCTCGATGTTAATAGCCGAGTCCTGACAATGGCAACAAATCTGCTTAAATCTAGCAGCCAGTCAGAGCTTCGGGTTTCCAGCACACAAATCCAAGTAGCTTGGATTCTCATTGGCGGTCTTATGTCTTTGGGTCCAAACTTTGTCAAGATTCACCTGTCGCAGCTGCTCTTGCTCTGGAAGAACGCATTGCCAAAGCCCCTGGCCAAGGATAATACTTCAGCCAGGAGTCTTCTTGAGGCATCATTCCTCACTCATGTGAGAGAATGCGCTCTAGGATCCATTCTGTCATTTCTCCAGTTCAACAATCGACTCCTCACAGTTGATGTCTCCAAACGTATTGCGGCGATGCTCCAAAGCACAACAGCGTTCTTAAAGACACTGCCATCGAAGAAGGTTACCGAGGACATCTCGCAGAGACTAACCCCCGCTCTTCAATTACAGGATCTGGACAGAATGGTACAGCGCAGGGTTTTGCAGTGCTATATCAAATTGGTTAACCTGAGCCCAGCGGGAGGCAGCGAAGCCCTCTTGCAGTCAAATCTGCTGACTCTTGCGATATCTCTCTTTGCTGACCCCGATAACTACACACCCAACTCGTTGAGCGCGTCGATAGCAAATGCCGCTGGCACCTTTGAGTCTATTTGGGATGTTGGCGACAACACGGGCTTTGGAATAACCGGTCTTGTGTCTGGATTCAATGTCAAGCCGCTACCCGGTCAAAATGAGAATGCCATACAGGAAGATGAGATTCGGAAGAGTGATTCAGAGGCTTTCATTCATAGCCTACTGCAATCGCCAGTCTGCGGCAGTCTAGAGCACGATGCCTCCATGCTCTACATTGGCGGCATTGATGACGGCACAACGGATCCCGACCCTCCAGCTACCGAAGTCATCAACAACGCCATACAGCTATTTGCCTTTGCATTTCCGTTAACCCCGGCCAAGGTTCAGGAGAGTATCCTCGAGCAGATCAGGACATTTGCATCCGCAGGCTCTCTTCAACGAGACCCGGGTCGCAAAGCAGCTATCAACGCCAACCTTGCGACAGCAGTTCTCTGCACGATGAGAGTTGCCGTAAAGGAAACTAGCTCCCCATCCGGAGATATCACCAACATCGCAGTTGAACGATTATTGCAGGATATTGTTAGAGACTTCGTTCTCGACCCTGACCAGTATGTCCGCAGCCTCGGCTACGCGGCCGTTGCGAGACTGTGCAACGTGTATGGCAATGCGTTTACAAACCAGGAAATCAAATACCTTGTTGACACGATTGTTGGAAATCGGGAGCCCAGCGCTAGAGCAGGCTGCGCAATGGCTCTGGGTGCTATCCAAACCAAAGTAGGCGGCATGGCGGCCGGCTACCATTTGAAGACTATCCTGGGTATATTGATGTCACTTTGCAACGACCCCCATCCGGTAGTTCATTACTGGGCTCTCGAGGCATTGTCACTAGCCTCAGATGCTGCCGGCTTGAGCTTTGCCACCTATGTCCCGAGCACCCTGGGCATGCTTGCTCAGCTCTACGTTTCTGAGACACATCACTCTGAAATATCCTCGGCCATTACGATGAACTTTGAAATGGAGCTCTCAACCACAGCCGC